CAAATTACATATGTATATAACATTAAGGCATAAATATTCTGACGATGGGAAGTTGAAATAACAATAATAATAATTAGAAGAAGAAGAAGAAGAAAACCAAACATGCAGAATGAGATTACGATTGAAATTCGTAGAATTTCTCCTAAATGGTTAGCTAAAATACTCATTGGATTTATATGATAATGCCATCTATATTTGAACGTGTATCACCTATATTATTAGGTACATTTGTATATGGAAATTTTGATAATATAGTGTCATTATTAGTTGATCATATACTGTAAGTTAAAAAAATATTATTTATCGTTTATTATAACTTGTTTATTTATACATTTTTGAAATGGTACCATATTTGTACTTTACATTGTAAACTGACTTGGTAACTATGAAAAACTTGTAAGAAGTTAACAGTTGTTCCGTTAAAGTATAAAAATCTACACTACTGCTCACCAACAATGTTGATAAAGACTTTGAAGCTTCGTGATAAGCGTGTTGTTCATAAATAAACAGTTTGGTATTCAGTATTTTACATATATATAGGGTATATGTACTTGGATAATACTAGAAGTTTAAACCACCGATGTTAGCTCAGTAGTATAAAGGTAATATACTTTCCATGGAACATAGAAATCATTAGCACTGTGACAGGTTGAAATCGTTTATATACAATGTTGGGTAGTTGCGAATTTAAACAAAAAACAGATGCTCAACGCTTACTGTTTTCCAGAGGTTACCTTAATAAAATCATTTTTTAATCACGTAATTAGTAATGAAAATTTCTTTGATATTGTTCAGAATGATAACAAAAATGAACGAAAAATATGATCCAACGCAAATTACTAGCTAATGGCTTAACCTAAACATAATGAACATTATTCCGACTTCATATAAAGTTATGACAATAGAATTCCAATTTCAGTATTATTAATTTCCACCTTGTCATTGATCAGTACTTCTGAATATAATTGATTAAACAGAAAGAGAACTTTTAGTTTAATACTCATTACTTGAAACATGAATGTATCATATAACCTTGTAATTAATAACAACTTAAATTTTAAACCGTTTGTAGAGGGGTTTATATTTCATCTACTTTTCCAGGTTTAAATCTACTCAACCAGTTTATTCAACTAAATGATCAGTTACATTTACTTTTAAACTAATAGTGTGACTCAGTGCACAGTGTGCTAAACTCTACTAAATTTATGAGACAGAGTGAAACTGATACATTATTTATAACATCAGTAAAACCTCGTCTTTATGCTATATACTTATAGACATTGATTGGCGGAACAGGTATAAATAGTGGTTTTAAATAATCTCTTAACAACAGTGAACAGAGAAGTAGTAAGCTTTTATAGTAAGTCAGGAAATTGTAAGTTTCTGTAGATTGTAACAACAAAAAGGGTTATAGTCTCACCTAGAACATCAGATCCTAAAAAATCGTGGGTACGTCTTGCTGAAGATTGCCGGGTAGCAGGGTTTCCTATTGAATATCTCCATCATCTAAAATCTGAATGTGATGCTGCTGATGTTGAGTTACTTAGACTAGTTGCTAACTTGTAGTTCAATTGATGGAATTCTGTCAAGGACAATAACTAGGCAGATATGAAATAACTTGGTACTCAAGGATCAATCAGTGTAATAATGAGGCATTCTTTGAAATTCATGAAGAAGGGTAATTCAGGCTATATCTATTCTTTTCTCCTGATTTGAATTTACTTAGCTTTTAAGAGTATTATTATACTATCAGTTATTTTGTCTTCGGTGATATTTAACTGAAGTTTTATGAAGATTCATTGAACCTCTCTTCTGTTGTGAACTCATAAGCTTATTACTAGACTATGGATTCTTAGTAAGTGAATACGGTATTAGAGTAAAAGTCATTTGTAAATATTCACTTCTTTAATCACTGAAGAAATCAAATTTGGATTCCTGTTCGAAAATGGACCTTTATGAAGCTAGCTGACTACAGTGTCACTCTTCACCCAGTAAATGATCTATAAGACGTTTCAATTTCCTTTGATAAAACCACTGGTTATTGTCTATTTCACTGTATTTATATTTACGAACACCTGATTTATAACATACTAACTGTCTACTAACAGAGTTTTCATTATGGCTGTAGGGTGCAGAGAGCAGACTAAACAATTTAATTGAACAGTCGTTTAGAAATATTTTTTGACTGGTATGCAGTCAAATTTATCACCCTAGTTATCTTTTATATTTCTGGCAACAGAATATCTTGAAAAGCTTCATAAATCAAAAGTATGCTTCGTGAATAGCCAGCAATTAATAATTTTCATCCGATACACAGTTGACGGATGTTTATTAACTGAAATATTAGTGATAATTAGTTAGTATGCAAAGAGATTATAACGAATGTTATTTTTTAAATGATGACATACAATCACAGACCATCAACGGCTAGAGACAGATGGAATATTGTAGGATCATGAATGCTCATTGTTGATGAATCCTATACCAGGGATGAAACTACCATTCAGTTATCTATCTGGAAGTGAGTCTGTGATATAAACTACAAAGTTTAACAACAAATCCCCAACATTATTAGTGAATAGTTTCATTTCGCCTATTATGGCATATTATGTTTTAGACGAGTGTCAATAACTGGGTAGAAATGTTACATGAATTGTAGGTACTATAAAAAGTAAAGTTTTATGGCAAACCGTTTGAAGGAAATTAACAGAAAATTATGGATTACGGTTATTTTGATTGCTTAGTGATATTTATTAGTAATATGTATCGCTTTGTAAAGTTTTGTAAGAATACACCTTGGTGAATGATAAACTATGTGAAGCATGTTATTTATATCTTTAAATATTGTGGTCTATAACATTCCTATTATTTATTATTGTAATTCTAGTTACTTATAGCATAAAGGTGTAAATTCGATATATTCAAACAGTAGTAGAATTTGTTAGAAAAGATTTATAATCAGAGATAGGTGTTTTAAGGAGATTTTAGTAATTTAATAGTTGAATTCGTGAATTTATTGAAGCTAGACCATCATGGGAAACCTGGAAGCACCGAACGGCCATTTTGTCCTAGTATGGGACTCCTTAGCAGTGCGCATGCACGATCCCACCCCACGAGATTTGAACCCAGGACCTATAGGTCTCGCGCGCGAACGTTTAACCTCTGAACCATCATGTGCTCACTAGTGACTGTCTCTAAGACGTATTTCCTGGAGTTCTGGTGAGAATCAGTGATCAATGAAGTCCAACCGGGTCTGTTGTCAGACAATAACTCACTTAAGACAATGTTGGAAGGTGACACGAGACCGATAGGTCCTGGGTTTGAATCTCGTTGAGCGAGATCGTGGATGCGACCTGCTGAAGAGTCCTGTACTAGGACGAAACGGTCGTACAGTGCTTCCAGGTTTTCCATGGTGGTCTGCCTTTAATCGACTCATGAACTTAACTATTAAAATGGAGAATACTATATTTAGAAACAGACAAACTGTGATGATAAACTTCGAAAATCATCATCTTTTAAGTAGAATGTTGCATGAAAAGTTTGTCACTTATACTGCGACTGTCAATAAATGTTACGATTTCATACCATTCGACAATTGGAAAGTCAAGTTTATGAAATTCTGAAGTTAGAAGAAATGTTTATATAAATTCTTTGATAGGTTGCCTGGTAATATGAAACAGCTATGGAAAAAGACTTATATGTTTAATAGGTTTCAATTTAACAGTAAATTGTAGATCCTTCTAAGTTAGAAGTCAGTCGAATAACTGGTGAATATGTGACATAATTGAAAAGAACTGTTATCATGTTAGGTGGTAATATTGCATAAATAAAATAAACTATTTCAAGTAACTAATATCACGAAGTGATCTTAGTTAGACAACCATTTGAAGCTTAGAAACTTTGAATGGCTATTTCATCCTATACAAGAACTCCTAATGCTTTCTAGATCTCGTTAGTTATTTAAATAAGAACAGTTCGCGATGTTAAATATAAAATTCAACATTCTCCGAAGAACTCTCTATTGTAGACAGGAATGGGGCATTTTTGCATACAAGAATGATAATTAGTTCAAAACATTAGACTGTGTAGGAATTTTGAATGAACGGAAAATGTAATTGAGCTGTAAGATTTGAGTTTTTTATCAGACTGAATAGCTGAATAGATACATTCACGTTCCCGTGATATTGTATTCATTGTGGGTAATTACTGTCATTGCTTTTATTGATACAACATTTCATTGTACCACAATTTTGTTTTGATAAACCAATATTTTTTTCCCTGTCCATTCTTCCTTATTTCCATCTTGTCTGTTTGTACTATCAAGTTTTCAAGATAAATTGTACTATTTAACGCTATTTTTAAGAAACATGAGGAATGTGTTTGTTTAAATGAGTGTACAGGTGCTTAAAACTTGTAGCTTATAGAAATAATAAAAGTCTAAAGATTATTCTATTCATTTATAAACTTTCAGTAAGATGGTCACTCTCAGATAGATTATACACTTCAAAACCGATTAAATATTTAGTCAAGTTATCATCATTATTATGAATACTTATTGAATAAAAAATTTTTAAAAAAATATTATGGCTCGATATGAAATCATACATAAACTGTATACATTGATGTCACCTATAAATTTGTATCCATGACTTTACGCAAAAAGTATCTGTTCAGATGTATGTAATAAAGTTAGACAATACATTTGAACACAAATTCATTATGTCATATACGATACATATTCAATAGTTTTGTTTAAATTAATAAACGGAACAACAACAATGATAATAATGATATTATTCATTGTCAACTGGCATAGATTGAACATTTGAATACATTTATCATATATAGTATAAGTGATTATAGTATATATATATATATATATATATATATATATATATATATATATATATATATATATATATAAATTTAAAAGTACAGACTTATATTAGTAATTAACTTTCATAGTTTTATTAGTGAAGCTCACAAAATGAAAGTTTAACATGTGGATAAATACACGTAAATTCAGTTCCACGGTTACAAAGTGAGTGTGTTTAAGGTTAATTTTAACAAAATTCGAAATAAAACATTGTTTTCTTTGTTATATATGAGAATATAGATTCATTCTCATTTCAATAAAAGTTAAATCATATATGAATGATTAATACTCATTGTGGGAATTCTCAGTGTAATTGATTACTATCAGAAGGGGTTTTGTAGATATTTTAGTAACTTTTTAGTCGAATTCATGAGTCAATTAAAGCTAGAACACCAAGAAAAACCTGGAAGCATTGAACGGCCGTTTCGTCCTAGTATGGTACTCCACAACAGTGTGCATCCACAAAATCCCCTTCTGATAATAATCATCATGTGCTTAATAATGACTGTCTCTAAGAAGTATTTCCTGAAGTTGCTAGTCAGAAGTTGTGACCAGTAGAGTTCAATCGGGTCTGTTGTGAGATAGTAACTCACTGAAAACAATGGTGGACGGTGGCTCAATTTCACGGAATGATTGAAGTTAGACATTAACATCATTGGATGTCAATTCAGTGGTCTAAAGGTTAAGCATTCGCGCGCGAGACTAATAGGCACTCAGTCCGAATCCTGCAAGCGGGATCGTGGATGGGCACTGCTGAGAAATCCCATACTGGGACGAAAAGGCTGTTCAGTTGTTCCAGGTTTTCCATGATGGTCTAGCTTTAATTGTTTATTACTGAGAGACAACAAATAATTACTCACCTTAATTTATATCAGTCGTTTACCTAATTCACGATTGTAATGAGAATGATGTTTTTTCAATCAAATCTTTATGTAGTTGGGATTTTAAGTTGGACAGTATGCTTGTTAAGGGAGACATTTATTAGATTGCATAATATTGCAAATAAAACTTTCAGACATTTGTCTATCAATGTAGGTAGTTTACTGAAATAACTACAGTATGAATAACGTCTAAGCGAAAGACGTCAATGGATCACTTTACAGCTTGTTTACAATGTTATTTTACATATAAAATATTTTACAAGACGAAGACATACATTCAAAAAGTGTTCACATCACTAACTTCGAATTTTTTTGTTTAGTTAAAGATTGTCTAAATGATATGATTGTATCTTGTTTGCCATTAAGTCTTCCTATTCTTTGCTCAATTCAGTGTTGTGCTTGTTTACTGAACACAAAACAATTATTAAATACACATGTATGATCATTGATTCCTAAACTGATGCTCGTGCGTGATGTAAACTAATTTCAAGTAATGAATTGCCACTATATCCAAATATGTGTATTAATGATATACAGTTACTTGGTTGATTTAATGTTGTTAAAAACACACTTATTAATAATAATAGTAACTACATAAGTTTCTTTTGTGATTATCACACCGACCAACAATTAACCATCACTAACAAAAAGGAGTCACATATTTGTAGCCTATATTATGGATTAATTTTTATTTAGACAATCAGTGAAAACCAGAAAGGGTTGAACAGGCAAAACCCTTAACACTAGACTTGAAGGTCTTTAGTTCAATCTCTATTGGGTCATAAATATGGGTTTCAAAGAAGTCCCATATTTAGGAGAAACAGAAATCTTGTGATTCTCGGTTTTCAGTGACTACCTAACTCAAAGGCATTAATCAAAAAAAATTGACACCTTTCAAAGTCCTGAAGTACACATTTATGCCAAATGGATTTGAAGCCAAGAGCTTGACGTTTCGTGGTGAACAGAGTTATTTCGGGCTACGGATTTGGGTGTTGTAAAGTTCATATTTTAAATTCCAGTCATTTCGAGATATAATAAGTTTCTCAACCAATATCGATGGTATGCTCTAACTTCGGTTAGTAAGATAAGTTGTTGCTTCTTATTGGTACTTTGAAAATCCATGAATATTACACACTTTTTCCCAATAAAAAGTAACAATTATTTAAGGAGAAAGAGCGAAAAAGAAATTTATTTCCTTGCACCTAACCACTCTCCTTACATTTACTTGGAATTGTTTTACTTGAATCGTCCCATTGTTATTTAGGATTGCAATTGATCAGTCTCCTATTGGCATATGTGCATCCTGTGCGTATTGGCTCGATATTGCCTTAATTTACAAGCTTTTTAAGCAAAGATGGATAGTGGCTAGCAGTAGAATCCAGGACGCGCGTTTAGTCCTATTTTGGACTCGTCAGCTGGATATACCTTCATCTCAGAGTTGATGTTCACTCTGGGACTTGAATCCAGTACTGTTTGCTTCAAACGTCATCGCATTGTCCATTTAGCGCATATGCCAGTAAGTAACTGATCAATTGCAGTCTCAAATATCAATGGGAAGATTCAAGCAAAACAACACCAAGTGAATTTAAACTTCACCCCATTGCACAAGCAGGTGGCTTTCGGGACTCAGTAGCTAAGTGGATAACGCGATGGCGTTTGAATCGAACGGCACTGGGTTCGACTCTCGGAGTGAACATCAACTCTGGGATGCTGGTACATCCAAATGACGAGTCCCAGATAAAATGAAAAGCGCGTCCTGGATTCCACTGCACTCTCCATACTGTAATTAATTCTGTAAATACTAATCGATTACCATGTAGTTGATAAAGAATTGCAAATTCTCATTTTAATACTACTAAATTCTGCTAAATAAATTACATACACAGTTTAAAGGTTTTTCACTATTGTCATTCAGTTTAATTAGATATAAATATTAAACCTGCTGTTAGATATACCGAGATATAAGAGATCTATTACTGGAAATAAGCTAAAGAAAAATTCCATATATTTTTTTATGAAGATAATTGATGTGTGGTGGAGATTTTTAGCTCAGGTGGATGAAGTCTACCTGAAGTTTGTGCTGATGATGTCGTTCAGAAGAACGATGAAAGCTTCACGACTAAACCATCCAGCTCAGAGAACAAAACTCCATCAAAACAATTGATGTGTCTCTTTTCTGGGAATAATCTCATGATAAATATTTATAACTAAAAAATCACTTCAGATACTACAAGTTCTCTCATTGTATGAATGACATTTTCAGAGATAAACAACCGGTCTACGTGCTAGTCACGGACAATAAAACTCAAACTAATTTACTTTATATGTCTAATTTGTGTGATTTAAAATTACATTTAAATAAGAATTACTTAGCTGATAACGCTTGATTCATACTGCTATTATCATGAATCACTGGGTCATCTCTCACACATGTCCAAAATCACATTATCAGTTTATTATTATAAGAGTTATTAAGCCAAATAAAATTTATAATCAGAAGGGGTTTTGTGGAGATTTTAGTGATTTCAATAGCTGAAATCATGAGCCAATTGAAGCTAGACTACCATGGAAAACCTGGAAGCACTGGACGGCCGTTTCGTCCTAGTATGGGACTCCTCAGCAATGCGCCCTCGCGAGATTCGAACCTAGAAGTTAGACATTAACATCGTCGGATGTCAATTCAGTGGTCTAATGGTTAAGCGCTCGCGCACGAGGTCGATGTATCCTGGATTCGAACCTCGCGAAGCAGGATCGTGGATGCGAACTGCTGAGGGGTTCTACACTAGGATGGAACGGCCGTACAATGCTTTCTGGTTTTCCTCGGTGATCTAGCTTCAACTGACTCATGATTTCAACTATTGAAAGATTTATAACTTTATTATTTTTCAGAATACTAATATTGAAATAATGGTGATCACTGAGATCTGTCAATTCGCGTTTTATGGATTTATGTGTATGTCTTTTCTCATCAGTGATCTACTCACACAAGTTATATAATCTCATTTAGATGAGGATTTTCGGTTCACTAAGCACAATAAGACATTTTGACGAGATACAACATTTCGTTACATGAGCCTTTAATTCCCTAATTAAAAAGATATCTATTGAATCACGTAAATATCTCAGCAAAATATAACTTTTGAATTGGTTTACATAAAGTCTCACTTCATAATCTTCTAATTAAAACATCTCTATGAACGCCTTCTATAGAACTTGCCTAATTATAAGCTTAGTTACAATAATCTGACGGTCCTTGTAAAATGGTATGAAATCTGTCATAATGTGCAAGTTAAGTGTTGACATTATTTATTTGTCTTTTCATTTTATGTTGCTTTTCGTAATTGTCATTATCAACTGAAGATGGCCTATATCCAAATCTACACTAGTTACTTACAATATATTGGTTATACAGTAGTATAACCCTTTGCAGTCAGGACAAAATAAAAAGTGTTTATTATTCAAATAACTAGTGATTTAAATTAGTTATAACTGGTGAAAACCTTAGATTATTGTAAAGGTGTTTTGTTCTTGTCTGTAACTTATCAGCAACATAAAATAGCTAATCATTGCTATCTGAATGTTGATAGCTTTCAAGTGCTGAATTCACTTCACTGAATAAGTTTTATCTTTTTTAAAGCCTTTTGATTTCTGCCATAGAATTTCACAGTAACACTAATATATATGTGTATATTTATCACTTTTCTTTCAGTCGGCCAAGTGTGGCACTCGCGGACTATGATATTTCGGATAGAAGGTAAACCTTTTTATTGTTGAGATTTAACTCAATTACAATTAGTTAGACATAAGTGATCATAGTTATTTTACTAATACTCGTTTATTTAATACCATTCAGTTTAAAGTTGAATATTCAACTATCATCATTTTATTGTATGTATTCAGAGAAAAAGAAGGTTCCAAAAGCCTTCGAAACAACATACGTTCAATGAAACGCATTAAATTTGTTTAAGAAGAAATAATTTTACTCATCAGTTTATTGATTATTGGGGATTAATAGTTATAGTGAAAGTAGAAAAAGACTTATTTTATGGCATAAATCAAGACATTAAAAATAGATATATGTAAAGGCTTGTATTGTCTTATTGCTGATAGTAAGAACTGCAATTAGTTAGTCGTTTTTCCCGTATGTGCATCTTGAACAAATTCTTTGATATTGGCACTTCATTCTAGTTTTCAACAAACGTCGTTTGATGCTACCTGCCCCAGATAAGGCAAAGTTCGCATCTTTAATCCCACTCCAAGTCACAATCAATAGGAGTCGTTTCGAAGTATAATTTGTATCAATGTATAAGTGTTTGTAATCAAGAACAGTCAATTTGAATTGTTCTAAATTCTTTTCAGGGAATGCAATTAAATCAGATATTTATTTGAGGTGGCTTTTAACCTGTTTTTTTAGTGAATTTCATTAACATTCATCAGTGTTTCAAAAAAGTTTGGGATCAAGGGATAATATATACATTTGAATGATGGATAACGGGATACTAGAATAACTGAACACGTAGTGTACTATTCTATCTTTTTTAAAGTCATCATGGGATTTAAAGTCATGTCTTCAGAGTGTTTCTTTATAACGGTATCGACCTATCCATTGAACTTTCTACATTCTTCATATGGTAAATCTTAGAATGTATGTGGTATCAATGTGATATTGAATCCAATTTCCGGGAAAAGTAACATCACCACGATGAAGTAATTCAGTGTTAGTCGTTTAAGAGAACGGCGGTTTAGATGCATGTAGTTTCGAAGAGATTTTTACTAAGGTTTCGGATATTCACGTTTCTCAATAAAGCTATTCCTAAAGTTAGTTTTCGTATTTAGTATCGATAGCTTGATAAAGTGACGCAGAAACGGATTGAATTCCTTAAATACTATAGGATAGTTGATAAGTTTAAAAAATGTTTTTTTTCCGAAAACAGGATATATTAAAGCTATGTAATCGTATTCCTAAGTATTTTTTTCGCTCAAACTTTATTATTATTATTTTGCTGCAATTTAAGTCCGAATCAATTCGTCTCCCATGATATGGGCACACGAAACAAACTTATTTATTATAATCATTAACGAACTATTCTTTTTGATGTGCAACCAGTCAGTAAATAAAGATAGAATATAATGATAAAGGATTGAATAATGTCTGTAAGCATCAGTGTGAGAGTTGTGTTGGATCGACTTTCATTTGAAACTGGCATATCAGTCTATAGAAACTGAAGCTTGTAAATCCCACGAACGCAGTCATGGATGCACACTGCTGGGGGGTCCTATGCTAGGACGAAACGGCCTTCCAGCTCTTCCAGGTTTTAAATGGTGGTCAAGCTTTAATTGACTCACGAACTTAACTATTAAAATCACCATAACTTTCACAAAACTCTTGATAAAAATCAATAGAAATACACAATAATCACTAATTTAAAGTTAGTTTTTTAAAGGTATTCAAATATTTATTTAAAAACAGATATTTAGCTACATATTGTAGACTGCCATACCGAGAACGTATATTCATGCTCAAGGATGTGATTTGAATGTCAACTGTCGAAGAATCCTAGTTAGCTAATGTATCATTCTGTTTTACATCATTCTTACGTTTGTGATAACACTAAACTAAAACGTAATCTAGTCATTTCTTAAATTTTCATAACTACATATTGTGTATAGCTTTAAAATCTGAACTAATCGAAAAGTTAATAAATGTCAAACGCCCTAGAGCTGTATTATACTATTTAATGAACTGAACTAAGTTAGTGTTTCAAAGAACATTGCAAGAAAATAACGATGATTTTATCAATTTCCTTTGTCATTATTGATTTTCTACATCACCCTATCCACAAGATATTTTGTTCATAGTCTATAATAACATTCTAACGTGAAAAAAGTGATTACATAATTGATAGGGTGGATTGATTATCTTAGAGATCATATCAGGTAGTGAGAACAATTCAGAGACTATTTATGTTCTTTTGAGTAGTATAGACGATTTACTGACGCATGGTTACCCAACGAAAATAACAACTGAATTGACAGTTACTCAGGAATCAGTGAAGTTATCTTATTTGATTCATAGAACAAAATGGTCAGTTTTAACATCACTGACTGTGATACGAAGGGATTGAGATCATAGTACCAGGCAGTTCACGATTTTCTTTAGGATTATTGACATGTTCGTTATCGAATAATGACTTGCACAAAATCAATGTTCAGGTAGTCGTATCATTTAATTGTAATCAAATGAAATTATCACTAAACCAACAAATACTAACGTTTTATATCGTAACTTTTTAATACTAATACCATTTGTCATCGGATTTGTTTGTGTTCAATTTTAATTATTAACAAAATCTTTTCCAGATCTTCTGCAATGTCTTCACTTCTATTACTATTTGCTCTATTCGAGGGTATGTGTGGTTTTGTTTTACCGATATGCTCTGCCTTTCGTGTGTCCAGTATATCACAAAAACGATATTACTATGAAGTAAGTTAATTTATAAACTATAAAGTGATAGTAATTTTGTTGTTGAATAAATTGAGTTCATGTCTTCATTTGTTTAAAATGAAAGAAAATATCAGAAGGGGTTTTGTGGAGATGATAACATACTGATTCAGGGTTATAACTATATTCTTATTTACAAATTTACTTAAACTGAGTATTCACTCATTTCATATTACATAGTTTTTAATGGTTAATGTTTTGACAAGTTTATTTTTTCTGAAATATTTTTGAAGTTAAACATTAACACCGTTGGATGCCGGCCGGCTCACTGGTTTAATGGTTAAGCGCTCAAGCGCGAGACAGATATGTCCTGGGTTCAAATCTCGCGTGGGGGGAGAGGTCATGGATGAGCACTGCTGAAGAGACCGATACTAAAACGAAACGGCCGTCCAGTGTTTCCAGGTTTTCCATGGTGGTCTAGCTTCAATTGACTCATGATCTCAACTAGTAAACTTAATAAAATCTCCACAAAACCCCTTCTGAAAATATCTATTTATTTATTACAAGTAAATCTCTTATTCAAAAAATAATCTAAACTTTTAATTTATTAGGATTATTTCAGTAGTCTACTGCATTATTATCACTAATTCACAGGTTACTTTGATTGTTTTAATAGTTTCCAGATACTTATATGAATATCATTGGATATTAGAGTGAAGATCGAATTAAAAGGAGCACTTCCTATCTGAATAGATTATTTTCAATCCCCCACTCCAAAAGTATTTCTGTAAAACATAACATAAACAACAAGTGATAATTTCAATATTTCACTTACGTGTTCTAGATGTTTGATTTGAAATAAGAATTCTTATCAAACTGTCGACAAGATCATTGAAGTATTATTACCAAAATACTGTTTATACAAAATGAACAAATACAAGTAATTTTCAATGTTATGTATATCCACCAACAATAGATAACTTACCAGAAGTGATACTCTCTTCATTCAATCCGTTTCCTTTTAAATATTCATAATGAAGTATTCAAAACTTTTTTCATACTATATTAGCATCTTTAGCCTTGTAGAAAACTCTTTTTATGATATAATTACATACAGTGTAATTGTATTTTAGAAGCATAGAATCTATATTATTAGTTTTAAGAGATGGATTCTACAAGGAATGATCAATATTCAGATCTATTAACTTGTTATTTAGAAAATGTAAATTGTTTTTTCTTTTGTTGTTGTTGTTGTTTTCATCATTTTTTCAATCTTAGTACAATGTTATAGTTCTCAGTTACACATTGATTTCTTTTTTAATGAGTAAAGCGATGATTCTAAGAAAATGAATCTCATTTCATGGTATTAATAAATGTTTTAGTTTAGAAAAAAATAAACAAACTTATTCTAACCACCATTGTAAGAGAGTTTTGTTGTCAAGTATTTTCATTGTCAATATCAAATATGTTAGATCAATGTCAATCGGTTATTTTTTGTTTCTATGAACATCCTTCTATGTACATTGAATATTGTCACTTGGAAACTTATCAAATTAACACATTCTCTCTTATTTTTTTTTTGTTCCTTTACGTCTTCACATATTTCTGTTTACATCAATCTCATATAAATCCGAATGATATAAAAATTCCGTCCAAGTATTTAATGATCAATATCATTTTATAAACATAGAATAAAATAGATTGTTGTAGATGTAAACAATTCCATTGATCTCATTAAGTAAAACGATCTAACATGATTGATGAAGCCAATATAATGAAGCTTAAAATGATAGAGTGTTAACATTGTTACTATGTGTTTATATCAATGTATTATATTATTTTAATAGATTTAATATAATTAATTGATATGGGAAAATAATTGGTTATATGACAGTTTGATATTTTTCTACCGGTTTGATAGAGACAAATAAAAGTCAATGATAATGCTTATATATATTATATAATTTATTATTGATCAATAGAATAGATAATTGATTCAAATAACTAATCAATAAATTGATCAGTTCATTTAAATTAAATATAAAATAATAAATCAATAATTAGTGGTTGTATGTTATTTTTCCTTTTTATAATTGAATTCAAGAGCCGATTTAAGTTAGACCACTATTGAAAACTTGGAATCATTAGACAGCCATCTTGTTCCAGTATGAGACTCCTCCCCGCATGTGGGATTTGAATCAACGACATTCGGTCTTACACGCGAATACCTAACCTCTAGACTTGTGAATCCGACTTTTAAAATCTCTGTACTGATAATAATCGTGTGCTCATTAGCGACTAGCTTTAAGATAGATGTCCTGGAGTTCTGGTGAGAAGCTGTGACCAATGGAGTTCATTCTGTGTTGAGTTTGAAACACTTACCCACCTCAGACAGTAGATGAAAGGTTGTGCAAGATTATGAATCCATTGAAGTTCTAGCGTTCGAGTGCTCAAGTTATACGCGGTGTAATAAGAAACTAAGCTCTAGATATAACAGACATTAAAACCGTTGGTTGCAGAATTAGTGGTCTAGAGCTTAGGGGTTTGTTGGCTCAAGTCACATGTGAGGGATCGTGAATGCGCACTGTTGAGTAGTCCAATAATAGGACGAAGCGGCCGGCCAATGATTCCAGGTTTTCAATGGTGGTCTAACATCAATTGGTTCATAATCTTAGTAATCATAACAATCTCCACAACCCCATCCTGATAAATACATAGTAATAAATCCAGGGAAGAGAATGAAGAATAAAAATCATACTAAGTTAATAGATACTCTTGTATAGAATCCGTTCTTAACACCTCTCGCTTTCGTGCTGGGATATTTTTTCTACAAGGTTTTTTTAAAGATCACTTGTACTTCTTCGTAACATTTTCACTCTCTTTAGTTGACTGTGTGGTCGCGACTCAATTTTCTGTCACCTTTTCATTTTGCCAACTGAATCTTCCATTAGTATTCCCAACATCAAAGTCTCCAAACTTTAGATAGCGGCATCAGATTTGGGCTCCCGTTTTTTATCTGATTTATACATCTATATGTGCTCTTCCATTTGGATTTCATATGTGACTGCTCTTGTTATATTTCTGAAGGTGATGCTCCATTCATTATGAACTCCTCAGTAACCTCTGTAAGATTTCTTTTATTCTTCATCCCATTTATACCTATTAGGCGGCTCTTTCCAGTGAGTTGATAAAACGTTTCACCTGATTATTCAATAATAGACGTAAACAGAGTTAGGTTTTTTAAAAAAATTGTTAGCTCATTTATGTAAACTTTTAACATTCAGTACCATCTTTGGCGTTATAGTCATTAGATATTCTGAAGTATTAATTATAAATTATACAATTGACTCTAAGAATCTACTAAACTGATGATTACTAGTTTCTTACAGGAAAGCAATTAGTTGACCCATTCGGAAGGCACTGTATCGTAAATCAACTGAAGTTTATAATTTTAACTTTCGGGTCTTTGATTTTCGACTGAGAAAAATCTTGTTAGTGGTGCAATGTGGAAATATTCCATATTATTAAAGAGATTGACACTAGGAACAAAAAGCTACTCAGTATATCACAGTTTTCGGTGATCATTAATTTGTGATTAAAAATAAATAAATGAACCTAAATATCAATCTTTCTGATTGATAATTACTGATAAAAAGAATAATAGGGAAGTAGATTTTTGCTCAAGATATTAAGCAAACCACAGTCTACTCCTTTTATTTACTTAAAATGAATTGAACTAATAATGATAATGTCATCAATGTTGCGGCGAAACGATAGTGTTTGTAAATTACTAACGTAGATGATCTATGTGAAATGATTGGAGGTTTACTAGAGTTAGACGGGAATGGTGTGACGAATCAGCTAACTTTGAAGTCAAACTTTACGATCAGCACCTGACGTGGATTACCTCATCGACGTATCAATATACTATGCCTACTTTGAAGACTGTATAACGCAAACGATGTTACTATTTAAATATATTAATAAGAATGAGTACAGAGTAGATAGTGAGACCACCGCCACATGAGCCATTCCATGGTATACGATCAACTGATGCGCGTTGGTTGTCGTTGATTTTGACAGGGATCGATAATCTGTTCAGTATTCAGTGACTTAACTGCCGGACGATTTGGCTAAGGCTTAGTGATATTTTACTGGCTCTACATGGTTACAGTAATAATGAAATATCGTGGAAATAAGAAGGGAAACTTTTATAAGTACTAGCTTACTTAAGATAATACCTTAAACGTTTGAACATGACCAGATTCAATGTTATGAAAGTATGTTAAAATGTGATAATAATAGCTAAACTTTGAATTTCAGTCAATATTCTATCCAAATGTAATTGAATAAATCTTAAATGAACTCTATGTCATGTAATGGCCAATCGTATTATTAAAATGGGAGAATTTGACTTTTTTTTGTTTGAGATTATGAACTGATTGATGTTAGATTACCATTGAAAACCTGGAAACACAGGATGACCGTTTCGTCTTAGTGTAGGACTCCTCAGTGACAGTGATCATTCACGATCCCGCAACCTTATACTGATAATTTGATTTTTAACTATTAAAGTTTAAAATAATTGATTCATAAAGTGCTTTTTTTGTTTTCTTTAACTATTTATCTACCATAATCATTATCTACGTGGTTGAATAATCATGTTTAATAAAAAAAAAGAATTTCCTAATATTTCAATATTGTTTATCCATTCTGGCATTGGCTTATCTACAATCATTAATATTCTATTATGATCGTAAAGAGAATTTACGTCATAAACAAGAAATTGTATTTATGAATCAAATAAATGAAGCTAGACGAAGATGGCCAAATCATCATAGTTCACCAGAAGAAACTGAAAATAATCTTATAAATAATCATAATACTACTACTAATACTACTACTAATAATAATAATAGTAATAACATAAATAATTATGGAGAAAATCAATGGAATTTACAATTACAAAAAATGAAGATAAATTACGTTTGGTTACATTTATTCATGATACACATGAATTATCTACTGATAGTCATAGTGATTCGACAGCGATTCATATGGATTCTACAAATATGAAGTGTAAGCCAGTTTTTTTTATAATTATATTAATGAAAATTTCTATAAGAAAAGAGAATTTGGTGAAGAAAATTATTCTTTTCGATGAAATCATTTACTTAAGTTGTACATTCGTATATATATATATATATATAGTTATATGGACTAGTTGAAGTCAGACATTAACATCGTTGGATGTCGGCCGGCTAATTGTTAAGCGCTTGGGCGTGAGACTGATAGGTTCTGGGTTCGAATCTCGCGCGGGGGGCAGGATTGCGGATGCGCACAGCTGAGGAGTCCCATACTAGGACAAAACGGGCGTCCAGTGCTTCCAGGTCTTCATTGGTGGTCTAGCTTCAACTGACTCATGATTTCAACTACTGAAAATATGTCTATAGGAGGATAGAAAAGATTGCATCACAAAAATGGATAACTTTTGCTGATTAATTTTGTAAAATTCAAGAATTAACATTATTATTTTCAAATATATAAATTCAAAGGTTTAGTGTCAGAGTATCACAGAAACCACAAAACCTAAATACAGGATCATAATTAATCAGTCTTTAACATGTTGTGTAATCTCTAATTCTGTTGCAAACTTTAAAAATGTTCACAAGTTCCTTTAATTAGAAACTCTATCGATCCTAATAATTAGTCAATATTTCTCATTTTACTGAGTAAATAGTAAATAACGTGGTCACATCCAATAATTATTGAATTAATTTACTATAAAATATTGACAATAATGTTTAAAAAAACTAGTAGAAAATCTTCTTTATTTATTCAAGTATCTGTCATCAAATCAATGATTTAAGGATGCCATTTTTGTGCTACTTTATTCGTGAATGATTTTGTAATTACTTAGTCAATTAGACGCCTTGGTTTAGTGTTTCCTAGAGCTTAGTGGAAGAGCTTCATTGGTCACTCCGTAGACGTTTATCAACCTTGTACATTAAGCAAGAAATATGATAATGATATAGGATTTAAGTCAACAGTTAGTCCTCGAATTCGAACCATAGAATCAAAATATTGTTGTTGTTGTGTTGAAACCTGTTTTGTAAGTTTATTTGGTTGCCGACCACACAATCGAATGAATAGTCTGATATTATCACTCATCAACTTATCACTCGAGAAACTTAATCAGATTATTTAGTAGATCAAAGAAATATTTAATAAAATTTAAAGTTCAGTATTTCAGCTGAACTGGCCATGAAAGAAAATGGTTGTTCAAAGGCTATCTATCACCTTAAAAAAGCAAACTGTTTTTAAACGGTATACTTGTCTAGAAATGAATAACGGCTAGCAATGGGATCCAGGACGCGCGTTTTATCCTATTTTGAACTCGTCAGCTGTATGTACTTGCATCTCAGAGTTGATGTTCATTCCTGGACTCCACCCTAGTGCCGTTCTCTTCAAACACCATCGCGCTATCCACTTAGTTACTTAGTCCTGCTGGCCACTATTCATCTTTGCTTATAATGCTTGTGAATTAAGGCAATACGCACAGTATGCATATATGCCAATAAGAGACCGATCGGTTGCAGTTCTAAACATTGATGAGGAAATTCAAGTAAACAATACCAAGTGAAGTATCGTCTTCCAGTTGATATTAAACTATTTAGTTGTTTTATTAATTTTATTATTCAGATTTGGAAGATCGAACACGTTTCATTGATCAATATGATGATAATATTAGTTCAAATGAAGACGAAGAAAATCCATTCGAAGAAAACCATAAATTGTCAAACAATAAGGTAAAATGTTGCACGATGATGAAGTAAGATAAACAAAATGAATGAATAAAGTTCTGTCTAAGTTCATTGTTGAATGTAATTTTATCTTATATTTTACAAGTTAATCGAAATCAGAAACACTCTGTTTAATGAAGTGTTTTTTAGTGTCCACCTGATCAAAACCTTTTATTTAGTTTCTTGCACGATTATCTAATTTAAAAAAGCAATAATTTCTGTTTGGTGAGTAAAGGAAGTTTATAGGAGGACATTTGACATTTAATCAGTAACATTGTATATGTGAAATGTTAAGAGAACCGATACTGTGATATACTTAGTGTAAGCATCATCTAGTCAGAGTTATTATCGAACAATACATTGATTTTAGGATTTTTGTCAACAACTATCTTCTACTATTCATCAACGTACCAGTGTGGTGTATGCTACTCATGTGGACAGATATAAGTAGTACGTAACATCAATCGAAAAGGAATGCCTGGTAGCAGAAGGTTGATAAGATCAAAGAGGAGAGAACGGGATCAGAAAGTGATTTGTATAGAAATGAAGGAACAATAACGTCTGAGACAATTTAAGGACATTTCACAAGTGAAGTATCGAACGTATGGTATTCTCATTTTAGTGAATTACTATGTAATTGTATTTTCGGTTACATTAAGCTGTCTCCATCCATGTTTTCGTTCATTATACCAGTTTAAGATACGTAATTAATTTAATATTGTATTTCTCTCTCTTTCAATCTCGTATGTACATTCACTTTATTTTACTTTACCATTCTTTTAGTCGAATCAAAATGAACAAAAGTCTCCAACTCTAAATGTTAAATTTGCTAACTCTGTCACACCTCTGACTAAACAGAATGACAATGTCAATAGCAGTGGGAATATTCACAATAATATTAATGATATTGAAAGCAATAATAATATTGAAGGAGAAGAAGGGGAAGAAAATAAAATTATTATTGATTCTATTAATGTTAATAATCATGAAATTAAAACAAATAATAATAATCGACGGAATAAAATGAATCTACAACTTAGCAGACTAAACATTTCCAATGATAATAATAGTCCTAGTAATAATGAATACAATCATACCATTGGTGGTGAAAATAATCATAGTAATACTACTACTACTACTACTACTACTACTACTACTAATAATAATAATAATAATAATAATAGTAACAATACTGATATTAATGATTTACAAATTATGAGAGCAGATGATGTTTATTTTACTTTAAACAAAGTTAAACTATGCAACAGTTTCAATCATCATGCCTCTGGCATAAAGGATACTAGTGATGTTAGTCGAAGTGGATATAACTCAACAAGGAGGCCAAATGACAAAAATAATTGTTTGGCTGTAAAAGCAAAAATGTGAACACATTTAAATCAAAGAAAAAGCGAATGACATCATGTTGCGGTGAACGGTCAAGCAGTCCGGCACAACCTGGGTCATTTTATCCATTAGCAATTCTTTTCGGTGATAAACCAAGAGTATCTAGACGTGAATGTTATTTTTCACGAGACACAGAAGGCGTTAATTTGTATTTGCGTTTAGGAGCTGTGGGTAAGTAATTAATCGAATAATAATAACGAAATGAGAACAGTTGATTATCGATTATTGTCAATGAAACTTCAATTTCTTTGTTAGAAGTATTTTAGATAACATCATCTTCATTTAGGTTTAAATGTACTGTAATTTCCTGCAGTGTAAGACGGTTGATGATAGCCAGAAGGGATTCCTGTGTCTAGGTTCTGTGCTAATTGTCACTCATCTGCGAGATGTACTTATAGTCATATGGGAAATGATGAGTCATGGCGGATTCAAACTGGAGTTTTTCAGCTTCGAATTCTGACATATTATTAATAAGCTATTCAGGCCTCTAATGACCTCCTGTGAATTTGAGATATATACACTGACTGATCCTTGAGTGTTGAACAATGTTTCAATGCTGAACGAACCATATCTATGATTAAAACGTTTTGTAGGCTATTCCCAGTCACTTAGATTAGTGGCTATATTGTAACTTAACAGATCGAATTGGTTCACCAATAAAGACTAAGTGACCTTGACTCTAGTCACTACTTAGTGACCAATAAATATAGGTAACCATCGGGTTACATAAAATCAGTCGCTAACCAAAAAGCTTGGCGGCAACGAATCTGACCGTGACATTTGTTAATTTGGGTATAAATCCCATTGTGGAGCGTTGATTTACGTCACTAACTAGTGATAAATAGTACAAAACCAAAACTCAAATATTTCACTCAAGCAACTACAAGCATCTGATATCAAATAATAATACAAACAGTGCCAAGTCATTCATTAATAACTATATTGCAAATCAGTTAAACAAATATGATATTCATTACTACACTGTGATTGATTAATGTTTTGATTAAATATCCTATGATTGTTCTATCCATTTGTATCAGAATTTGTAATGTATGGAAAGTTGATAAATATAAGACAGAAATACAATAGATTATATTTAAAAATAAACTTACTGATTTACAGGGAAATATGGGTGGAGAGTGGTCATTAAAATGAATATTGTAAATGTATCGTGCTAATAGATAACAGTCAAGATGAGAAATAAATTAAGAGTTTCTACCAAATTAACTCAATTTTGTATCTATTAAAATAACAATGAATAAGCCCCAGATAATGTTTAATTTATTTTATGTTGCATAAATTTATCACTTAAGGTTTTGGTTTCGGAGTAATGATATTCGATGGCTTTAAAATAGCAGAACCATGGGAGGAAGGAGCTAATTCAGTGGTTTCGTGTCATGGGCATTTATGGATTCCGTTACATTTACTTCATTTTGTCTACGTGTTTTGGCAAACATACTTCTTATTTAAACATCATCGGGTAAGAACTATGCAGAAATCAGTAAACTGACGGACTAAATTATGATGACTTTGAATACAAGTCAAGTTTAGATGATAACATTGGGTTAATATGAATGCACTGATGCATGAATCAGTGTTAGACCACTATTTAAAACTTTGAAGCACTGGACCGCCGTTTCGTTTCAGTATAAGACTCCTCAACAGTGAACATCCACGGTCCTGCACGTCACACTCGAACCCAGGACTCGCGCGCAAACGCTTAAGCACCAGACCACTGAGTCGACACCCAACGGTGTTAGTGTCTAACTACAGCTAATTCACGAAATTGTGGGTCATCTTACATTGTCTTCGGAGAGTGACTGCCTCATTTACTTTTAAAAAGTATTTCGTTTTATATTAATAATGCTTAGGACTGGAAATTGACGAGAGTTAAAAAAAGAATGATAATTGCTTGTCAGTATAAACAAGGTTTGACTTGGTAATTTTAAATTTATTTAGCATTCGGTAAATTAGACCGACTTGCGCGTCCACATAGTGTCTCCTAGATAGTGGGTACCTACTCTCATGAATCAACACGAGCGGCTGGGTAGAGATCTGGCCAATCCGCAACTTTATTGAAAATTAAATGACTACAAAATACTCAAAGATGATACACAAAACTACTGAGGGTAAAGCTGATAAACTGGACTGAGATTTGACGAAGTTATCCTTCGAGTAGATCCTCCTGGCTCTAAAAAAGCTACAAAAAATTACACGGAAACACAGTATTAAATAACCAGAATAAGACCAATCTTAAGATCAAATAACATCAGCTTAAAAACAAAGGAAGATTAATTGAGATAACAGTGATACCTGCCCTGATATATGGTCTAGAAACAAAAGTGCTATGACAAAAGATTCAACAAAACTAGAATTAATGTTGGATATTGCGAGATGAATGATTCTAGGAATAAATGATAAAAGGTAGAAAACAGTAGATGAATTAGAAGAGAACACTAAACTACCAAACTCAGCGGAGAAAATCAGAAGAAATAGACTGAACTTATGGTAAGCAGCCAAGAAAATAAAGAATAACATTATGTGCAAAATGATTAACAGCATGATAGAAAGAAAAGTGTAAAAAGCTCATTCAAAGAGTTGGATCAGACAACTACAGGCAGATATACAAGTACTTAACGAACAACTAATTCCACAGATTGAAATCATGAGTCAATTGAAGCTAGACCACCATGGAAAACCTGGAAGTACTGGACGGCCGTTTCGTCCTAGCATGGGACTCCCCAGCAGTATGCATCCACGATCCCGCCCCCCGCGCGAGATTCGAACACAGGACCTATCAGTCTCGCGCCTGGCGCTTAACCAACTAGACTACTGAGCCGGCCGGCATCCAATGGTGTTAATTTCTAACTTCAAACAATCCAATCACCTGCTCACTTTTTAGACATCTAAACCAATGTAAAACTAGGTAAATTTGGTCACAATCAACCTATCATAATTAGAAAACGAAAGCTGAAAATCAAACGTTTAAATGAAAGCTTCAGTAAAGTGATACGTCGTCATTACAAAGATGATCATGGGAATAGCGTAACAGAAATAATAAAAATAGACATATGTATGTCTAATAAATGGCTGTCTAAAAGGATGGTAAAACACAAGGATAGCCGATAAGGCACATGTATACACGTCATCCATAATAAATAAGTAACTTTGATTAACAAAAGACGGAACATAAGCAAACAGAAGACCCTGAATTTTTAACGAACGTAAAAAACAACAATCAATTAAATAAATATTCTTGTGAACATTGTACAAATAAATTAGTAACATGGAAGAATATAGTTAATCACTGCTATGTGGTTCATAAATCGTCGGCAATCACTGGATGTGAAATAAGAAAAAGCAAGATCAAGACAAAGATCATACTGAGCCCCGATAGTTGCACTGTGTCACCAATAAATGTCCAGATAAACCAATCGGCTTTATCGACCTATATATAGTTGGAACGAGCATATTTGCAAAATCCTAATGAATAGGGAATAAAATTTCCGATGTATCGTACTTAAGTGTAAGCCACTTCTTTAAAGAACAGAAAAAAAAACAAGTGGATTAATACACGTTTAAATAGTACAAGGCACGCAAAGCAGATAATTTTTATTGCATAATTAAAAGCCAATTAAGTCTCATCATGTTACTGTTACGTAATTTCTGTCAATGTTATTTTTTATTGTGCGAGACATAGCTGTGTGTAAGTGGGTGTAAAAAGTAGGGTGTTTTTACTGTGGAAGAGTAAGGTCAAGAATATTTGAATGTTTTATTGTGGTGTGATATGTGAACAGGATTAATTGTGTGGCTTTTTGGATAAATGACCCATAGTAGGTGGATCGTTGGGCCTCCTGTTTTATTCGCTACTTGATTAACGCAGAAAACGGTATATAACTACGGCACTCGAACGTATAGAACCCCACAGTCTCAAAATCAGAAGACAGAAGAAAGCTGGATAAGAGTCAAAATGTACGGAAAATCATGGGTATTCGTAGATAGCAATTGTTATGACATCATTATAATTCAGCCAATCCTTAAAGAGGCAAGCTATGCTACTATTCAATCGTAGCGTGCAACGGTGATATTCTATAAAGCTCCATCATGCTGTGATTGGATGGAAACTCTTCGGCTTCTCCAGGGCCTCTGGAGGGTCTGTCGGAATTCTCGGAAGCCGTCTCAACATCTTCCCTTTTATCAAATTCGGTTGTGTTTGGTAAAACATAAAAAGCTTTAGCCGCTCGTCTTCCCTTGTAGTTGGATAATCCTTTTTGAAATACTGTGATTTTATTGACATCAATTTGGTGGTTGTTAAAAGTAGCACCTAATGTTCCTGCTGAATTGATTTATAAATTTTCTAGTTCTACAGGATTTCATGGAAATCATAAAATCGACCCAAGTTAGACCATCATTAGTAGTCCTTTATGTGTAGCTTGGATGGTCATTGAGACGAGTTAAAATTTCACCCGAAGACCTTCTAATATAGAATCGATATGCTTATTCTTGGGTGAATTGATCTTACCACAGTGGTTTGGATCCTCATCTCTCAATGTCATAGTAAAAAACGTTAACAACTATTAGAACAGGTCTTGATTAAGGCTGAGTATGACTGAAAAATGTAGACTTATTAATTGTTGAGTTGTGACCAATATCATGCTTGGTATGAATAGAATAAGGTTAATAATAACATTTTGTTTTACAGAACATTATTCCAGCTAACATTAAGAAAGACAATGGTACAGTAATAAATCGTTTGTGATAAAATATTCATACAGCTGATTCTGTGTAAAAATTGTCAGAAGTGTATATGTAATATATTCAAAATCTAGCTAAGTGACAATAACTCATTATACAAGACACCAAGCATAAATAATCTCTTTGTATTTCCATTCATATTTATCGTTATATCAATAAATTATTGATTTCGTTTATTGATATCCTGGAGCGTCTAATGTTGAAGTGGTTTTTTCTATTATAAATTATTTTCACTTGGTATTGTTTGGCTTGTATCTTCCCATTGAGGTTTTTTTAAGACTTCAATTGATCAGTCTGTCATTGACATATGTGCATACTGTGCGTATGCCTCGATATTACCTTAATTCGAGTCCCAGAGTAAACATCAACTCTCTGAGATGCAGGTACATCTAGCTGACGAGTCCCAAATAGGGCGAAACGCGCGTTATGGATTCCACTGCTAGCCACTATCCATCATTTCTTATAAATTGTTTTGTCTAAATTCATATTTAATTTTACTACCTCATTCTATGTTATCATGGTATTCATTCTGAATATATATATTTTTTATTCCAAATCATTTATTCATTATCATTGTATTCCTTTATTTAGGTTGTATTCAATGTACAAAAATTCGTTTTACGTTTTCTTTTATGTCATTTGGCTGTGGCTAATTTATGTCAATGGTTAAAAACAATTGTCGATGAAATTGGTAGTGAACCAGGACATGATGAAGAGTTAATATCTGATTCGACTATAGTTTTTCCATCAGAATATTTTTTCGATGCAAAAATACCACATAATAATACAAATGTGTATGAATATACAAATGGAGAAAAGTCATCAACTTTTAATTTGACTAATTTAGCAAATATGGTTTTATTAAATAGAAAAAAACATAATGCCAATGCAAAGTCTCATCATACAAGTTATGATAATTCAACTATTCATCCAGCTGAACAAGCGGTGTTAGGTACGTGTGGATATGTTTACATTCTCGTGTTGATTTTCGCACTGAAACTTAAGCCTACTGTCTATTACTTCGAATACTAATGACTTAATCACTAAGCTATGGAATAGTGAAAGCTAGCGACAGAAACAAGTATGATTTAATCCTGAATATCAGCAAGCTTTTCAGCTCATTAAAAATATCCTACCCGTTACAGAATTCCATAATTGTCTAAACTTAGTAACACAGTGAACATCGTGCTTACGTTTAAAGTGATAGGTACTTAAACGATAACATTGGAGTATATGAACTTCCGTTCAGTGCTTCCAGGATAGGAGGAAACAAATATCTAGGATCCGATCGTAAGCCAAAGTTTTCATCGAAAACATGTTCGTAGATTACGTATGTCAAAAGAGACTGAAAGAAATCTTATGTCGAATTTAAACAAAAGGAAAAAAATTAAACTTTTGAGGATAAATAATACACATAAACGTTTTATATGAAAACTTTGATGGAATTTCAAAGAACTTTCTCATCCAGCTGGAAACAGTTGTAACAATGTGACCTTAGAGATTGGTCAGTTCAACCAGAAATAATCACTTGCAGTAATTAATTCAAAAATACTTGGGTTGTGTAACAGCTAATTCACATGTCGTTGCAATCATAAACATATCCAAGCTAGACCTTCGGTCTCGCGCGCTAATGCTTAACCTCGAGACTACTGAACCGGCATCCAACGTTGTTCGGTATCTTACGTCAAGTAATGCACGACCATCTTCTTTGGTCAGTAACTGCCCCACACTTGACATGGATTAGCTCCATTGGCAACGATCTGTTGAAGAGTCTCACACTAGGACGAAAAGATCGTTCAGGGTTTTCTGATTTTCAATGATTCTCTAACTTAGGTCAGTTCATGATTTCAGTGAAATTCAACAATCTCCAAAACCTAATTCTGATAATTTTCACGCGGTCGAATTGTGAAAATAATTCTTAGAATAATTATATTATTCGTTTTGTCATAGCCTTTGGGATCTAGTGAACTTAGTCGTAAGCCCTTTCCATTTAAATATTATGATTTATATCATCCATGCACAAATATCGTTACAGTCAATAAAGATACAGTAAATGAAAATGGGGGATCAAATATGGATTGCTGAGCAAAAGTAGATCACCATTAGTGGGGTACTTGATCTATGATACGGGAAATCGATTTGTTTGCATCTAACATATGAATACCGTTGAGCAAAATATCTATATTGTTCTGTGGTATTCGTCTAATGTTTCATAATGTCTTCTCTACGTTTAGACTTTTCCTTCGCTATTTCCTTTTGTATTGATTTTATATTCAGGTTGTGGAATAACAGTCAAATATTTGGCTCCATATTTGTTTCCATGTGCAATTGAATATAGCTTAATAGCTGGTGCAATATTTTATAAAATGTTTGAAAAAGTTGGACATGTACGTAAAGAATCGGAACGCTTAGAAAAATTGCGTAAAGCTAATCCAAAAACAAGTCAATTCTCTGAATGTCATCGTTCACATAAAGGTTTATTTGTTGGCCTATTATTATTTATGGCAACATTAGTTGCAATGAGTCTATTTTTTATATTTATTGTGAAACGTGATCGACGGAATACAGCTATAACATTATATCAAGGAACTGAACTAGTTCTATTATCTGTTAGTACAGTGACATGTTTAATTAGTTTGTTTCGTTTACAAGCATTGAAATTAAGTGATCTGTCAGAAGAAGTAGCGTTTGATGATAATTTATTATTGATTGGTTTGGTTGGAATGTTATTCTATGATTTATTCCTACTAGTGCCCGCTTTAGAAGCTATACCGAATGGTGTAATTGCAGCCAAATTATATGCGGCTAAGGCTATCATGGAAATGATTCAGTCTATGCTACAAGTAAGCGTTTTTTGATTTTGTATTCTTCAAATAAATTGTATTGATGGTAGTAATATTAATAAACCCTTTTTTGTGTTTTTGATATAATCTACAGCTTGACTCAATTATACTTTCGTTTAAGTCACGAAGAAGGTGAACTGTGTGACAATCTATGGGTTTTGAATACTCACACTAAATGTTTATGTGTATTCGCAGTTTATAAATAAGTGATGATTTAGTGAATGACATAGTTACTTCACTAAAGCTCAACCAAATTGGAATTTAACTAAGCAAACAATCTTGGTAGATTATATGATTTTGTAAACCAATCATTTATTTGCTAAATTGTGTACAAATATGAACTAAAAATGTTGTACAATATCGGTGTCTCAATCCAGCTATAAGAATCACATGAGCTAGAACAACCGTTATTCTGTGGCCAAAGTTGGTTGTGAAATGTAAAAGCAACTGCAGTAAGGCATACACAGTATTATATTAGTATTTACTAAATCGCATCGAGGAAACGATTAAAATTACATTTTTCCCAAAGTGAATTATGAATGATAGCTAAATTGAACATATTTTACTTCAGATCCAGTCAGTATTGATACACATAATTCAAGACGTTTACACCGATTATCATTTAGTTGATAAGTGACATTCTGTTAGGTACTCTCAAACTATGTTTAAAGAATCTATTCTCCAGTCGTAGATTCTAAGTAGTATTATGGAGATTGGAAAACCAGTATAATATTTGCCCATCTTGACGCAAATTGTATTCAAAAGATGAACCGTTTTTGGGGATATGTTACTTTATCGTTTGTGTAAATTATACTGTCGAACAAGTCATTTTATAAGTGATGCATTAAACAACAGGCGCACATAGATTACAGATACTCAAACAGATTAGAATACTCATAAAAATGTTATCTCATATAACCGCTTCACTGATAAAAAAATTTTATACAGGTTTTTTGGACGTTACAAATGATTCATATTTGCCTTGCATTTTTAAGCTTGAAGTAACTTTTTCAACCTCGAAAAAATTCAATCATATGTAGAAGCCGTAATGATTAGTTTTGAGCTAGCAATTCTCACAGTGAGACCTCCATTGAGGTACCACTGAAAACCAGTGGGAAATGTATGGTTGTTTTTCTCAATGTAAGCCATCAACTCTTCCTGGTGTCAAAGCAAGTTCTTTGGTTTTTGCCGTGAGTGCTTTATCACTAGTCTAATTAAGCTAGCAACTCGTACCACCATTAAACCATAGTACTCGTTATCATTACGAAACTTCTTGTCAAAGCATTAGATCAGTTAGCTTACTTGATGAATTTAGATAATGTTTTTAGGATACATCTATGCAAACTATGTTAACACCATAAGTTCTACATGCTGTTCATTAAAATGTTTATATGACAAGTGTTTTGTCCCGACAAGCATAAGGAATGGTAACTTTTGGGATCACATTATGAAACTATAATATGCGTACATTTTTATCGCATAATTGTTAAATAACTAGACTATTCACACTCATATACCTCTTATTATGAGCTTTACTTTGACTTATGAACTATTATTATACGATTTACTATTCTTGGATTATTCCCTGTCTATTAATCACTACCTCCCACATTCACAGCCACATTTGACCAAACCTTGTACGAATGTTGTTTCCTATTTTGATGATACGATGTGATCTGTCTGGTTGGTATATAAACCCAGTATGTTTGAAATAAACGACTCATATCGCAGAGGCTGAGATTAGTGTTCTGGACTTAACTGGCTGGGCTAGGCAGTAAGCAGGAACAATAAGGGCTCTAGACTGCTCGCACGGGTTTTATGTGTCATTGGTGTGATCGACAATTCACTGTTCTCTAATTGGCCGTATCGTTACGTTATAAATTAACAGGAGACACCGGCCACAAGTTGTAATAACAAGAAGGAACAAACAGACAACCGAGATGCCACCACATTAATATGCAGCAAACCGGAAATGATGAACTTTGATATTAATTATGAGAAGAAAAAAAGAAGAATAAACAGCTCTCCGCGTCAAACATCCTTATCAGTCAAAGATAAGGTGGTTTGACCAAAAGCTCTTTTTATAAATGGTTTATCTAGTCAATTAGGAAACATAGTTGCAGTTTACTTCAACATGAAAACGATATTTATTAAAATATTTAATTTCAAGACGAAGTTTCTCGAGGATAACTTTGGAATAAAGCCAATTTTTCTAGTCTAACAATGGCTATCATAAGTCGTTGGTTTATAAAATGCCATTTCATCCTAATGAAACATTGTAATTAACTTTTTTTTTCATTCAATTTTAGGTATTTTTCATTTTGGAAGCATCTCGAAGATGCGCTGGAACATTAGAACATGTACAAAAAAAACCAGGACGTACAATGATTACATTTTTATTAGTATTAAATTTAGCTATGTGGTTTGTGAATACATTCGAAGTGAAACACGCAGATAATCATAGTATACATATAAATTATTATTCATCTATGGCATGGAAAATTATTACACATATAGCATTACCTTTAATTGTATTTTTTCGTTTTCATTCCACAGTTTGTTTATCTGATATTTGGGCAAATGCTTATCGTTTTAGAACAGAGTAAATGAAATTGTGTTATATCTGTTTTACTTTTTCTTCTTCTATTCATTAGTTATTTGAATTTTCTTCTATCAATCAGTTATTTATTTTCAATGTGATACAATATCGGATAGAGAACTTACTTTTATTGATATAAATGAATCAGGATATTACTGAATATATAATGAGCTTTTATCGATAAGAAATATGATGTAATGTAGTCTTATGTAAAAACTATTCTTTATGTTAAACAGATGTAATAATATTCAGTAAAATTATGTTCTTTCTTTGTAATATCATGTTTCAAATTATTTCCTTTATTGTTCTATATATTCTATGTGCCAATAAAAGCCCCATTCACGTTGATGTTGTGTATATGAAATCTTTTAATATATATATATATATATCTGCAAAATATGTTTTGCATACTTTTTATTGATATTATTTAAACTTGTTTTTAGTTTATTATTTACTGATATAGTACACCATATTCATGGATATATAGATAATATAAGTCATTTATGAATTAGTTCAATCATTCAATGTTTAATAATGACATAGAGATCATGAAAGACATATGACCATCATGTAGGATTAAATTATTCGAAGAATCCCACTAGTTTGTTTTTAATTTTGAAGTTTTAAAAGTACAATCAAATACACTAGATGATATTGATAAGTATATATATATATAACATAATTTAAAGATAATAGTTCTGAACTGATTTCGATTAGTAACATAAAAACAATAAAGAATACCACATTCATATTGGAACAAAGTACTCTTGATTTTCAATCACAATTCAGTTGATAATAATCTATAATGTGAGCATTACACTTTCAAGTTATAGAAAATTCTCCACCAAAAGAAAAAAAACAAACAAACTGTTTATATTTATTATTTAAACATTATACCATTTGAATTATAAATTTACAATGGAAAATCAAGGTTCAATTATTAAAAAGAAAGAAAAAAAATAACAACTAGGTACATATTATTTTAGTATTCTCTTTTGATGAAAACAAAACCAGAAGTTAGTAAGAGGTGTAGGAAGGATTTGAATATGACCAACTTGGTCACGTGTGCTGTTACAGGTATGAAGGCTGATGTCACCAGCAGTTACATAATCACAAAAATACTTGATTTGAATATTAATGATAAGAATATAAAGTGAATGAGTTAAAAAGCATAAAAATCATAAAATTATTACGATATTACTCTGTTTATTCAAAAAAAATATGATCAGGTATACGGTATACATGTACTATGTATATAATGCTGAGAATAATTTTAACAATGATGATTAATTTATCACATTCATGGGACTATATAGACCCATAGTCGATACAAGCAAACATCAAATGAAATGCAGGCAAATACATTAATTAATCTGAATATGTCCAATGATCCAAATACAATACAATAAAATGACTGAACTAATTGTGTTTTCTTTTCCATTTTAAGATATTTATAAACAAGCAATGAAAAACAAAAGATGACTTCATAAACATTTTTAGTTGTCAAGTATTATGACAAGGAAAAAAAAACTGATAATCACTAAGAAAGACAAACAATGTTATGTTTAAAGGGATAAAAAATAAGTGTTCTATATGATATTTCCTTAATCTTATTATCTCATTATGCATCATACATCAATAAGCATAATCATTTTTGATCATAGTTTGATGCAGTTTCATAACTTCTGGGCGCTTGTGAATTGATTGGTGCATTGATATCATCAATATCTGTAATTGTATGAGGATTAGTTGAAATTGTTGAAGATTGGGAATAGTTATGTGAATCATGATGCAGCACATTGTTTCGTCTATTTACTAAAGCTTCATTTATTGTTGTGGAATGTGAAAATTGTGTTTGAAGGGTTGATTGTGTTATAGGTAAAGATCTAATTGGTTGTATTGTTGGTGGTAACAATGATTGCGGTTGAGGTGTTAATGTTTGATGGGGAGGTGTTGGGCCAAGCAAATTAGGATAATCATTTATTAATTGATTTGTATCTGTAAAATTCCCAGTTAATCTACTTAAAGCTAAACGTTGATTAACACGATCAATAGCAGCTAAATCTTCATCATCATCACTCGAACGGAAAAGTAATAATGAAGCGGCAGCTGCCGCTGCAGGCAAAGCTTGTGGATTTGAGAAATCGACTAAATCTTGAAGACCATAAGTATTAATTCCAGTAGTACCACTAGGTAACTGAGAAATTAATGTATTCTGATTCTGTTGTTGAATAACAGTTGGGTTTAGTAAATTACCATGAAAGAAAGGCATTACCTGTTGTGGATAGGTTAAATTTTGTCCAATATTTTGGTTCATTATCCTATGTCTCTGTCGAGATGAATGATGAGTCGATGGGTTGTTTGCGTTAATTTTATGAGTTTGTAGTGGAGCTAAAGCACAGTTTTTTTCATCATCTTCTTCCTCATCGATATCTGGATCCAACTCTGGATCTGGATCAACATCTACAGGATTAACTTTGTCATCTTTCTCATGTAAAATAACACCAGTAGTACTGGAATTCTGACCAACCTGTGATTTATTAATTATATCACTCAAACAACATTCATTATTACGTTCATCTTTATGCATTGAGTTTGTTTTATTGGCTGTATAACAATGTGTTGATGGATGAAGTATATCTGAATGGACTAGATTATAAACTAATGATTGTGAATTAGTAGTGGCTCTGACTTTATTCATCTTATCGCGAGCAACATCAAATGCTTTGTGTGATAATTCCGTTAACTTAGGTAACCATTCTTGATAGATCTTTTAATAGTAATGATAAAATAAAAACAGAAAATCTCGTAATCAATCTCACAGATTTAAACGTAAACATTCATTTCCAGTGTATTTAAATCTACTTTAAAAGTGGGTTTTAATTGCTAAATCACACCGAACAAATAACCAACAAATAATATCTGAATTGCGTAAAAAGAATATCATGAATCGCTATTACTCACACGTTATTAGTAGTTTAAAAAGTAATTAAACTTCTATCCAAGCAATATGCTGGATAAAAAACAGTATGTTTTACTGAGTTGTAGATGAAATAGTTTACCTTATGCAACTCTCTATTCAGAATAATTTTCCATCTAAGTATTGTTTCATAAATTTAGTCTCCGTAACAGTAGAACTGACTGCTAACAGACTTATTCAGTTAGCTTATAGTAATGGTAAATGAGTAGCTAGGGTTATTTCAAACAAAGTTAACTACTTACATGGAGTCATTTACTTCAAAAACTCATTCTAGAAAGTGAACAAACGTCTACCGTTACGGTTGAGTAAGCAGAAATAGAAACCACCATAGGTTGTGTTTCGATATAGCTAACTGAACTAATAAATAGAAAATATATTCCTGATAATGTGTTCAACAATGTGTTTAGCTAGATTGTATAGGACTGAAATTGAACGGATAATCTGTAGTCAGCATTCTCACAAATATTGATTTAAGATTAAGGAATTGAATGCATAAAAACTTACTTTTTTACGAGGACTTCTTAGGAAATCAGGACTCAAACGTCGATCTGATGATCCGCCTGAATGTTGTAATATATGTAGATAGTTTGGTCGATCAGGATGTAATCGTTCGAAAAGGCGCTGACCAATACCTGTATTATTCATATTGGTGTTAGATGGTGTTTCAACCATGGAAAAGGAAGAAAGTGATTTTATGCTCATCTCATCATGTAGTTGAACCTCGGTACTTTCCAAATCCGGACTCAGACCCACATGTATTGTGGGTTGATGCAATCTAAAATAATGGTAATCATGATCAAAAAAAGGTCATACGAAAATGAGTAAACTGTAGAACCGGTACAAACATTTCATCAGAACAAAAAAAACGAACTGGAGTTCATTTTACTGACAAAGAGTGTTTGTAATATTGAGAAAGTCGATGTTACTTAACGGATTCGAAATCGGGTATATATAGTAAATATTTAGCGTATGAAAATGACTTAGATTCACTAAGTGTTAGTGATGATCATATAGTCAATCGGACAAGACCTAAACACAGCACTAGTTAAGACAGACAGAGCGGCTGGTAGTTTGAAGTAGATACCGTAAGGAATGCGTTTCAAGTGAAATACGATCTTAAAACTTTATGCTAGGAGTCAGCTTAGGATTGACAATATGGATTAGATGTATTTATCTGATAATGTTGTGCGAATATTGATTGTATGATTAGTTCTTACTATGTATTCATCCTTTTCGACTATTTCTGTCTAGCTTTGTAGTTTACTATTTCGCTTAGTTTTTTCGGAATTGTATCTAAGTGTGATTATTTGAGCTGAAACAAAGTTAGATAAGATAGTTATTTTGTCTTTTTGACGGTTTATAAATTTCACTTTTGTACAAATCCACTCATAAATCTTGATTGATCGGTGAGTAGAAATTAACGTTACATTTTCAAATGATCGATTTGATTAATTAGAATGAATGTTGAGAAATTAAGTAAGAAATTGAGAATGTATCTATAAATTGAGTTAACGTCAAGTACCTTTTCGTGATGAAAACTGATGTAGTGAATAGATAAAGTTTATCAGTACTGCTCATTGCAACTGAGTCACTAAATATCCATTTCTGTACTTAGCATTAGGCCGCAAGTTTTCCATATGAAGAGTAATATAGTTCAGGTTGACGAGAAGTGAAGTAGACCACAAACTTGTAACTTATACAATTATTTCCATTTACAAATATGAATAAAACTAAGAACAGTAGCCATAGCAAATAACAAATGAATTCATCTATTTCATGGATTCACTCCGGCTGCTTATAATTTTTTAATCATAAAAGTCTTGATTCAAGATTGGTTCGACATATAAATGTCGAATAATAACAAAAGGATAACAACTAACCATCCATTTTAGAGAATGTAACATTATCATAAATATTATTTGTACGAATAATTATGTTAATATAAGACTATTTAATGTTTTCTTGTGTAACAATTAGACTTCGTAGTATTTCAGTGAACAAGAACTTAAGTGGGGAAGACCAAATTATTATTTAACGTAAAATATGAAGACCGTACATTAAATACATCATCAGCACATCTTTCTTCAGTTAACCTTTACATACTTCATGATTCTTTTAATTCTCTTGTTATTGCAATTGATCCTGCGTCACTTCCCGTTTCCTTCAGTTCAATCTTCCTAAACTTCTGCTGGTAAGCATTTCACTTCTCATTTGTGATACATACTACTTATATCTGTTAACATAAGTAGCATACACCGCATAATAAAGAACTAATATAGATAATCAGAAGAATGTTTTGTAGGAGATAAACATGATCAACGAATAAAATTAACCAACTAAACAATGAAAATTTAATTTCATATTAAAATGCATCTTTCATTAATGAAATGTGAATTTTAATAAAAATCAAAAAAAAAAAATTCGCAAAGGTTAGTTTCAAGAATTTTGTATAACTTACTCTGAACTAACATTAAATACATCGGAGCCTACACCGGAACAAAATTCATAATTAAACTTAGAATTTTGTTTATTATCAACCATTTCGCTAACAGAATGTCTATGCCTACGAATGTTATCCTTTGAAGTTTCACAGATATCTCTGTCAGGGGGAATTAAATAATTTAATGTTACCGGATTATCAATGACAGATGATGCCCGACGATGTGTTTTATTATCGAAGTCACCACTAGACCGATGTGTATAAGAAGAAGTAGACGGAGATTGTTCATTTGGTATAAGTGTATATTTAATCGGTAATGTGGATTGTTGCATATTAATGGCACAATCAGATAAAAACGAAGGTATATTTGATGTTTCAGAAGATAATATGAATTCTGGTAGATGGGTGGATTCATTTGACTTATGAATTTTATTATCATCTACCGATCGTGATGATTCTATAGAGGATACCAGTATACCACCAGTAAAAGATGAATGTCCAGCACTTCTTTCTGCTTCAAGCTATTGAAAAGTAAATAATAAATAGTTGAAATTATGAGTTATTAGGTTTGAAAATCAGTAAATGTTCATTCATTTGTACAGAACAACATTGTTATCAATAAATTGAGTTATATAATGAGAATTTTACACATACAGTTCTTACTACTTTTGTTTTATGTAATATTAGTCTACACAGAACTTTATTATATAAAATACTTTTCATATAAAAATTTAAACATTATTATGTATGAGGATCTACAACTAATCCACTGGATGATCAATGAAACTGAAACTTAACAAATTACGTTATGAAAGTTAGTAGGAAATCAGTTACCCAAGAGAACACATTCAAAAGTTCAGCTTCAGACTTACAAAATGAATTCAATTATAGCTAAGTGAATCATCTTGTCATATAGACAAATGGATAAGAAAAATGAGGAAAGTGAGAAGTAAGCATTATAGTTCTTCGCAATGAGACATTTTTCTCGCCATAAATTACAACTAGAAACCGTTTACTTACATTATGTAGCTCAGTTTTCAAATCAGTCAATTCAATACCTGATTGACTAATTGGGGAAACATTTGGAGCACTTATGTGTGAATCGTACGGTTTATTTGAAATAGGGTTTGATGGATTATCGTCTATGAAGGAACTTGATAAATATTGTTGTGTTTTATATTGTACAAATTGAGGAGTACTTGTATTTGTTCTTGATGTTACTGTATCGATTGTTTCATTATATGAACTGATATCTTGACATTTAGTTGTAATTAATCTTGTATTTGGAACAGATGTATCATCAGTATATGGAGAAGTAAAGAATGGATAATTTGAAACTAATTTCTCTTCGTCTTCATCTGCTTCTATTTCAGGAACTGCTTGATGAAAACTAGATGTCACTTGAGCATGTGCGCCAGGATCATATAGGTCATTATACTAAAGAGTATAGTTTAAAATATATATTATTATATTGATTTTGAAAATTATAGTGAATAAGTAAAGAACAATTTTCATGTATTATCCTTAAAATTCATATGATTATATATATCACGTACTAAAGTTAGCACACAACGATCTATATAAGTTAAATGAATAACATATCTTAGTTGACTTAGTTTATTTAAATCAATTAAATGAAGCAGCACAGGAAAAGAGATGTAGATGTAACCACTCTTTGGTGTAGATATTGGACATGGATTATTTTCTCTTATAAATACGTTCAATACCATTAATATAGGGTCGAAGTAAAAATCAAGACAGTATCTTGAAGATCGTGATGCGCTTAATCCACGGAACCAAAATCAAATAATTCACATTTTCTAAACTTGTTTGATTTATGGTGTCATTTTATGACATTATTGTTCTTTAAAATATACAAATTAAGCACTACAAGACACTTCAGTAAAATGATTTGTTTTGTAATAAATGAAAACCGGTTTAAAAGGTGTCAATCAGTCAGTAACAACGTGGAACTTCGTACGTACGTACGTAGGTCAGTTCGAGTTGCCACACCACATTAGCACAGAGATGCAGTTGTCAACTCAAATTCCGTAGTGGTAGAGGTAGTAAGAGTATAAGCAGTAGTCGGAAACATTAGGGTTTGAAGATGTTATTCAAGGAGTATAATCCGGTGAAATAAATTTGGAGAGAAAATAAGGGAAGTGAAGAATTCAGAAGGTCAGAATTTGGGAGAACACAAACAGTGGATGCACCTGAGCCATTGCAAACGATTTTTAGCCATGTCATTCAGGGTCTCTAACCAATATCAAACTTAATCTATTGGTTGAATAATGTCCATAGGTCTATGTAAGATGTTTGGTCTTCAAAATTTTTTATATATAGTAATGATTGTAAAAACTTAAACATATTATTTGAATAACAAATTTCTATGTAAAAGTAACCTACTTGTCTTAAACGTTGCTCCCATGCTGACATTTGACTAGCTTCACTTCCACGACGATAAATTTCTGGTATCTCTTCTATATTAAATTTATTTTCACTAGTTATACATTGCATATTTGAAATTTGAGAAGCTGGAATTTTTTGAATCCATGAAGTATCATGTAATTTTTGTTCAATTTCTTGTAATAATTCGGAAGTTAATGGTTGATGACACCTACATTGTAGTTCAGTTTTGATGGTGCCTAAAATTGACGTAGCATAATTAGTGTTTAGTAAAATTGACAATTTAATGAACTGATGTTCGTATTTTAAAAAAGGGAATAGACGTATTCATATTGGATTTCTCCATAATAAAATACTGTAGATAGCTCACATTCAATATCATTTCAGATATAATTGTCAATTTAATTTCTCAGACTATTAAACTACTTGAATCATTTAAGTAGTATGTAATTGTTATTCTAACTCACATTTTTAGTTTCTGGTGTTGTCAATAGTAACCTGCATTTCATACAAAAATAACTCGAGTACTTACTACTTTTCCATTGCTATGCTAGTCGAATCAGTGAAATAATAAGTTGCTTGTGAGATTATTTAATAAATTGATTGAGTGAAAAACAATTCTTGAAGATTTACCTGATGGTTGTCTCACGGGTCCACAATTTACAGGTAAACTAAAACGTTTCTGATGTCGAATAAATTGTCCATCCCATAATTCACTTTTCAAATTTTCACCAGGTTGATTAAATTTTTTATGTGTAAGTTTCCACCATAATCCTAAAGGAAGACGTCTTCTTTGAGAATGTAAAGCAGAGAATAATGAACGTTGTTGAGCGGCCAATGTTCGAGAACGAGATTCCGGGAGTTGCTGTTGTTGACAGCTTTGTTGCGGCTGATCACTAGATGAAGAGGATAACGGTTTTGAATTTTCAAAATTGTCGTGTTTTGGTCGAGATGTTTGAATCCAGTCGGAATTCTTCACCGATGATGTGGTTCCTTCTATGGAATTTGGTTTTGAATTATGCACAGTATTGATTACAGACAAAGATGAATTTTCACTCTCAGCACCAGAATCCTAAGCACATATCGAATCATAAAAATACACAATAGACACTGCATTTTTATTCTGTTAACTTAATAGCATTGCAATGCACAAAAAATGATGACAATTATCACTGACTCAACATGCAAAGACTAACTAGACCCTAAAAAGTATTTGCTTATAATCTGAATCTATACAATAGAAATTGCTCATTCGAATCTAGTTTAGCTTGAAGAAATGTATCTAGTCAAATAGCATAACAGATATTTACAATGTAAAAAACAATTGTGTCACTACTGTGCAATATTTCTTATGAAGCAATCGCAAGATTGAGTTGATTTCACCTGGACAAAGCCACAATATTAACTTCAACATTATATTTTTAATATCCCAATAAGTACAAATCTAAATTTGTGGCATTTCATCACTTAATTTAAGTCACTTTTTCAAATTAACTAGATAAGTGACTGAATTAAATCAACAGAAGTAGTATAAAGAAACGAGAATTTGTTCCCCTAACTAGTTATAAACTATTATGTTAAGAATAATTCGTTTCAATCGAATGATATCCCTGATTAAAAATTAGTTTAGACCATCAATTATGCTATTAGTGATTCTTTCATCCTACTTTAGTCATGTTTATCCCTATTAAGGTTTTCAAAAATCCATTTGACCTACAGTTTGATTCAAGTAGGCGATTAACATGTTCATATCTCCTTATGAGCACTAAACTCATAGACAAATGATATGAAATCCAGTGATTTACATTTTCAACTCGATTTGTAGTGTGGTGTAGATTGTTTAAAATGAAGCATGTAGAACTGTTACTCCATTTTAAGGATAAAGTTTAAATGGTTTGTCAATACTTGGTTACAATTTAGTTTAGACAAACAGTATCTATTTTTACAAGATTAAAATCAAGAGTCGATCTAAGATAGATCATTATTAAAGGCCTGAAAGCGCTGGACAGCTATTTCATTCTAGTATGAGAATACTCAAAAGCACGCATCTACGATCTAGCACCTTCGGTCTTGTGCACGGACGCTTAACCTATAGACCACTTAGTGGTTCCATACTAAGAAGAAACGGCCGTTCAGTGCTTCCAGGTACTCAATGGTTGTCTACCTTAGATTGAGTAGTGAGTTCAACTGTGATAATACTACAATCTCCACAAATCTTCCGTACTTAAAACAGTAACTTGTCGACATTGTGCACAATGAGGAGTAAAGTGTTTAAATATAACAAAAACCTTAAAATAACAAAAAACAAAAATGAATCAGTATAAGTACCTCTTTACGGTAATTTGCTTGTTCCGGATAACTTCCCCCCACTGTGATTACTGGTCGATGAAGTGGCTGTAGATCAGCGGCACCATCAGATGATCTACGAGGAAAACTAGAACTATCTATTAAAAGATGGGAAAAAATGGTATGAAAATAACAGAAAGAATTCAATTTAAACGAAGGGGAAAAGAGAAAACCATTTATATTAGTACTTTAACAGAACTCAAAACTGATGTCTTTGAAATCGATAAATTATTTGCAACAACTTGATAACTCAATAACAGACGGTCAATTAATAACGCGTAGTAACTGAAATTAAACTTGTATACAACTGGGTGACGACTCGATGGTTTAGAGGTTAAGCGCTTGCCCAAATACTGAAGGTCCCGAGTCCGAGGTCGTGGATGTGCACTACTGAGGAATCCCAAATTAGAATGAAACGGATGTCCAAAGCCTTTCGGTTTTCACTGGTAGTCTAGTTGATACTAGTCCGTATCGTAAATAACATAGATTCAAAAATGATTAACAGAGAGATTAATGTGTAGTAATTTTCATGGAGCTATTCGAAGTTATGAAATTGAAAAAATGGAATACTTCTCTAACCAATACGAAGCATTATTCAGTCTGAAAATAGTTTCTGACCATCCAGTTCTGGTATCTAGAACTGATTGACCACTGACCAGTGATTAGTTTTATGTATGTGAAGTCATTCTTAGCGCTGATCAAATTATATCAATGCCCAGTTTATATCTGTACACAGAGCATGTGATATCAAGTCACTTAGAGTAGTGGTAAAATTGCAACTTGATCTATGAAGTTTGATTAGAAATACGAAGGAATTGACATACATGACACTGGTCACAACTCAGTGCTAAGTAAACTGTAAATTTATATCTATTCTGCAGGAGGTCAGTCTCCACTAATTGGCAGGGTCTCTGACTACGAAGCTGGGTGACACTAAGTCGAATGAGCTATGAAGTATCAGTTTCTTTGAAATTACAAGTAGATCATGCTGAAGAAAGCGAAACAACACTTTACTTAGGATGTAGGTTTACCATCGATTACCTCTAACCATCACCTTAGTTTCTGTAACCAATTAACAAGATAAACTCCTAAAGTTCTAGCTTGAAAAGGTGATTTATGGTGTTCAGATATATAGGGAATGGGACAGTCGACGTCAAAAACGTTGAAAGACTGTTGTACTGTATCGTTAATTAATTGTAGGTGATCATATTTTCTTAAAGCATCGATGTTGCCACAAAATCTGAAGGTTTTATATTTGACTGATTATGTATGTTATTATGAATGCTTACATTTAAACAATAAAAACAGCTGACAAGTGCTACATGTTTGTCAGTGGTTCTCTAGATGATATCAAGCCATGATGAATACTGTCTTCAAAGTGAGGTTAGCAATGTCATCAAACAGCTCGATGGTTTAATGATTAACAATAGGACAATGGCACTTGTGGATATTGAATTCAATCTCATATTGGTGCATGATAAAATACACAATCGTAGGTTAGATCAAATAAGCATTTGTAAAACATACGTGGAGTCATAAACTCTGGTGGAGCAAGTAAATTTGGATCCTTAACAGTAAAACAAGCTACAGGTTGATGAATCATAGCTGGTAAGTTCGCCGGTAAGTTAAGCTGTGGAAGTAGTGTACGCAGTACTCCAGCTGTTGGATCACATGAATTATCATCATCTTCATCCACTCCACCTGAAATGCGAACAGCTGACCAGCAAGGATCTTCTAGTAAGGTTGGTTTTTCAATTAGGACATGTGCCGTATCCTAAGAAATTTAAGAAAAAGATATTCTAAATGGGTGAATTTGGCAAAAAATTAGAAATATTGTGTAAAGTGAACACTGGAAAAGAAAAATTAAATCTTTAAGGTATCTTTCATAAGCAGATAATACGGTATTGCTTTATGATTTGAGTAAAATAGCTTCAATCAAGACTATTCTTCAGTATCTATTTTATTCTAGGTGGGTTTTGGGAATCGATAGAAAATTCTAAACCTAAGGCTTGTACTTATGACAGTTGAAACATCGTACGAATGATTGCGGATTTTTGAAAAGAACATCTTTCTCGTTCATGATTATTTTGACAGGTCGGTTAATTTTTTATTTCAAGTTTATTTTAAACTTATCATTTATGGATAAGGCATATTGAGTAGCCTTAACATAAGATTAAACAACTGTATGGTGTTCGCTCTGTCAGTGATTATTAATGTTTTATCAATTTATATTGACAAATCCTATCAGATAGTGAGTTTTGCCAAGTTTTTGTAAAGTCACAAATAAATATTTTAAGAGAATTTGGTTCTATAATATTTTTCATTTTATATACACAACTGATAAATATGTATTTTTGTTGGAATTGTGAATGTAAAAAATACTAAGAACACTTACATTCACTTTTTCATTAGTCTCTGTGTTCATATCTATTGAAGTTTGTTCTGGAATACGATCTAACAGCAAAGGATCACATGATGGTGTTTGTGAATTAGTATATTGTGAAGGAATCAGTTGACTTTTCGATGTAGACTCATATGGGCATTCAACTGGAAATTGGAACGAAAATTAATTATGAAAATAAATAGAAGTATTAACGTATTATTTATAAAATAATCTGAAATTCGATCGAGTTATTTTTCTTTCAAATGTGTACTAAAACGACCAAGAAACATACAAAGAATCAGAAAACTTCAGATAGTTATTTTATCCAAACTTAAAACTCAGCATTAAGTCAGAACTTTGATTCATATATATATAGTTAACATGAATACCACAAAATATGCTTTATCTAAATATCTAGGCAGTATACTATAGCCATTTCAACATAACCTAAATGATGTTGTATAAAATTCATATGAATTTAATTCAAAGATCTTGGGATTATTTATCAGAGGGAATAAAACAATGGTAAGCTTTGATGTGGCATCTTCATACACTAATTTTCCAAATGACAGATGTCTAGGCCTTATTCATGCCTTGATGTAGGATGATAATACCTTGCATAGTAGATATCAGTTAAGCATTACTTCAGTCACGAAATCAACGCTGTTCACCTTTAAAGGGACTTTGTATAAACAAACGAATGGAGTAGCCATGGAATATCAAGTTTCGCTAGGTGTTGCTAATTTATTTATGTTCTATATTGAGTCGTTTATTTTTGCTCGCACCATCAGACCACGCATCTGATTCAGATATGCAGATGACAGATTTGTTACCATTAAAAAAATCCGCTTAGAAATTTCGTTAGGGTGATTTACAGTTTCTCAAATAGCATCGAATTCACTTGCAAAAAGGAAGATGAACAACATCTTAGACTATTTTGTTAAAACAAATTCTAATGGAAATCTTAGTAAAACCATATACTGAAAACGGACACATTCAAATCGGTACAGTAACTTTAACTCTGGAAACTGTGCAAAAATTGTCCTGACTCTTTTCCGAAGAGCTAACGAGATCATTACATAAAGACCTGATGATTCTGTAGGACCGGAAAATCTACAAAGTAAATCTGCAATAACAGTAGATGCTATTTTCAATAGCCACCAAGTTAATATTAAAAATATCAAAATAATCCAAAAACGCCTTTCCAACTATAAAGAGAAGCGACCAGCCAAAGCGTCTCATATAATGCTGAATTCCCCTACCTTCAATACAAAAAGCACTGACTATTCTTCCAACCTGGAACGTTTCTTCAAACAACCACATGTGACTCCATTCATCTTACGCACAAACTACACACACATACGCAAACTGTAGGCTTTTTATTTCTACTATAATATGCACAAATAAACAGAGTCATGTCTCACATAAAATCACTTTGACGAAAAATAACATGACATCGACATGTTCAAACTCATTATGATTTTGGTTGTACTAAAAATGTTCTGCTTTGTTTCCTTCGAAGTATTTAAGCTTATGTTATTATTATTTTGGTTATTTATTACTTTAAACTGAAGAATTGGCTTCCACTAAGTCACGCAACGTCAGAAATACAAATTTCTACTAATTGAGATATCACAAAAAGTGTAATAACTAAAAATTTAAGTAACACTTAAATCTCAGTGCGGTGCGTTCATTACACGAGTTGATCAAAGCACGCCTTACCTTACTGAAGACTAATCAAGTGATTGGTCAATAGATTGTACCGCATAATCACACCACATTTGTGTGTGAGACCGGATTTACAAATGTTTTGAAATCAATTAGTGATAATCGTTAAAAAAAGTAGTAATTAGATGTTTATCGGCCTTTACTTCATCGTATTTAAATAAATGAAATTATTTTCTCTAGAATTATTTGACGGGGAATAATATAACAATTTATTGGACTATCCGACAAATATTAGTAACACTGATCATCAACTATTAACTGATGTCATCTCTAATCCTTAGTGCTGACTGAATTAAATCAACCAAGTTGCAACCAAGTTCAAAAAAATAAGTTTTGATGTTTGGAATCAGTTGTCAAGAATCACTCGATCTGGATTTCGTGATAGTTGTTATTTGTTTGTAAAGTATATTTGTAGTCCTAGTTGAACTAAGGCTCCTCGTGTTGTCTGTTGTTGTAGTTGAGGTTTTTAGTTCATGAATAACAGTCCTCAAGTGTTATGAACTTCATCCTTTAAAATATGTCCACCCAACAGGACCACAACGTTATGAAGTTCACTAATTACACGTTCCAATTTAATGGAAAAGTTAATAACATTTTAATTACCAAATAAGACTAATGACATCATAGGATGATCAGAAATCTTAATTCCTATTAACCCGAAACAATACTTTCTGTCTATTATAGTCAGTAAGTCAACATATATTCTACTAATAGGAATCGAAAGTTCTGGATTATGCAACATAAAACTGCATTGTAGACCCAAACCAGAGCCGATTCTCAACAATATTTGTTAATAAATGCCGAAAGTAAGCACAAAACCATAAACAATCAATTTTCACCTGGATTGGGACATTCTGCCTTTTCAGATACCATATTTGGTTTATTCATTACTGTCACATCATAATCACCAACTGATGAGATATTTTCTGTAAATTGGATAGACTGTGATATTTCTTCTGGCAAGATGTTTTCCTGATCAATTAGAATTGAAACATCGTCTTGCTCTGCTTCTTCTTCATCATCACCTGTTGTTGTCTCTATGGTAATTGTATCCCTTTTCATTGGTGGTAACTTTGTGGTAGCTGCTTCTTGTCCTAATTCAAGTGATGTTAATGTTTGTTCATTTTGTTTACTAATTTTATTTAAATAAGGTCTTGATGATTGCAGTAAATGAGATTTCCGATAGCCCGTCTGGGTTGTCTCCCAAGTATTTGGTAACCAATCTAAACGGTTCTAGTAGAAAAAGTTATAGTAATTTCAATATTCAGAAAAATTGTTTTACTGGTAAAAATCAATTGTTTAGGTGTACACATCAGAAAATATAACAAACTAGAGGAAATGTTAACAGATTTGACAGATTTGTTATTAAGAACGAGTCCCGATTGTTAGTTATTGTTGTTTCAGTGAGTTTATGAGCTGGTTTTTAACGAATAATCATTGAAACAAACAGACAAAAGAAGGATCAACTGGATTATCGTAGCTGATTACGAAAAAGCTCAATAAACAATTAGCCTTATACATATAGTTTAATAGAGCTTAGATTAGATCCACTTTAGATGTTAAATATCCCATGTACTATTTTAATCTTAAATTCATGTGCTTGTCGGTACTCACGGGGCTATAATAACTGGAATTTATGTTGTGATGAAGAACCAAGGTGTAATCTATAAAATTTAAAGAGATAGAAAGCAATAGGTTTTTCTAATCACTGATTATGTAAAAATATGGTTACTTAGTTGTGGTGTGCGCTTCTCATGTAAACAGATATAAGTGTTTTGTAGAGGGGATAAGAAATAGAATGCTTATCAGGAGGAGATTGAATTGAAAAGAATGGAAAGGAAAACTGGGAGCAACCAGAATGACATCAGAATTAAAAGAATGATGGAGTATGTAGAAGGCAACTGAATAATGTGTAAATGATGTCTTTAATGTATGATTTTCATATTTTACAGAGGCACTGTGTAATTTTGCATAAAAGAATAAACTGGTTTACCGTACTTGAGTCTTCGTTCACTACATAGTCAGTTCTTAGCGGAGAGATTGTATTCATGATTTTGACATAATGTCTAGAGGATTATGTAACTAGGGTCAGTCAAACTATGAGGTTAGGAACCAGTATGGATCATTATGTTTCATAAATGTAATGTATGCGTTCTGTCTACCTACAATTTTTTCTGAAACAGAAGACAGGCAAATTGGTTTGGTCGTGCAATTATGAAGTATTTATGTATGAAACCAATTATTCGATACATTTAGACTTCTAAAGTAGCTCAGGGACGAGATAAATCAGCGTTTTGAACCTTTAATGTAAAGAGACATGTATGAGGAGTTTGGTCAACGATAATATGGACAAAAATTAGAATTGAAAACATAGATACAAAGTTCATTTCGACTCACTATTCGCCTTATACTGGTTATTTTTTTATTAATTTTTGCAAGACAACCATTCGAAACTAAGAAGAATGAAACAACTCCCCAGTGCTTCGTCGTTTCCGATGGTTGTCTCATCTAAAGTCGAACAGTGATGTTATAGTGGCTTCATTTTTTAAATTTTAAACATTCTATTGAACTGAAGACAGTAATCAAGCTATATAAACCATTTTTCGACTTTTCTCTGTACTGTGTTCTTATTTCGTGTACGCTCGGACATTTAATCGAAAGCTTGTATAATGTACTATATGTTTATTATTTGAATAGGATATATGTTTAATATTTTTCTTTCAGTTTCAAATTTAACCTGGTTTTTAACGAGTTATCTCACAGAACTTTGCATCTGGATCACTGGTATCCTGTGTTCGTCAGTGGTCAATTTAACAATAGGTTTATTCGAAGATATACGAAGCTAGTCGGAAACTCGTAGATTTGGAGTTCAACTAGACTAAAGTATAATATACACAACAGGGTAAACTATATAATATCTCGATCTCTTCAAACTTGACACAGATTATTCATTCGGATTTTTCTTTAAAAACTAACATTCAGACAGCCATAGGTTCATTTAGAAAAAAACTATATATTTATGGTTGTGTGGTCTTGTTCTAGCATCTAACTTGAACAATTAACCGGTTTCATCACTGTTGTTTTAATGAAATGATGAGATTATACATTTGTTGACAGAGATAACAAATGATAGAAATTTGTATTTTTATTAATATTTACTACTACGATATACGAATAAATCATTGTTTTTCAACATAGAATTATGGCAATTCAAATTGTCGATGGAACTCTTTGATAATTTTACATTACGATAGTAAAATGATACAAGTATGTAAAATTTCTAAGATTTTAATTCCTGAGTATCATTAATAGTGATAAAATAAACGGCTTGTAAGAGTGGACGCTTGAATTTTACGAGCTTAAATCCTGTAAACGACCAAAAATATGAAAAGTTGCATGGTTACATGTAAGAAAAAGGCTAATATTTATTGTTCCTTGCTATTGTTTAGTAACGATTTATTTCCATATAGTCACTAATTAAGCATTTAAACGATGACTGATCAGATCATAACCAGTTAGAGTGAAAGAAAATAATGATGAATTGAAGTGTTTTATTTAAATTCACTGCAATAAGTTAAAAAGTTACCGAAAGATGCTTTATATAGAGCCAGTCAATATTCACCTAACTTACAAGTAGCATTTGATCTGAATTATCCGGACTAGTTTGATTATATTGTAATCTATTTGAATGTGGTTGAGTAATTTGACGCGGAAACCGACGTACTGTAGTTCGTTTAACACTATTACCATTAGTTTTACTATTACTGCTATTATTTTCATCAGATGAAGAACTTTTGCTGTTGTTATTCACATCAGTTAATTCGTGAGATTGTTTAGCTTTTGCATTGGAATTTTTTATGGACATACTGTTGATGGTGGCAGAAGATGTATCCGACTGATGATTGCTAACATCATCATTATTTGTTAAAATATTATCAGGATTATCACGTTGGTTGGATGGTTTACGAAATAATGAAGTAGTAAATTGTAATGTATGACGTCGTATTGAATTAGAAAATGATTTATTTATTGGCCCTGAATCAATACCAAAATTTGAGAGAATTTCATCTTCATCAGCCTTAAAAAAGCGAAAAAACATTGACCGTCAATCATTTGATGGAGTATGTGTTAATGATCAGAAATTTTATGTGTGCTTCTTATTGATTTCACCCGAAATAGAAAAGTTGCCTAAAACTGACTTTTAAACGAATGTTTATATCTTTATGAAAACAGTTAATTGCTCAATTTAAATAAGACTCTTCAATCAACAAATAACTGAACCTAAGAATATAAATTTGTGAAATTCTTCTTTATATTAGATATGGAACATACGGTTATCCTTTGAGTCTTATTCTTATTGTTAGTTATAAAGTGTACCAGGAACCTCAACGAAAATGTTTCTGAACAAGACAGAGTTATGTGTAAATTTTCTAAACCAATCATAATTTATATTTTAATGTAACTCAAACAGTAGAACATTTAATAATAATCTTTTTGATGAAACTTATTGTTAAGGCTTTTTTTATACCAAAGATTCATAAGTAAGATATTTATGTTGCAATAATTGCAAACAACTATTACACCATACATCCTCAATGTTTCCTTGATTATAACACCTGATAACATCTGACCTGTTCTTGCATATATATATATTGTTATCACTGTAAACCTTTGTCATTCCAGTTGTTTACATTCATTGATGTCAATTGTTTCACACTATTTCTTATCTTAATTTAGAATTCATACTATTCTGCATCAATATTTGTTCTTACTTTATCTAGATGCAAACAATGTAGTTCAATTGATGTAAATTGTAGTAGTTGGAACAGCGACTTTTTTTTCTAGAAAGCAAAAAACTGACTTCACCTGAAATAGAATTATTGTATTGAAATAAATATTAGTAGAGAAGATAAATAATACTGTGAATAAAGATATGACGATGGTTTCATAATAATAATAATAATAATTTTTTAGTATGCGGTTGTAGATATATGTTAAATTTCATTGAAATTATGAACTGATCAATGTTCGACTACCATTGAAAACAATTCAGTTCTTCCAGATTTTCAATGTTGGTCTGACAATATTCGGTTCATGATTTTAATGAAATAATAATAATATCAGAAGGGGTTTTGTGGAGATTGTAGTAATTTCAAACAGTTGTGATCATGAGTCAATTAAAGCTAGACCACCATGGTAAACCTGAAAGCACTGAACGGCCGTTTTCGTCCTATTGTGGAACTCCTCGAGAGAGCGCATCCACGACCTCGCCTCACGGGATTCAAACCCAGAGCCTATCAGTCTCGCCCCAGGCGCTTAACCAACTAGACCGCTGAGCCGGCATCCAACGGTGTTAATGACTAACTTCAACTAATCCACGAAATCGAGCGACACATCCACCATTGTCATCAATGAGTTACTACCTCACAACTGACCCGGTTGAACTCCACTGCTTCCAGGTTTTCCATAGTGGTCTAGTTTCAATCGACTCATGATCTCAACTGTTGAAATAATAATAATGTTTGTTGATATGTTATCCACTTATCAATAATAACACTTGAATTAAGTGATTAAAATAAACACAAATGGTAATATTATTCAATGGATAGTAAGAAAACATTTATTGAAACATAACACAGATGAAATGAATTTACTTTTAATATACATATGGCAGCATTCAATTCAGTATTTTTTGGCTAAAAAAATAAGAGAGAAATGAACAAGAGTATTTGGTAAACATTTATATTTTCCTCAATTAAAGTCAATAACATTTAACTAGATAATTGATTCAAAGTGAAGTTTTCTTTTTTGTGGACAATATGAAGACAACAATATAACACTGATATTATAGTCTTAGTTAGTGTTGTACAAATCAAATTATTGTCAAAATGCCAGACATATTAGTTAAATTTATAGTGGTTGGTGTTTCACAATTAATTGTCGCTGACATTTTAAAGTATATTGGAATATTCACTAAGAATGGAAATCAATCATAATAAATTGATTAAACGCAATCTCAAGGGAATAAATTGAGTATGAATCCATTTCTAGTCATCACCTTTCATGAGACTGGATATCTTAACGTTGATCCACTACCTTGTAGATTACAATTCTGGATCAAAGGATCAGGGAGTGACTCCTAAGAAAATCACCTGCTTTGGTTTGGACACACGAGCAGTATTTCGATACACATGCAAACCTAATGATGACTACAACTAGAAAAAACTATTCACGTCTTAATTCTTATTCTTGCAAATGATACTGAAAACTACTTGTTAATATTCGTTTTTATTTTACATTGCGTCATATGTCTATTTCTTCATTCTTCAACTCATTTAGCAGCTTACCAAGAGGAAGAAAAATTTCATTTTCGGTGCCTTGAACATGTACTAAGAATGCCATCCTAGCGAATGAAAAGAACTATACAGGATTAGGATCTGTTGATCTCTCACGACTCCCTGGTTGCGGTCCCAGAGATGGTGCAACACAGTGGCTTGAGATGTTATCGAACATGGCTCAGAATAGAAGCCGATAGCAGTTCTGCGGTAATTCTTTTAAGTTTTCTTTTTATGAGTGAGAAGAACGTCTTGCGCTGAAAGAATCCCTTTTGGTTGTATCTTCCTTAACTGAACTGATTCTTCCATTATTAATATCACTATCATTTTTATTAGGTTCACTTATTTTTTTACACTCACCTTCCTCTATCTCTTCACAACCTCATTTTTATTGTTTGGCGTATATATATTTTGGTGCTTCTCTGTACCAACGTTTGTGTTAAAAAAAATAGTTACGTATAAATAGAATGAATCCTGAATATAAACTACAGGATAATATAGGATCTTATAAAAATATTTATTCAATGTTGAATAAGTTGGTGCCTATCCAGATATGATATCGCATGAAGCGAATAGTAACGTGTAAAAGTGTCACTGTAAAGCTGAGTACTGGGATACAATTAAAATCAGATGACAAATTGTAAGATGGACGAAAAGTGGATTCTCCATTGTGCAACTATTCACAATCACAAAATATGCTAGAATTTAAATAAAATTACAAATTATGTAAAGTTTCTGTATATGTCACAATATTTCAAATTTTTACACAAGTTTATATACATTTTAATTGTTCATGAACAAGGAACCAGTCAAAGCTTTTATAATCTAATTAACAAAATTCGGTAGAATTATATTATTGTCAATCGAAATAATTTGTTCCTCAGGGAATTGACGCTTTCCATAAGACTAAATGTTGCATTCTCTAATAATGCAATCGAAAATGTTACCAATGAGTTATTTGGGACAAGCATGATCTGTTGAAGCATTAAGACATTTACATAAAATGATCACTGAGTAGTAAACAATATCACCAGTTACATATAAAAGCAAATTAAATTACATCGGTTTACAAAACATTTATTATTGATTAATCCTAACACCACCCCCCAAAAAAAACAATCTGGTATCATATTGTATAGATTTAATCAATCTATAAGAACGATGAATAGTTTTATGAATTCGGACTTCTATCTATTATATTTTTTCAGGTAACTGAACAACTCACTCCATACAATATTTGCTTGTAATATAATGTCTATGCTCAACAATCTCTTGCATTATACGTACCTGTGTAGCACATTTCCACTCTTTTAAACTACTTTCACTGAAATCATTCTTATTAGTTGTAACAATTGTATTCTGTTTATTATAAGTACAAGAGTTTTCAGATTTTTCAAGATTGGACGACGTGATGAAAACAGTACTCATTGTTGTAGAAGTAGTTGTATGAACACTAGTACAAGACAAAGAAGTATCCTTCATCATTACATCTGATAGATCACTGGAATCACTGGACATGATAATATCGCTCGGAGGAGTTTGTTCTTCTAACATTGTTTCATCTAATACACTAAGCATTGCAGATGGTTGTGTTGTTGATGTGGTTATGCTTAAAACATTCGTATTGACTTGTTCTTCAGATAAATTGCATCCACCTAGAATATCAGAGGTTGGCTGCCATGCAGGTCTTTGAGTTGTAACTAGTTTGGAATATATGCCTGCTTGTTTTTTGGCTTCATCATTAACGAAATTTCGTAGAATAGGATTATGATAAAATGTTTTAATTTTTTCTTTTAATAATTCATAGGCTGCATGATAACGATCGTATTTCTTTTGAATTGTAGACTGACGAATCTAAAAAATGTACGTAAAACTTAAAAATGAGGCTACAACCGACTATCATCGGGCTAGTTTATTTATGGTTACGAGACTCACTAACGAATATGCTACAGAATGAACATGCAAATGTGTAGTTAATGCAGTAAACAGCATTATCTTACTCTATCTAGATCAAGGAGGACATACATTTATAGTTATTCAGTGGTAATCATCAATCTGCTATGTTGACATTAGCCTGCCAAACTAATCAGATTAAGAATCTTTCATACATTAAGGGTAAAATTTATAACAACTTAAACTTTGTTACTTTCCTTTCGAAGGAATAATGTCTACTTTGGTCAGCCACAGGCCTAGTAAGCTAAGATTTATCTAAATTTTTATGTAGCTTAATACGACTAATACATAGATATCTTTCTGTGTTATTGTAAATTTGAGACTCGTCTGATTCAGCTACTAGTATTTTCACTGTATTCTTTCGTTATTTCCAAACTATCTTTTCTATCACATTCAACAATATATTCAGCACTCACCACACTTTACTATCGCTTATTTCACAGACTAGATAATCTTCGGTTGAACATTTGATATGATCACAAATGGCTTTATTTTACTCATTCTACATTACCTTTTCTACGCCGATCATCGACCTCATAGTCTCACCTGAACTACAACCTGATTCATGTATACACAGATAACTCATCGCGCTAACATTTTCAACAGTGCTAAGAAATTTATTTTAATCAAGGAGGTCTAGTGAAGATTACCAAATTTTATAGTTTACATCACGTATTAAATGTAGTCAGACAACCGTCAGATCCAAGGAAGTATTAGAGAGCTATTCCGTTCAATTATGGTACTTCTTAGCATTTTCAATCTACGGCTGGCGAATTATTTGAAGTTAGGAATGTAATGCATTGAATGCAAACTTAACTATTTGAAGATTCAGTTGTGGATGCGTACTGTAAAGAAGTTCAATACTATGGCTTAATAGCTGTCCAGTGCCTCCAACTTTTCAGTGGCTATTTATGTACAGTCAGTTCGTGCTCTAAACTATGAAGTTTATTTGTTTAAGTTCAGAACCCATTTGCAGTTTGATTACTAACTTAGACTCAGAACCTCATGAGAATTTGTTTTACAAAAGACTATTCATTGATTTGCTCAAATATCCAAATAATACAAAATTCTAAACAAAACATAAGTAATTGAAAATTATTCATTTTTCAAGATATTCATGGTAGATAATAGATCATTTAATTTAGGAAACAAACAAATTCAAGTTCGATTGAAGTTGGTTAGTCACACTAAATGATTCATGATGCAATGATTAAAGAAATGATTACTATTTCTATTTGCAATATCTACACATTTTACAGTTAAGATTAACTGAATAACTCTTTAAAACTAACACAGTAATATACACAGGGTTTCCTGGCGATTAACTCTGAACATCAATTAGGTTTGGTTATTTTATGAAGCAGGAATATTGAAAGGTTAATATACTACTGATGACTTCATGAAATACTAATGTTTTAAATTTGCAAAGCTATGATATTTATCTGGTTTTTATATACACCTTAATAGAACTGTTGAGTCGTTCTGGATTAAAAATTAGTGTTGAGTAATATTGACTAAGAAAAATGTAGTCGCTTGATGACATACTTGTTCTTCATCTAAACCTGCTTCTCTAGACAATGCTTTCACAACACCAATATCAAGTTTACGTTCAATTCTTTCTAGAAATTCTTCTTTAGCTATTTTACTGTGTTCCGGATGTTGATGACGAAATAAAACTTCGAACTGACGTTCTTTTGCTTGCTTCTGATATTTGTCCATGAGTGATTTATAATGTTCCACATTTGGAGACTCTTGCATCCATGCGGTGGTCGTAACCTGCCACGCGAATTAATAATAACAGAATATTATTAATACATAAATAATTTAAAATGCGTTAGATATGGTAATATTAAATAAAGTTTGCAGTGTACACTTTGCCAAAGTAATTATCATAAACATTAGATTGGTTAATAAAAAGCTTTTATCATGAGTCACAAAATAACTGTAAAGAGGTAGCATCTATTTTGTTCTGCTGGTCGTTACATGAAAGTAAAGGTGCTGATAATAAAAATAACAGTAGTAACAGTCACAGTAATAGTCTGTCAATAACTTTGAAATTATACTTCAAAATAGAATATCAAATTATTCGGAACTGTAGACTACTTTTTGATAACACAGTTAGGAGTAGAAATCCAATCAGTCAGAACAATAGTAGTTCCGAAGTTCAGGGATGGTGTGGAGTATCTAGAATTCTGTCGTTACTGGTGTTCCCCATGATATTTAAACTCATGTTACCAGGTGTTTCTATCAGAAATATTAATGTGAGTAGTAACTTTCATGGAACATACATCTTGGTGGTTTTTAGTGACCTCACTTACATATTATCTATATAAATGTTATTTTTTCTGGTTTAGAATCTAAGGTTTGTTATTTTCACAACTAATTTGTTGCTGTTCACCAAACTATGTATGAGACATTATAATACGCATGCCTATAAATACAGTATTTTGAATTTAAGTAAATAGGAAGTTTAATTTCAGAATTTTTTAATACTTTATCTACAGCCATTAACTATACATTTATTATTCATTTATTATGATTTGTTTAATATCAAATAAGATTTTTTAGCTATTATTGCATAGAAACTAGTCCTTCATAGATCAATTTGCTCTTACATTGGCTCATTTTCTTGTTACGCGTACCGATCGGAAGAGAAGAAAAATGGAAAACTTAATTCAACCTTTATTTCTGTTCATGAGAGAGAACAATTCCATTTGGCTTAGATTGATAATGTTAGTTCAATGATAAAAACTCGAATTAAAGTTGTGTTAATACTTACCTGTTTTAATTTGAATCGTCGATTAGGATCCACCTGTAACATACATCGTATAACTTGTTCACAAGAAGTTGATAAATAAAATGGAAAACGTACAAGACCACGAAGTACTTGTGTACGAATATCACCAAGGGATTCACCGGGAAACGGAAATGAACCACAAACAAGAATATATAAAATAACACCTAAGCTCTAAAATATAAAAGAAAATTTATGTAAATGACATTATTTTTCATAATCAATTCTTCATCAGAAGTGTTTTCTATACATAGATTATAATTGTCAAGGATTACTAAACAATTTTCAGTAAAGACATTTCAAATAAATTGTATTCACGAAAATTCAAATGAATTTACATTAAACAGACGAAACAATCAGCACTGAATAGACAATTTTTAATTTATTGAATCAGATTTATAAGATCAAAATCTTTATAAAAATGTGGTCGACATGTGAACGCTACCGTGATATGCCGGTAAACACTTGCTTACAGCTAGGTCTCGCGATCTAAGTTTCTCCAGATTAAAAAAATACTTTTTGTAGCGTTTTGAGAGTCCAAATGGTTCTCTTAACGAATCCATTGCTTTCTGGATGGTAGGCAGTTGTTCATGTTTTGCGAATTTCCAACACTTCACATAATTCTTTGCACAAATGTACATTCTAATCATTCAAGATTATTAAATAAAACTTTACTGCACAATCAATTTGAAAATTAGATACAGTAAAAAAGGAATTACAAGTTAATTTTCTGCCGAGCTAGACGGTGTTTAAGCATAAATAACCCAACGAGACCACCTCAGGCGATGGGAATGATGATCAATGAAATAACTTATTACATATTTATGAATATCCGATCGATAATCTTTGATAAGCTATATAAGACAAATATTCTGCGTATTATGAGATTTGTAACGTACCCATACATCGGCCAATGTTCCATCGTATGGTTCACCTTTAAACAATTCCGGTGCAGCATATTGAGGACTTCCACAATGTGTAGATAATAATTGATCATTTTGAAAAAAATTGCAAAATCCAAAATCTATCAATGAAGTGAAAAGAGATCCGTAAAAATATACTGATAAGTTATTTTGTTCGAACAAAAAATATGTGATATTTAGCTTAATGGTTACTATTTTGAGAAGAAACTCTGATCATCTAGATGCTTCTTTGACATGTACTGAGAGGATTTATTTAAAACTTGGAATAAGTTATAACTATTTATGCGATTTGATAACACATTAATTTTCTCTTGAACAAGAGATTCAACTATGAAAGGTAGTTGAACTTCAATTAAATCTCTTGCATGATGTGATAATGGATATGAATCGATATGTGAAGATAAAACTTTCTAAAATCTACAGTTTCATTACATATTTGAGAAAATATTTTTATCACTTGAAATTTACAAAACACAAAAGAATAAGTGTAATAAAAGTACTTCGAAAAAACTTATTAAATAATTATCAGTTTATGGTTGTGGAGATTGGTGAATTTCGTCGAGACCATGATCCGATCAATGCTAGGAAACCATTGAAAATCTGGAAGCAATTGGCAGCCGTTTCGTCTGAGAATGGGTCTCTTTATTGGTGTACACCCACGATCCCGCACACTGGAATTAAACACAGAACCTCCGGTCTCGTACGCGAACGCTTAACCGCTAGATCACTGAGCCGGGATCCAACGGTGTTAATGTCTGTCTTCAATCAATCTACAGTATTGCTCAATCATGTTCCATTTTCTGAGGTGCGTAACTGCCCCACACCCAACGCATTTGAATTCCATTGTTCACGCATTCTCATAAGAACTCCGTGAATTATCTCTCGAAGATAGTCAATAATGAGCACATGATAATTATCAGTATATGGTTGTGGAAATTATTGAATTCCATTGAAATCATGAACAGAAAGAAGTAATTTTCCATATATTTGACCAGAAATTTAACACTATTTATAAAAATTGGTTAGTAATGCAATGAATAATTTTGATTTGTTTAACAGAAGGGATCTAATCTGTTGGTTGGTGTGAAATTTATATATACATATAAGCTGATCAAAGTTTTTAAGCTTTTGGATCAATGTTTCAGCGACTATATTTTATGATTATAAAATAATTGAAGATAGAAAGAACTCGCATAACAACGACTAGCGTTAAGTAGACTAAAGATGCTTTCAAGTAAAAATCTTGATAAAATTTATGATAATAATAATTCTATTGATGATGAATTTTAGTGTAGCAAATAATTCTTAGAATCAGTCAATCCATTTCCCAAGTGTGTGTTTCATATACACGGATTTAAGCTTTATTGTTTGAGTGTGGCCTATTGGTACTACAAGTCTGATCCAATTTTGATCAGTTTTATAGACAAGCTCTTACTTCTATGTACATATAACAAAATAATAATTTGAATCACTAACTTAAAAATTTAAACGAATTCAGCACCAATCTACCAAAACCATTACACAAAATGACTAATTTCATAGTTTGTGCAATAGTAACACTTCTCAAACACATGATTCTATATAGTAATAAAGTCAAAAGACTCTGTAGATACAGCTTTGTAGAATGTGAAGAGAATTTCTTTTGATGTCACTTTGTTTCTACTGCTTTTGAACCTTATAACTTCTCAACATTCATCTCTTGATTTTTACGTAACTACTATCCTATTGACCATCCGTTAAAATTCTGTTCCTTCTTTGTTTCTTATATTACGCAACGTAGTAACTTCTTGATTACTTTGAATATTAATAATCCTCTTTCTTCTAATTACTCAATGTTAATTTAAATGTCATTATGTAATTATTACGTAACGTATCCACTCGATGAGTATTATATTATTATTGTAATATATATATATATTAGTGTAGAGCCATGATGAAAAACTAATTGAAAAGAAATTTCTTCGCTAAATTCGTTCCTTCTTTATCACAATAAATGACTTAAGTTGAAAAGTATAGGTGCAAGCTGCTAAAAAGTTCTCAATAAGCATGAAACTACTGACTAGTCATTTTTGATTTTACAAAGATTTTCTAAATGTTATTGGTCCAATATAAAAACTTAATTTCAAATTAAACGAATCATAAATTACCCTTGAAATTTATAAATTATATGTGTAAATGTAGCTTACCAGCAACTTTAATTTTGAAATCAGCATCTAATAAAAGATTTTCGGCTTTTAAATCTCGATGTACAATACCTGAAGCATGACAGAATTCGATTGCACAAACGATTTGCCAAAATAATTCCCTAGCTTCTTTCTCCGTAAATGCATGAGATAGACTGATATGATCTAGTAGAATGGTACGCAAAGTAAATTGAATCGAACGATGACTATAATATGTAATTAGTATATATGTTTGTAGTATTATTCAAGCTATAAAAATCAACCCATAGAATATCACAGTGAGTAATGATTATATACTAAAAAATATATTTGAGCGAGATTTTCCAAAGTTCTGTGTTAGTGATCTGTGATTGGTTAAATAAAAGACCAGAAAACACTATCTGACAAGTGGTATTGGCCAAGTATCGCCCATTATCACAAATCCACTAGTGTTAAAGTTGTTAACAAATGATTTTAATTAAGTATTTCAAAGTTAATACGCTTGTTGTTAGAACTGGAATTTCTAGGCTCGACCCTTGTGTTATCAAGAATATACACTGCTAAGTAGTACACTGCTTGTCGAACAATCGTCCAATGCTCCTTAATTTATGACAAAAGTTATCTTTAAATCATGAAATTTATGATAACCTCTTTACTTCATAAATGCTTATTACACAATAACATTTTGATGATTTTATTTTTGAAGTGTATTATATACTATCCATTGAGTATCAGTGTCCATAAACCTCTGACAGTTGGTGCTTAAAGATATGTTGAGCAGGTAGTATCATATTAATCAATGACCGTTTGTTCTTCATATTTCTCACTTTCCTATCTTTTTCTTCTTTCCATTAAGTCTTAAAGTCTGATTATTTAAATGTCAGATTGTCCACTTAGTGTCAGTTAACTAATAAACCACTATATGTGTATCATCAGAAACAATGTAAAAAAGCATATCAGTAAATTAATGTTCATTACGAGTACCATCTCTGAAGAATACTGACGTCTCGTTGAATCAAAGACAACTAAAGTTTACAGACATCTTACAAATGATTGTAGCACAACAGTAACCGGTACTAAGCAAGCTTAGACTGTGAATATTGATCCCGTAACGACAAAAACTAAACTTATTGTTCAGCAGATATATTACAGCTCATGAAAACGTTGTAGAGAAAAATATATAAAGGAACTTTAATTTCAAGAAGCCGAATCAGTTTTATTCAGAAGCAATATTTAGTTAATTCTGTTTAAATATTATATAAGGCAAGAGTGTGGTGGTCGAAATAAGATTTGTGAGCATTTGAAGTAACATAGTTTACCATTAAGATGTAAAAGATGCTGTATCTTCAGCCTTTAGCTTAACTAAAAATCATCAGAGACCATATGCAACACTCATGAAAAGATTTTTATGCAAAGTTGTGTGTGTACACCTCCGAAAAGTCAGATACTAAGAAAAAACAATCTAGTGCTTTACGGTTTGAAGTTGACAGATGGATAAAATTAAACTCACCGAATACCTCTCCTTTACTAGCGTATTCAGTAACCATGAAAATATTTGATTCTGTTTCCATAACATGATAAAGACGGATGATATGCGGATGTTGACAACGTTTCATCGCTTCAAGTTCTCGAGAGACTTTACCAAGATTTTTAGAACCAATCAAATCTTTGTTCATAATTTTGATGGCAACCTAGGAAGAATTATAAAAATTAAAGAAAGTAAAAAGCGAAAGAAAAAAATGGATTCAATTTGTCGCTTCGTTGAACTCATTCAGGAAAAATACATTTCTGATCTTTAGAAGAATTAAGACTCCTCTTTCTCTTACACTGCTTTGTAAGCGATTCGCTACATTTGTATAAAAAATAATTCCTCCAATTCGAAACCGTATCACCTGGTATTACTCTTAGCGTACATACAGTAGGGCATGAAGTAAAGACAAAAACTCAATAAATGAATGATGAAATACGAGCGTATACGAAGATAAAATTACCTTTACAGATAGTTGAGAATGTTTTCCCAATTTCACCACAGCAAAATTACCCCGACCGAGTGTGGAACCTAAATAATACGGACCAATACGTTGAGGACCATTCGGTTGAACAGTATTATTGTTATTTGGTTCAGATACGTTATTAAAATACCCCATTGTTGGAATCCCATAAACACTTGTTCCGGGCACCGGCGCAGTTATTGTTGCATTTGCTGCTTGTTTTGAACTGTTATTATTATTGTAATCTTGTTTAGACTCTCCTAGGGTCGATGATGTGATATTCGTGAGTGATTGTTCATTTTTTGTAGATAGAACTGGTAAATTAGACATTTCTTGTTCACTGTCTGTTTCACTGATATCTTTCAAAAAGAAAATTGCAGTTGAACATATTACAAACAGAAATTTTGTACAAATAAAATTTCGGGGTAAAACTTTCAGATCTTCATTCATCTTATTATAAAAATGTCAGTTATCTTCATATTTAGTTGTACTATCGTGAAAAATTGGAGCGTTCAGACTGTTGAACACTTCCACGCCTCTTTTCTTATCATTTGAACATTTAAAGTGTTCATTACGAAACCGAAAATCTTCTTTTTTAACGAAGATGGGATCTGAACTGATGGAGATAACTCCTTAAATGCATTTCGTAAGAAAGAGGATAAGAAAGTCAGAGACAAGGTAACAAGAATAAAGATAAGAGGAATCACATTATATAAATTAAAATAACCCGTTTGATTTTTGATTTCTCAGGTAGTTTTACTACAATCTTCACCTAAATCATTATTTTTATTCTTTCAAAATATAGATCTATTCAATTTCATTCATGCATAACACTAGGACGAAACGGCCGTCCAGTGCTTCCAAGTTTTCCATAGTGGTCTAGCTTCAACTGACTCATGATTTCAATCTGTGAAAATTTCTAAAATCTCCACAAACCCCTTCTGATAATAATCATCTGCTCACTAGTGACTGACTTCAAGAGATACTCCTGGAGTTCTAGGGGGAAGGCGTTACCAGTGGAATTCAACCAGGTCTGTTGTGAGATATCAGCTCACTGAAGACAATGGTGTACGGCGGAGCAACTTTGTGGATTGGTTGAAGTTAGACATTAACACCGTTGGATGCCGGCTCAGTGGTCTAACGGTTAAGTGCTCGTGCATGAAGCCAGCAGCTCTGGGTTCGAATCCCGCGGGGTGTGGGATCATGGATGCGCGCTGCTGAGGAGTCCCATGTTGGGATGAAACGGCCGCCCAGTGCTTCCAGGTTCTTCATGGTGGTCTAGCTTCAACTGACTCATTATTTCAATCTGTGAAAATTACTAGTTTATTCAATCAATCCAGATAAATACCGTATTATGGTGTTTATGTGACAAAAATTCCGGTAAAAAACGGTTCTATTACTGTTGATTTTTTCGAATTAATTTTATTAATTTAATAAAAAGGGTTAAGTTGAGAGTATAAAGGCGTATGTTGAAACAATCGCTCCGTGAACTACTCACCATTTTTTCTTTTGCATAAAGCTTGAGAAAATTGAGCCAATAAATTATCACCATGAATTGGACAAATCAATCCTGTTCACAAAAAAAATAAACTGGTTAAATAAATTGGAGATTAACTTGCTATCTACTTTTAAACAAGGCATCATTTAAGCGTCAAACTAGATTTATTATTCAGTTGTATGTATTAACCCCTTTCTTAAAAATACGTTTATATCGCACTTGCCACTTTTGGTCTACTTCGCGTCATTAAAAAGATATACAAATTTCAAGTTATGATTTAGTTCTAAGAATCTCATAGAATTTCCAAGCCAATTGTTCCAGGTTGGTCTGTAATTATCACTACAGACCCAGTTTGACAGTTATCCCAGAAACTTTCAAACAGTTACATTGCCAGACGTCAACAGAAGAACCATTCAACGAATATGAACATATGAAATGTGCAGAGACAACCAGTAAGAAAGAATTTAAACAGAGTAACTTGATTAGGAGCTTGTGAAAAAATTCTTGACAAGCTCATTCCTATTTGAAGTAGGCGCAGGTGATGTTGCCCAGTATGACAGTTAAAGCTTAGGAATTAAACTGTTTGGCATAAGACATGCGACACCAAAAATACTTTCACCTAAGCTACAAATTTATTTATTCTAGGGTTAATAAATATAAGTATATTACCAAATTGTGACTGCCTGTGAAATCTACGGGGATTGTTTAGTCTTACTTAGAATTCATGAAGTGTATCTACTTAGATTACCCTGTTAATGCCCACTCTCAAACCCAAACCCCCTAGTATGGTTTTATCACTTACTATTTCCTAGCCCCAAATAAAATACTTGATTACGTTTTGTAAAATTTTATAAAGGGATGGGATCAGTGTTTAGTTTCCTGAAATCAAAAAGTTCACTACACTGCTGATACAAAATAATCTAGCTATGAAGTCATTTGTGACGGCAGAGGTCAATTTATTAAGGAGTGCGATAAAGGTTTTAAAAATAAATGACACGGCATTGAGATAGAATTCATTTGACGTTAAACGTTTAATCATAGTCAGGAAATCGTACTTTTTATCGTCAGTCCGTAAATCACATTGTCAACCTTGAGCAGACGCATATGCTTGAGTTGCATCATTCACAGTTGCTAAGTTATAAGTGAGTTCAAAAATTCTAGGTCATGGGGGATTTTGTAGTATCTTGTCATACATATACGTATATTTTATACGAATATTCGTCAAGATTAGAACAAATAGTTTGACAGAAATTGTGCGCTGAGTAAAAAGAAGTCATTGCATGTGCAAATTATATTTGAAATAATCTCAGCGATTGAAATTTAAATAATTCCAACGTTTCGTCCAGCCAACTTGTCTGGACTTCTTCAGGGTAATACTCAGAAGAAGTCCAGACAAGTTGGCTGGACGAAGCGTTGGAATTATTCAAATTTCAATCGCTGAGATTATTTCAAATATAATTTTCATATGTAATATACGTATATGATTATACATTTTGACTTAAACTCATGATCGTCTATTTTTTTGAAATTTCCCCAATCCATTTTGTTCTCTACTGTTATTACATTTGAACCAAGCTTCCAACAGATTCAGTGTCTGTTTATACACTCGTTATTGCAGAATTGCTTGATTTTCAAAGTAATATAATGAGAGAAGCGAAAAGATAACCACCACTTTGAGCACTTAAAGTGAGCATTACGAAGCAAGTAGAAAAAATAAATGAATTATCAGAAAGCGTAATTTACACCATAATATAACTTATTGTGTAACATTTTAAAACTTAGAATCAAGTTTATAATTTAAAAAGGCAATATTTCTAAGTTGCATTGCCTAAACTGAATAGCTTTTACGTAAAGGGATGTTAATAATGCGAGTTGTTGGAGATTTCCAGAATAGAGTAGAATAAACTGTTGATTAGCCTTGATGGAAAATAATTTTAGAGAAGATTAGAGAGAGCATTTTCGATATTTTGTAATAATATATTTAAGACGACGCGTAAGGGTATGCGTTCTGATTGTTATCAGAATATATTGACTGAAATGACAACAGGTGATAAATAACTGTAACGTAGTTCTAACTTTAAATTCGTTTACTACCACTGCTATGATGGTCCGTTCTTATTTTACCAATACAATAATCTGTATTCTATTCACTAAGGAAATGATGGAGCTCCATTTGAGTTAAGTCACTTGTTGATAATTAAGATTTTGAAAAAAATAGTTTATTCTCTATCATTTAATAGCGAATAGAAACTTTCTTGGAATTTCTTGCCTAATTACCGTGGAAATTTCTAGGGACAAGTGATTGAAAAAATGTATTCAAAAAACCATGTTATATCTTTTAGGAGACCAAATGCTGATACATATTTGCCCCTACCCTAAATACAGATCACGCTTATTAAAAGAGTAATGCGCTGAAATGTGTTACGCCCATTAGTTTACAAGGTGGAAAACAAACAACATTTCAGCTAAAAATATATTGTAGTAACATCTCGAAATCTCACAGACTTACGTGGCCATAAATTAGGAGAGATAAGATGCAATGGCAAATTTTGATTAAACTTGGGCAAATCGATCTTAATAGTCGCACTGTGAACAGAAGGTGGCACAGAATTTATATTGGCATGTTCTGGTGTTTGTGAAAAGAGATTAACCAAGTCACTTTTGGATGGTGGAACAGATGGTGCGTTCATTTTTACATCAATTGGACCTGAAGAGTCTCCATAATTTTTATGAGCTGATAGTAACGTAGCATACTGAAGTTGTTCAGCATTTTGAACTGAAGATTCAGCATAGAAACTACGACGCATCGCTTGATTCATTATAGCCGTTAATGCGACGCTAGGCAAAGGATGTAAATCTACACTACCAAAGCGTTTTTCACGTGCTTCGGTTTCTTCAGTCGATGATGAAGCACTGCTACCACATCTAGTCCCTTTATTTAGTGCACTTGAACAAGCCAGCCTAGCTTTATCACTACCACTGCTGCTGTCCTTACCACCACTACTTTGACTACCTACACTTGTACCTCCCGTTGTTGCACTACCAGTACTACTGCTGGCTCGGCTGTCTTCAGGTGGTGGGAAACGAGGATGAATACCATGGTGGCGCTTGACAGCTGCTACTGATGAATGAAAAATGGGCTTGTCGCTGGATACGGCAACTGTTTGTGCATTGCTTGGTGCATGGCTGTTCGATTTTGTTGAAAGATGGCTGTGATTGGCAGATACAGGAATTTTCAGGTTATATTCTTCTACCTCAGTGCAAGAAGTCTGTCTACATTTCGGCAACGGTAAAAATAGCAGTAAAGCATTTAATTGGGACATATGTAAGCAAGTACAAGTATCAAACTTAAATAAGAAGATGTCTGGCTCCAGTAATCTAAAAACCTTCAGCTGATGTGGTGGGCTTCAATACTAAAAAAGTTTTTTTCCATTACGTAAAAAGTCATAAAGTGTCAGCTTTGATTTTACTTACATTTCTTCATAGACTTTCAGTTGATAAACGCATTCATAGAGCTTATAATAACAAGAACTGTCATCTTTTTTAAAATAGAACCTAATTCTTCAAAACGATGTGAATAGCAACTTTTACGTTACAAGAAATAAGCAACATGAAGTAATTTGACTTCATGACTTTTGTGCAACAAACACTGGCGAACAACACAAAGCTAACAATTCATTCGTCGGAGCAATTATTTAATGATTTCATCAGTCCTGACGTGAAAATACTTTAGTCGTGAACAGGTGAAATCGTTTAGGGGTTAAAAAGCAATTTTTCATAAACACACAAGCCTTACAAAAGTCATGTTTTTTTCATAGACATCATTGAGTTACATTGAGTCTGCAAATTTAACAAATACATGTTAGGTAGTCACAAATTTAGTATAAAAGCTTGTGAAAAAATAAACAAATATCTTATTATTACAAAAATGTACCTACGGGAAGGCGACTTCATCTTGCTCCATTTGTCGAAACAGTTGTGGAGGATGTCTTCTTTTCTGTAACCCTCCATTTCTGCCTTCATTGTTTGCCATCGGTGATAATAACGTTTAAAATTTTAAATCCTTGTAAAATCAAGGCCAGATATAATCAATCAGCTCATCGAAAAACTTGTAAGCTTTTAGTGATAACACTGTTTATAAGAGGTTGAGGAACGGAGAAATAAAAAATACGAACTCATAAACGGCATCTAAAAACACAAAAATGAACACTATGAACAGCATTCCTAGCTGGTTAATAAACGAATTAGTGCTAAACATTATTTTGGTAACTAAAGAAGAAAATATGGAGGGTCAAGTCATTTTTCTTTCCCATACAACTACCGAATCGGGATCAAATCGTTATTTTCTAAAAAAAACCCTAAGTAAAGAGGGAGATTCTATAAAACTTACCAATTTTAGGTGATGAGTTTTTCAATGGTTATAATTATCAATACGTGCTCTCAATAGTGAAACGCCATGATCTTTATATTAGGGGACAAAATGATTTTAGAAGGGCTTGTCATACTCGACAAATCTGCTCATTGCAAGAGATGGTTAGGCTGAAGCGAAAGATAGAAATATTCTGGAAGATGTAACTTTAACAGATTTAAGTAAGGCCCTCGACAAAGTCTCTCATGTGAGTCCGTAGTTAAAGCCGGAAGGTGTTAGGATCCGTTATGAAACCATAAACTGGACAAGTGACTCTCTGAACGATAGTAGAAAACGGGTATGGACAAATGGGGCTCTACCGGTGTGAAGTTGCCCAAGATACAATCCTTAGTCCTCTTTAGTTTACCTTATTTAAACGAATTATTGACCGCAGCAAATTCATCTGTTTTACTCTGTTCAAATGACATAAAGATTTGGAGACACATAAATAGTAGTTCAAATAGATAAATATTACGAGATCACCTAACTTCAATGGTTGAATAGATGGATAAGTGATCATTAGAAGTTAACTCTAACAAGAACGTGAGGATGAAAATTAATAAATGACACGATCAATATCACTACACAACATATGGAGTTGTGTTACCTAAATTAATGGACTTTAAGGATCTAGGAGTGTTAATAATCAACGACCTCAAACAGAGAGTGCTTACAACGCAGTCGACGTCAAAGGTTTCAAAGTCTCTTGGCGTATTCGTACGTCGTTTCAACAGTTGGACGAAAAAATGTTTGTAGTATTACACCCTACTTTGTGAGGCCTCTTTTGAAATATTGGATTCATGAAGTGAGTCCTTCTTTCAAATATGAGGCGTTTTTGCAAAAACCAGTTCAATGGAGAGAGACCGAAATGGTAAAAGGTCGCATAACGACCGACGATCTTGACATTATTGTGCCTCATCTTTTTCTCCCATTTAGAAATGACCATCCGGGCTGATATTATAGGAAAGTTCAGAAACCGAGATCAAGTCATTTACGTCTAGAGTTCCGTTTCTCGCAAATGGCAGTAATTCACTGATATACTCTGCCAGAACACGTATTATCAGCAAAGTCTATTTTAAAAACGGTAATCGAGCTCCAAACATTACAGACTTCAAAAATCAATACAGGTTTATAAAACTAATATACAACTACTGAAGGTTTTCAGTAAATACATGAACTGCAGAAAAACAAAAATGAATACGCCTCGATTATTTCCCTACGGAGAACAGTAGCAGCGACCTCACGATGCGTTTTCGCTCTGTTTCTTCTTATTTTCTGAAGGAATGTCTACTTTTGTCCTATTTTTCGTTCGTTCCGAATTTAAGGAGAGGTTTTAGAGCTTTCATCTCATAGTTTTAACGTCATATCAATCTGAATCTCGTTTTTTCAAGAAATCCCGCATAGGTTGTTTAAGCATGCATTCACACCGACTATTATTACAAAACTATTTCAAAGTGAAACCAGCGCAAACAAATTACGGAACACCACGCATCCGAATAACCCTCGTCAAAAAGTTCATGCTAATACTCAATACTCATTATTCATGAATTAACCCTCATCTCAATGATTGTAAGAATGAAAAGCTACGATTAAACAAATCAAAATCCTAGAGCCTTTGTATTTATTGTCAAATGCACGTCGTCTGAGCATTTAGTGGTTTATTGGTTCAGCACGATAATAGTAACATTACATTCCAAGATTTTTGTAACAACAAAACGAAGAAAAATTCTTTTCACTTTGTTCGTGCCACTTTATGTGTAGCCATATTTTCACTGAATATCTACCGTATATCTATATCGCTCGTAAACGGACATTAATTTGCTGGTTTATACATACGCTCCTTTGGTATTAAAATGAATTCTGTCTCAATCGACTATTCTTTTGCTTTATTGGCAACAGCCTGTGACGGAAAATTGTTATGAGGTTATATCATCGTTTTGTGTCTTTTTACACTAAATAGGACTCCTGTCCAGAATAATTTACATTATAATGTTTATTTTGGCTTATTATTAACTGTGCGTAATACTCTGTCTTGAATATATCCATTTGCATGGGCCACCGAAAATATAAAGAGTTCAATATTTTTCCTCGAAACGATAGTTTTTGATCCATTCACTAACATTTTGGCGCCTTTTCCTGTTGGAAGTGATTGTTTTGTATATTCACAATGTATTTATCTGAATTTGAATGCATTAGATAGGGTAAAGATTCAGTTGGTAGCTCCGCGGATACACAAACGTAACAGAATAGTGCGTGACAACCTGTAAATTTTATAGGACTCTTTCACTGTCAAAAAACAAGAAAACCTGATGGTAGTTTCTACTTTTCGATCTTTCAGTCATTTTTTCTATGTACTGGTTAAGACTGTAGGTTCATAGTCTATGGTATATACGGGCAGTGAATTCTGAATAATTCCTGTTACATTAGCTCGGCGACCAATAAATATTTACTGGAGTGCTGCAAATAAAACCAAAATGAGAACATTCAAGGAGTAAATGCTTATTTTTAGTCTAGGGATCGGGCGTCGTTTGTGCTGGGTATTTACAGTAGTCTATATTCGATATACTATATAAGGTGAAAATTTCTGGAACACATAATCTGATTGTCCATGTTAAGTGAAGAATGAGCTCATTGAATCTTGCACAAAGCTACAGGTTCAAGGTATTTGTTCGAACCACCAGCTGCACAGAATCGGGATTAACACCTCGACAAACGATGGTTTTATATTTGTTGTCCAGAAATATCACAGAAATACAAAACCGACATACCGAGATAACAAAGTTAAATAATCAGTAGTAAATTATACTTTGGTGAAACAACAACCAACGATGTCACGTTCACGGAGGTTAGCACCTGACTTATTCGCTGCGCCAAGATAGAATCGAGGCCTGGAATGAAGCCCGGGATCATCTGCCTCTCTAGCAGCCCGTGTACATTGTATCTGCATTTAGCAGTAAAGAAGGATGATAATAGAGATAGAGACTGGCATACTTGTTTGGATTATGGAAGTCTTAATATTGTAATAAAACTAGATAGATATATGGACCAGCACATTCAGGAAATCTCATTGGATCCAAATGTAAAGCTCATTTTCCGGAAATCGATCCAGTACGTGCCTGATACCCAATACCAATAGCTCAAGATGTCAATTTTCATCGTCGGTTCACTTTGCATTATTCAGCCATCCTACAACCGTCAACTCAGGGAATAAAAAGCATGGCCGAAATGTTTATGTTATCTTACGAAGCGAAAGATGCTTTGTTTGCATACGAATAAGAGATCTCTTACATTACGATGCTGTACCACTTAAGTCTAGACCCAGAGGCGACGCTGGTTTTGTAACCAGACGCTTCCAATGTGATGCTATGGCGTGAAAATGCTGAGAATAAGTGTTCAGAAGAAAAAAGCAAGCAACAAGACTATGTCGCGAAAGTTTCATCACAAATCGCTTTTAATGCAGTTTACGACGCATCGGTGTATGACATAAGTTTAGTTTAGTGATAGCAAAATATCATTGCGCGGGGCTGAAAGATAAGGCTTTCGTTCTTCCAGGACATTCTTCTGTTACTCACTTTATTCTTTAGAAGATATTTTTAGGGGCTGAAAAAATTAAGTACAATTCGGCATTTGACGTCAAAAGCAACTGTACATGCCTGCAATGTAGCTCGGGATAGTTAAGGCTAACGCCGACATTCTCATGATACGGTTTGATACTTTGTAGGTCAGTACGGTGTCTAAGAATGTTCAAAGCAGGTACATCAGATGTGCTCTTCGAAGGGTTTATTACGACTCCATAACTTTTTAAATGGTTGAATAGAATACATAGATTATGCGCATATTCATTAATGAAGATAGTGGCAATTAGAACGTCAACATAAACGAATACGAAGTTCAGTCCTCGAGTTACTTAACCCATTAATCTCTGAAATGTTTAGGTTGCTTTGTTTCGTCCGGATAGCATTCTTAAGAATTCAGAGAGACTAAAATGTGTTACGTTAGCTGTCGATATTATTTAAATGACATTGAAGATACTATTCGTCGACTTTGTTAATTTAATACTATAAATTACTTTGCTAGCAACTTATCTGAAGTCGTGTGTTGAGCAGTTTCTTCTCGTTGATGTTAAATTTATGTTGTAGAAACGTATGATGTCGGCTCCCAAAATAGTCTATTTTACCTGACAATGTTTGCGAAATGACGTGGTAGACCAAAATGTAGTGATTGATCGACTGCCGCTTCTACAAATATTTTACTGGCTGTGGTGTTTTCATTTGGATAGATCCCATGCGATTATATTGATCCCCGCAGCGGAGATAGTATACCGGATATGGAGAAGACTGCCAGTTATATGGCACGTTTCGTGAAGTTTCTTGATCCACTGACGTAAAGCAGTACCGTCTAGCGAATCCCCGTGCTCTGGGACCATATTTCTTGTGACGCTAACAGATGTCTGTCATTAGTTTTGGTAATCTGCGCCGGGACCTGTAGGATGTTTACTTAATGGAAGATGATCTTGCATTTCGGACATGAATTAATATATATCGATACTCTCTTATCTCTTAGTGTATAAATAATACGTTTTTGGTCAAACACAATTACCGTGTAGTTTAAATATTTTGACGGTGAATATTGTCGACAAAATATGGTGAACCTTTTATTCTTGTTACTGCTCACTTTTCATGAACGTCACAGCAAGCATTCAGTATTTAATTACTGGAACCGTACAATCATTAGATTTTTTATTTTAAGATAGCTGATTCAAATGACTGACAAATTCCAAACAAGCTTTTAGTGGCATTGATTTAAACAGTGATCCTCTAATTTGAATGGATTCCGCAACGAAGTAATCAGCGAAAGATCTTTCCGCAAAGCCGTTTCTCAGCGAAATTATTAAAGATTTTTAATTCACATCCACATCTAGTAATATCAATGCAGTCAGTAAACCCAGACCTTTAATAGATCAAATTACGGAACTCGCAGCAACTCTCATTTCGAAAATGTCAAATATTCAAACGATTAAGTGATATCATGCAGCATTTTAACTCCTTAAAACATCATTTGAAGATTGACTAGATTAATTACGCGTTGCCACATGGAAGTCCTCTACAAACATCTATGTGTTGATCAACTTAAGAATCAAAATTGACATTGATACAACAACATGTACGTAAGAGAATTTGGGAGCTGCTACATCCTATGTATTTTCAATATTATTAATTTTACCACATGCTAATGATACACTAAACTTATTGAACTGTTTACAAACGTTTTACGATTTTGGTGAATTTTCAGTTAATTTAACAAACACCTTATTTTTAAATGACAAGACAGAATAAAATGTATTTCTAAAGATATTAAGAATTTGTTATTATCATGCACCTGTAAAAACGTTTAGTATCATAATGCAGCAACATTTCTTCACATATTATTATCCAGTTTTATTTCACTGCAACCCATATAATTGGACACCCTTTTGATAAAACTTTCTCCTAAATAAAAAGGTAATTGGTTATTTCATTGGATGGAAAATCATACACAAGTTGATACTTGATCTGTTTCTTATTAGATGTTTAAAAGATTCTTAACCCATTGAAGCATTTTTACAGCAATCAATAATCAACGATAACTTAAAAAACACGATAGTTACACAAGTGTAGTAATTGATTATTCGAACGAAATAGAAATGAAAATATGTTATGAATACAAAAAAATAAAGATTGTGTTTGGTCAAACAATAACATCCAGTGATGAATTCATTCTATTATCATCTCCTGGATCAGCAGAACCTGTTAATTGAAGCCTTTTATCCATTTTTCTGAGTAACTCAAAGTATGACCACACGAAAGCGGGAGTAATCTAAGTATAAATAAACAAAAGATTATCAAATATTTCCGTTACTGCATTCAAAGTTCATGAAATGCTTGAATAACAATATGTGAGGACAAACATTATCACTGTACAAAGTGCGTTTTTTATTGTAGCTTATAATTCTTCTAGCTTAGTGAAGTGGTTAGTAAGTCACTCTGCTTATGCTAGTTTACCTAGATAAATACGACTGTTTTAGCTTCTACCACTCACAGTTTGCATACGTGGTTAGCGTTTTTTAGCGAGTTAGTTTTCTACTAGATAGTGTCGCTAACCCCATGCCCAACCCTCCTCCTTTACCTGGGCTTGGGACCGGCAGTAACTCTAGAAGAGCTTGTAGCGGTAAATAAATCCCTAAAATAAATAGCTCTGTAAGTTTTCGACATTGGATGCTGACCATATGTTTTAGTGGACTCATCTAGCTGAAGGCGCTCGGTCAGGCATCCGCACCAGATCACGTGTAGTAACGCCGTGCTCAACATCAACCACAATCGCTAGCCAGATTAGATCAGAGAATCCCGGTATATTGGTCATCGCCAAATATACTCTTCCGATCTCCTCGACTCTGTCTTTTGATTTCTCTTGGTGGGAACGAAATATCTTAGAAGGTGTTACTGGTAGAAGCGTTGTCAAACACTGAATACCTGTGACATCATCAAGCTACAGGAGGAGTTTTCGCATACGTGACTCTGATAAAAAAACATATAGGTAAATTCTAAAGCTTTCAGAAATGAAAATGCGATCTGCTCCACTGTATTTTTGTGTTCTATGCATATGAAACAACTTCCCTTCGACAAGGAGGTATTCGACGATTTTCTCTTTTCATTTGTCAATAAATTCAGTCCACTTAATTGGAAAAAATCTGTTAGTATTCTAAACTTTGGGAGGCATGAGTTTAGAGTTTGGTGGATATCGTTTTCGATAAACTAAGTTATCTTCGAACACCGACTTCACTAAATGTGACGTAATAGGCTATTACATAAAGGATTTCACGCTGATTGCCGTTTTTTAACTGTTAATATTTGTTGAAAAGATGGTCGGGTTGAAGTTTAGCAAAGTATTTCATTATATGTGAAAATTATATTTGAAATATTCTCAGCGATTGAAATTTAACTAATTCCTCAATCTTACATTTAATTGCCTGGATGTTTCTCCAACATAGGTAGCATTACAGTCATGACAGTGAATCTCATACACAATGTTATGTTGTTCTTCCTTTGCTAACTTGTCTTTAACTTTCACCAATGTCGATCTTAATGTATTATTTGCTCTAAAATACACTCTTATATCATGTTTGTTTAGAATCCGTTTGATTTCTTCTGATGTTTCACTCCGGTAAGGTATGACTACGGTGTACTTCCATTCTTTTCGTATACTTCCTAGTTTAGTTTTTCTTTCATTTTTAATAATCTTTTTTAAAAACCTTTTTGGGTAGTTGTTATCCCTAAGAGTAGAAAATACTTTATTTAATTCGGTTCGTTGGTCTTCCTTGTCTGTAACAATCTTAGTACTTCTGTTCATTAGATTTTTTACCACATTAATTTTCGTGCTCTGTGAATGGGCTGAATTAAAATCCAAGTATCTCTCGGAAGGCGTTGATTTTTTGTAAACATTTATTTTTAACTTCTTATTATTGTGTCGACGTTCAACCAGACAATCTAGAAATGCTAGTTTGTGGTCAACTGATTCTAATTCCTTAGTTAGTTTAATGTTTTCAGAAATGCTGTTTGCATTGTTAAATAGTTCTTCCATACCATCCCGTTTATTGATAATAAAAATATCGTCTACATACCTTAACCATAACTGAGAATATTTCAAATATAATTTTCACATATAATGACTTCTCTATACTCGGCGCTCAATTACTGTCAAACTATTCGTTCTAATCTTGACGAATATTCGTATAAAGTATTTCATTGTTTATAAATTAAATAATAGTTATTACCTTTAAATTTCGTTCCAGACCTATACTCTCACGTAATAAATCATGTACTATTAGAAGTGGTGATTGCACTCTTGTTGATTTGCGTATGTCTTCACGCGTTTCTTCAACTTCGTTGTCTTCTTCTTCTTCTTCTTCATCTGTAACTTCAGTCAATACTTCTTCAAGTCTTTTTTTCAATTAAGAAAAATAACATAAGACCAATAAAAAAGCATGGTCGTATTATCGTTAATTTATTGAAATAGGTAATCTCTATGACTGATGTGAACAGAGAAACAAGAAGCTATGACAAACTACAGAAGCGATTTTTGGGAACGTTATTTCATTTAATTGAGAGCTTGTAAAACACTGACATTTATTTTTGTCCCTAGCTTATTTTATAGACCATAAGCTATCGTTTGATGTATGATTCACTACTATAGCCTTATCTGTCCCAAAGCAATTGTAATTTGAGCGTAATCTTTCTGTACTATATTGTTCTACCTAATCCTTAGTTTTGGTCATAATTGTGTTTTCCTAATTGTTTGTGAGTTATGGTCTTATTATTCATCTACTTATTCATGTATCTTTTTACACCACGCTGAATTAGAACTAGATCGGAGTGTGAATAGGAAATGGGAATAAATTGAGTAGCGTTTCAGTTAACTCGTCTTCTCTCTTTTGCGTGCCTGTCAAGTGGTAGAATAATTTTCATCCCTTTACCCCAAGCAGTTAGTCTCACTTCAAACTTACACATACTAACCTCAAGGTGAAACCACTTAGCCTATCTTGTCAAGTTCTTAATCTAGATTGAGACAAGTTATATTCTTTATATAAGGGGGTAAATAGATCAAGGACGTAATAATAACAAACATCTAATTTTGATTTATGAAGAACTGAATGTTCATTTAAATTGCATGTCTGTTCAAATGATAGAAATAATGTATAATGATTATCAAGATGTGTTATGAAAATTCAGTTAATGGAAGAGAGAGCACTTTTCATGACAAACTGATATAAGCTGAAAGAAGAACCAGGAACTAACAATAAGCTTATCATAAGTATATCACAGTAGTTTGTAGTGTACAATTTCACCACAAAAGGATACTAGATTAAACAAAAAAATTTACTTAACGAACTTAAAAAATGAATATTCCTAAAAATAAGTGATTTCATTGTAACGTTAAGGAGCTATTTAGAAAAGGCTTATGCATTTTCTCTATTACAAATCTGAGTATAAAGAAAAAAAATATAGTACTCAACAAGATAAGTGTTTATGAATCTCAACCTTACGAGTCAATGGAATAAATTCTAGTAGTAAGTTTACGAAGTGGTTCACATTCAAAATTATATCAGTTACGTATCTGATAGTGTGTATTTCAAAAAGAAGAACTTTCAGGGTGATCAGATGATAATAAAGTTCACTTTGATAACATTATTTTCTCAAATTTGACAGTTATGTAATCAGTAGCCAACTAATTTAACATCGTTTTATTATGAAACAGTTTGATTATAGTTACTTTCACTCGAGAATAACACTTAATTTTGATTATTCTATCAAGGCATTAATTGTAACATCAACATGCCTGTTTGAAATATGACATTTTACATGCTGACCTACAATTGATAACAAAGATTTAATGACGATCTTGCTGATTGAACGAATTGAACTAGCAATCCAATAGTCGTTCGGATTAGCATAATATAAGTGCATCTTGTAGTTTAAAATATCGAAAATCCTCAATGTAAGAGTTAGAACAACATATGTATAAGTGAATAATACCGTTCACTTATTTGTGTTACTCTATATTGATTGATTTACCACCTATTTAACAACTTAAGCAAATCTATTATACAGAATTAAAATCTTATTAGAAAGCCGATAATGTTATCTAGAGTTCGATGATTGTTTTAATTAAGGATAATAAATAAATAATATTCAAGGTCAACTGGTTATTTCATAATTGTGAAAGAATTATATTAAAATTAGATTTTAATCAGTTAATTAACCAAATTATTTTATAAGTAAATGTATTATTGAGCTTTTATCCTACATTTATCTGAATAGGCTTCATAGATTACTGCTTGCTTTCAGAACTTGACGATTTCTCAATGTTAAATGAGATCATACTTACCACGAAGTCTGAAGTCTTATTCAATATGCCACGATTGTAGAGGAATATGAAACTAGGATAAATTAGCTCTAGGACTGCTTAGTATGAAGAGATTACGATATCACCTAACCGACAAACGAAACGAAGTCACTGACACAAAAACAGAACAAAAAACTATTCCAATGCTCCCCAGCCCTGCTAACTAGAGGTGGAAGACCAGATTCAGCATACGGAAATGTACATTCCTCAGGCAGCCTAGAAACACGAACAAATAAGCTCACAACTCAAACTTATATAAATACAGAACGAAAATGTCTTTAATAAACGTCTCAAAATAGTGTACTAAAAGAGACAACGAACAAATGACATTTAAGGTCCTTCCAAGTGGGAAATACAAGTGAAGGTAAGAGTGGGTGCATTTGGCACAAAAACGAGAAATTCAAATTTTCATAAATAAAATTACAAAAATGACACATTTACCAAGTGATTTCTAGAGATCTAGCATCCTAAACAAGGACGTTGTCACGTTTCCAACGATTGACGACTTAAAACTTCAGTTTTTAAAGAAAACTATTTTTATACTATACAAAATTCTTATAGTTATATCAGTATATAAATGAGTCCTGGAATATTTGTATGAAAAGCACAGAATTTGAGGTAATGTTGTGTTGAAGTGTCCAAACAAAAATTGTCTATCATAGAACTGTTTAAAAAAAAATCAAACTATTGTAATATTGAAGAAGTGAAAACGTACTTTAATTCATGAAGATCAACCTTATCAGAAGTATGTTGAAAGCCTTCTAGTTCAGGAATAACTAATTCATCTTTATCTGCTAAATTCGATTATAATATCACCACCATCATCCAAAGATACAATACAAATTCATAATTAAAAAATAAGAAAAATGTAGATAAAACAATTAAACCAAGTATTTCAGTAGAAAGTGTATATTAATGGTGATTTCATTATCAAATATTTTGTTGTCATATTAACTTCACAATATGCTATTTTCGATACTACCAAAGTTAATCAGTCGTATTCGTAGAGTAGTACAGTTAATATTACTGAGCAAAATAAATTAATCATATGTAATCATAGTATTTGAATCGTAAAACAGCATATAATGCCCTATTACACTTCATATTGTACTGTTTCCAAGTAATCCCAATTTATTGATTATAATTCATCATTTTTCAGTTATTGCTTCGGTAAACTTCAAAAAAAGTTGGAGTTTGATTGTTTGTTAATCACCTTGAAGGACTTCAGTGTATCGACTTCATGTCCTGAATATTTTAAACTGACTGTTGTAGTATGAAAATTATAAACTTGAAACTAATTGTACAGGTAAAACATGAAATTATTGAAAAAAATAAATGTTTGTTTAGACATTTTGTTTCGAAACTATAATTTATGCATCCAAATGGTAGAGAAAATTACTTGAAAAACATATTTCCGTGTGAAACTTTATCAACCAACAGTCGGTTAACCACCAAAAAAGTACGTCATGCGATGAAATGTATATGAAGTTTGTAATTTGATTTTTATCACAATGAGGATTTTTGGAGAATGTAGTATTTTCACAGTTGAATCCACGAATCACTCTAAGCGAGACCACCACTAAAAAACCTGGGAGCACTGAACGGCCGTTTTGTCCTAGTATGGGACTGCTCAGCAGCGCGCAGTTTCGGGTGTGTGACAGTTTTCACTTCAGATAGTGGGTGAAGGGGTGCTTAAGATCACTGATTGATTGGAGTTAGACAATGACACTGTTGAATGGTGGGTCAGCAATCTAGGGATTAATCGTTCGCGCGCAATATTGAAGGTTCTGAGTTCGAATCCTGCGTGGGGTGTGGGGAATGCGCACTGCTGAGGGGTCCCATAATAGGACGAAACGGCCGTCCAATGCTTCCAGGTTTTCAGTGGTGGTCTACATTAGATCGACTCATGATTTCAACTGCAAAAATATTGCGATTTTAGTGTTATGGCTTTATATACATTTCCACTACATTTGTACCAACAAAAAATATATTAATTAACATAGTGAACTTGTTTTGGTTTGAATTATCTCATCGTTGATATTTTCGACTAAAATTCGATCAGTTTTGGTTGTTATATGTGCATCCTGTGTCAACTGCCTCAATAAAACCTTTATGACATATGTTTTTATAGAATAAATGTTATGTGTCTAGTAGTAGAACCAAGTACGTGCATTTCGTGAACATCAACTCTAGGATGTAGGTAAACTTAGATGACGAGTTCCAAATTCCAGTATTAACCACATTCCATCTATTCTACATCTTATTGAACTTACCCTTTGCTTGAAACTATTTATTAAATACAATGAAGCTACGATATAGATAAATAAGAGATATTCCAAAGCTTTTAGATCAAGAATGTTTTTCAAACAAATAAAAAACAGTACTTCTGATAGATCAATGACTTGTTTTAATCAGTGATAAGTTATTTGTTTTCCTGATAAGGGGATCTAGGAACTACATCACTAGTGTGATAATCACATTTATTTCATTAATCATTTGGCATAACACTACATATTTATCAAGACAAAGTTCAATGTACAGAAGATTACATCAGTTTTCATTGGCTTCTGTTTATTTTTTAATCTAATGGTGTAGATAAGTTGTACGATATTATTCCCTGAACTATCTATCATATTAACAAAACTAGAGAGTAATAATATTTTTGTCAAATTGAATTATCAGAGAACATATAAAAAAGGGAATTAAGATAATTGAACAAACTTTTATATTTAGCTAAGATTTCTTCATCTCTGAGCTTTTTACGCATATTAACGTGATTTTCAAATGCTTCTATTAATCTTTTGCTTTCCAATAACAACTCTTCTTCGTTTTGACGTTCTTCTTCACCAAATAATTGACTTTTTGTTAAATCAAATGTTTGATTTCCGTCTTCTTCTTTTTCTTGTCTAAGACGTTGTTCTTCAAGACATTGATTTTCGTTGAATAAATCTGTTTCTTTTAAATCAGAATCAATTTTTTTGTCTAACCGTATCATTTGTGTTTTAAGAGACTTTAAAATATTAGAATTTAATTGAGTTGCAAACTTGTTTAACTGCTCTTGATTACATTGTCGATATGGATGAAGATGAAGTAGTGATGATTCAATAGTCTAAAATGTAATTGCAAATTCTTTGTTTGAGTTATAAGTAAAAATCAAGCACTTTTAAATTCTTCTCGATAAACCATTAAAATAACTTGAAACGTATTAAGATTTATACTTAAATAGTTGAGTGATAAACTAATGGAGGCTTTGTATTGAATGGCAAGCATCAATAAGGGATAGCTGAGATTTCGGAGGTTATTAATCACTCGGTAGAAATTGGTTTCATGATTTTTCGGTTTAAATCGCTGACTGAATTCTATGGATTAACCTGGAATTCGGTCATTTATCTAAATGACTGAATATCTCTCTGCAACTTCTTCCATAGAATTCAATCCACTTTGAAGACTAGACACTGGGGAAACAGTTACCAATCGGTGATCAGTGACTATAGTTAAGGACATAAAAGAACTTCTCTAGCATACGGTTGATGGAAGACTTGAGAACCAGGAAATGAGCTGACATAGCTTCAGACTATCACCTGGTGGTTGCCAAGATGAAACTGGAGCTGAAGATGCATTGGACAAATGGAGAAACAAAATTGCAAGGGTTCAATACAGCCTTCCTTTGATATACTGACAAACTCGACGAATTCAAGTTAACTCTCAAAAACAGGTTTCATACTTTACAAGATCTACTCAAAGAAAAAGAAACTACGATGGAGAACAACTGGAAGTGGATGGGACATACATTACGGAAATCACCAAGCTGCATCACGATGCAAGAGCTAACTTAGAATCCTAAAATGAAACGGAAAAGAGGAAGGCCAATGAACACATTACGTTGGAAATTCGAAGCAGACATGAAAAGGATAAATAGCAACTAGAAAGAATTTCCCAGGACAGAATTTAATTGGAAATGTTTGTGGGAGGCTTATGCTCCTTTATGAGAGGTAACCGGCGTAGGTAAGTAAGTATTTGCGCTTAAACTAATGTAAATGCAAGTAGGACAGAATAATTCACTTCGTTTCAATCATGTTAATTGCTAAATTAATATTTACAAGAAATCAAAAAGGTCTTAAATTTTCTTGGTAAAATTGATTTTCTGATCAATTTATAAAACACCTACTTCGGTTTGTAAACTCAATGATTCGTGGTAAAAACGACCTATTATCATTACTCATGGGCAAGGGAATTGTTTGCCAAGCGAATAATTGTATTTAAATCTAAATGTCCACTGATAGATAATTCTAACAATTATATGGACAATCTTCATTTAACCATTGATCAATGAACATTGGAATGTCTTTCATTTTAGGTGTGACTGCAACTCATTATTAAAACTTCTGTTCGGTAAAAGTTTCATTTTTTTCATTATCAATAACTATAATTATTTTTCCTCCCTTAGTGATTCATTTATGTTACACCAAATACATAGTGTTAGAGATCAGGTTGGACATGTTAGTTGACAATAGCTTTGTGTAGCCTCTTGTTATACATCATTAAATATGCATTACTAGATACATATTATATGTGAGTTGGTCGGATTGTAAATCTTTGTCTGTTGAGGTGATTAGGATGTTTAAGTTATGCTAAGACGCCTCCTAGCTCAATAAGCAATGTTAGATGCTACAGGAGTAAGTTAGAAGAAATTAAGGTTGGCGCAAACTAATACGTAGTATCAGTTCATGAACTTATTCGGTATTGGTCTGAGACGTGATGGTAGAATCAGACTACCTGGTAGGGATCAACACGATAACCGCAACCATTAATTGGATAGTGTGAGTAATATGGTTCAGAAATTGTCCTAATGATGTAAATGCACTTTTCATCTTGTTCTAAACGTTGAGTTCCAGTATAGCTTTATATAAATCTATTCAAACCATAATGTGAACGTTTAGTTTTTCTCATTATCATTGCTACTACATAGTTTTGTATAATTTTATTGTATTCATCTAGTCGTTATAAAGCGGTATGATAACTTGGACTAACTTGTGCGATTAAAACTGATTGGCCGACGTATATTATTATGAAAATTATTTGAATAAAGTGTGAATAAGTGAAGAAGACTCAATTGTGCAAAAAAATATTGTTTTTTGTGAGAAGTGAAACTTAGAGTTGACCAATGTGAAGTACTGTTCGGGAGTCTTAAACTACAACGAAACAGCTGTCCAGTGCTTACTAATTTTGTTTAGTTGTTCATTAAGAAAATCACATTTTCAACCTGAACAAATCTACTCTAACCACAAAATAAACATTAGCAAGTTAGGTTTGCTGAACTAATGTTAATTATAACTGACGTGTCATTTATATGTGTAGGTAATTACAAAGTAAACTATTTTCATTGAGTCCGTATGTGTTCCATGAGGCAAAAGCTTACTTAAAAATTATAATTATGAGTTATTTCTTCCTGAGGTGGGATTTATACCACTCCACATTTTAATTCATACTGCGGCGTGGTCAGGGTAACATTACGAGACAGTATATTCTGCTGTTAGACCAATCAATGCAAGTCATTCAACTGATTTCTCATTGTTAATTTTAAATTCCTTAAAACTGTATATAAAGGACAACATTTCAGCTACATATTAATTCTCCACAGCTACATATTAGACTTAGTCTTTTGGTGTTCTGGCTCTTAGTGAAATATTAAACTCTTATACGTAGAAGCTTTATTTATTGTCAGGTGATCTGTCAGCGAAAGAAATCCTTCCCTGTTGTCGTACAAAATCCACTCGGTCACACCAATTCATCACAAATGAGTCACAATATTTATTAATATGTTTAAGTTAAAATTGATCAAATGATTTCTTTCTGAATAAATGATGGCAGTAATTAAAAATGAAATAAAACTAACATTTTTTAAATACAAAAACATGATAAAATAAAGCAAATTTAAAACATAGAAGGTAAGGTTACGTACTGACTGAGAAAATTCCGGTAGAACAGTCAAATCTACTTCTTTCTGTGCTGCAAAAGCCATTTCAGTTAACTGAGAGAAGATAAGCGAAATTAAAATATTTTTGAGAGGTTCTATGACATAAAATAAAGAATTTTTGAAATAAAGCGTTTCAACTATGATTCACGTAACAAAATTTTGTATAATCTATCGTTTATTAGTTAGTATGTGAACTCGTATGTTTGAGCATTAAGCTAACCTGAAAATGGTTTTGAGAAGGTATATATTTGCGAATTCCAGTATGGTGACGATCTATTTATTCAGAGTTCAAAGTACTAAATATCTTTATTTGAAGCTTCAAAATAACGTGTAGTTGTCGGATCAGTATGATCGATATATTCTCACAGTTGGATTCACGAGTCGATCTAAGCTGGACCACCATCGCGAATCTGGAAACACTGGACGGAGCTTTCGTCCTTAGACGGACTGCTCAGCAGTGTGTAACCACGATCGCTCACGCGTGACCTCCAGCTTTTCAAAAGTAGTCCAGCTAGGACCAACCTGTAAATCCAATTGTGAAAATACTACAATCTCTACAAATCTCTTTACTGATAATGATCAATACAGTCAAGCAAATATTCGTCACATTCTTTTATTTCAATTATATACATGTATATATATTCTTCTAAGAAAGTATGAATAAGAGCTATTTATCAGGTGGAAAATTCTTAATCGAAGATCATTTTGAAGCTAACTAGGTGTTGTAGATGCGCAGGAATAGACCAATAATTATCATGTTAAGTTCAATGGTGTCCTTGGACTTTAAATGGACATTTCCTATTGGTCGATATCTGTTCACTTGTTGAATATTGTACAAAATGTTGTTTTCTATTTTTATGGTACGCTGTGGTATGCTTGACTAGTATATAAACAAAGTATGTTTGAAATATAGTGATTCATATCTCCGAGGCTGTGACTTGTGTTCTGGACTCAACTGACTGGGCTAGACACGGAAGCGAGACCAATAGAGACTCTAGGCCGTCCGTACGTGTTTTCGTGTCATTGAATCGATCGATAAGTACGCTGCTCTCTAATTTTCCAGTCAAGGACACAACAATTAGCACAGGGTAAAAATCGACCCACAACTTAAATTCATAACACTAGGAAACACAAAAGAGTATTTTGGTTAATTGTCAGTGCCTTGTGCTTAATTCTTGATAACATTTAATGAGATCTTAGTATTTTGTCGTCATGTCCCTATGAAAGATATATTTGATATGATATACTTGGTGATAATTTAGTTTCTTTCTCACAAATAGGATTATGTGCTTATGATTAGCGATAGAACTTCATATCTCATTTGATTTATGTATATGTGTAAATACAGGATACATTGGAAATAGATTTGTCATGAATGATTAAGTGAATAAAAATATTTATGAGATTTTTTTCGTTTTAGCACTATTACATTTGTGGGAGCACGGAACCTAATGTAATCGCATTCTGTATGAAATTCAATCTATATACATAGTTCGAATTATGATTTGTAGTGAATCGTATAGTTTTCCCAATTCAACTAATGTTTTTATGTTACAATACTAAGATTTGTATTGTGTGACATAGCTATTAGATGCTTCACGGCTTGATTGGTAATGAGAAGTTCGCTAAAAAAAGAACTATCACACAGTTCTGCTAGTATAGACATCTTTATTGAACAATTCATCTAATGATTAAATTTTTGTACAAATGAGATGTTTATACAAATCGACTATTAAATAGTGCCCCAATTCTATATTTCACCAAAATATCTAAGCTGAAGTTTGATGTGCATATGGGGAAACTAAAGTGTTTAATATTGTACTTTAGATATGTTCAAACTGGAAATTAAATTCATATGCTTACTTTTTTCCATTTTCTATAAGTTTGTTTTGTAGTTGTAAGTTTACGAAAGAAATCTATGTAACAAAAGAGAAAAACATACTTAATAAAATTTTAAATCTTTATTTAACCATTTTGCCTGATCAACGAACTTGAATATTGGTTCAACAAAACGTTGGTTCTAAGCGGATCAGATTTCTTTGTTAATCATATCGATTGGAAACTTTGAACCATATGGCATAGTGACCGATTATTTCAGCTGACTAAGAAGTTCTTCAACATTGGACATTGACGTTTAAAGTTAGCCTTTTTTATCTGGCTCATCTGTGACTTAACAAAATCGTTGGAAGCATTATCTAAACGAACAAACAGCTGATTTATTGATGAATTAAGTGGTTGAAGCACATTGTTTATTGTCATTTGTCTTTCGACGTACAAATTTCAAACGTAAACGTGAGTCAAATTGCTCAACGTTTTGATAGAAACATATCGTCACACAAGTTCTTATTATAGTTTTCATTCAAACCATGAAGCGAATATTTTAACGAGAAGATATTTTTAAAACAATTATTTCTTTTGATGAACTTGGATAGTGTAATATTAAGACAAAGATTTCCAGAACTTTGTGATATATTAGCGTAATACATTTTGGATAATCTGATCACACATATACATCAGTTTGAGTTGCCATACCACATTACCACACAGATACAATTGCCGATTCAAGTCCCATAGTGGTAGAGGTAGTAAAAGTAGAAGTAGTCATCGGAAGGATTAGGGTTTGAAGATGTTAGTCAAGGAGTATCGTCCAGTGAAATAAAGTTGGAGAGAGAGAAAAAAAGACATGAAGATTCCAGAAGATTAGAATTCGGGAGAACACAAAGCGTGGATGCGCCTGCGCCATTGCAAACGATTTTGAGCAATGTCATTCAAGGTCTCTAACCATCCGATAAGTCCCAGATTATAATTTATTTTCCGAAAAAGAGTCCACTTAGTTAAAGAAAAATAGGTTCAAACCAGAGATCAGCATCAAAAAAGTAAAAATCAAAACATACTTTAAACTTAACATAAGGAATTAGCGAATAGTGTCCTCTGAAATATGTATCTAGATATACATAACTCTAATGGATATCTAAAAACGGTTGGTGAGGTTTTACAGTTAAAGTGATGGTGAAAAAATGTAATAGTTTGAAGCAATGATTACTTCAATTTATCACCATAACTTACTGATAGGGCCAGTTGGACGTGTACGAAGCCATTCTTTTTCTTCTCTACACAGTTCTTTCGCTAGTTTTTAGTTAGAAGAAAATTACTTAACAAATAACTTGATTCTTATTAGAAGTTTCTCTTTCACGAAAAGAAATCAACATTAATGATAACATAAGCATCATACCTATTGGACAAGTTAATGCTAATCTAGTCTCAACACTTCAGTAAATAACACTCTAACGTTGAAGGCAAAATCTACAGGGTTTGCGTCCCCGTGTGGATACCAACACTGTGACTCAGATAAATGAAACGGACGGCCCTCAATTAGGATGACATTCGTGTCCTTGACTCCGTCGGCAGACGAAATCTATCCGTTTTACACGAAACAATTAACTTTTTATCACTGATACTAGACATTTTACATAGGTAATGACGAAACATCAAATATTCAAGTTTAAATTACTGAAATGTTAACTCATTATAAAGTCCAAATAATTTAGTTTTATTTCGATTTTATTCGTTAAGGAACACAAACGTAACTTGATATAACAGTGTCTACTAAGAATGATCATGCAATGATCATGAAACTTTAAATGAATATGCTTTGGGAAAGGAACGTGAGAAGCAGATAAAAATGTGAAATCTTGAAAGTTACTCTCTTTGGAATCGATATACATATTTCTAACTTGTATTTCTTAGACAAAAGGTTCATGGTATTTTGATACTGTTAGATTTCAGAAATTACTGTTAGTTAGTTATTAAACTGTTAATCGAGTGATTATGTAGAATAATCGTTACCAAGATAGGTAAAATTGTGAAATCGTTCATAGTTGTATAGTTCATATGTATATTGTTTCAGCTTCTTATCAAACGTTTCACATTCAGGAGATATTTTTCTCCATCATAAGGTATCACATGTGGTAAAAATTGGAAAGCTGAGACAAAAACCCCTGTTCCGTCTAGTTTTAGGACTTCTGAACGGTTTAGAGTAACGACTAATAACGACTTCAAGTTTAAAATCTCCAGATTGTTTAGCATGTACAATACTTTTGAATCAATGACTTGAGATCTGACGATCTAAAATCTCAGATTTTGTTGTTCTTCATCGGAATTCATTTGCTTTTAATTGTCTTTAGTAAATGTCAAGTTTATAATAAAGTGTTATTCAGAATATTTTTCTCCGTACCTAGTCTAACAGAAAATCATGTCAACGTTTGAATAATCTTTGTTTTAATGTTTTAATTATTTTGCTACCTATCTGGAATAACATGTTAAGCAAAGTCATAGTATCATAATAGTTTGGTCAGAACTATTGAAAGGATAAAGGACTATGACAAAACTAGTAATTCATACACTAACTACACGTTTATACAGCTGTCTATCAATCAAACCCTTTTTGAAGGTTGCTGTTATCATCTATCTGCTAATATTATCACTACAGCATGCCTGAGAAGATAGTCAATATCGTACGGAATTCATATGATGGATTACACTACAAAATCGTGCATGAAGGACAGCTGGCAGATTCGTTCGAAATAAAGACCGGTGTCAGGCAAGGTTGTTCACTCTCACACTTTCTCTTACTCTTGATGATCTACTGGATCATGAAGATGTCAACATCTGGGGGGAAGCACGTGATACAGTGGACAGCTAGAATGCAGCTGGACGATCTAGACTTCGCAGATGATCTGGCTATTTTATCACACACGCAACAACAAATGCAGAAGACGATCAGTGTATCAGCAGCCTCAGCAGCAGTAGGTCTCAACATACACAAAGAGAAAAGCAAGATTCTCCGATACAGCAAAACATGCAACAATCGATTCACACTTGACGGATAAGCTTTGGAACATGTAGAGACTGTTACATATATGGGCGGCATCATTGATGAACACGGTGAATCTGATGCAGATGTGAAGGCGCGGATAGACAAAGTAAGGGTAGTATATCTATAATTGAAGAACATATGGAACAAATGTCAACCAGCACCAAGGTCAGGATTTTCAATACAAATATCAATACAGTTCTACTGTATGGGGTGGAAGCCTGGAGAACTACGAAAGCAATCATCCAGAAGATAAAATTGTTTATTAACAGCTGTCTACGCGGAATACTTCAGATCCGTTGGCCAGACACTATTAGCAACAACCAACTGTGGGAAAGAACAAACCGGATTCCAGCGGGGGAAGAAATCAGGAAGAAGCGCTGGAAGTGGATAGGACACAGATTGAGGAAAGCATCCAACTGAGTCACAAGGCAAGCCCTCATCACTTGAACTCCCTAAGACCAAAGGAAAAGAGGAAGACCAAAAAACACGTTACGCCGAGAAATGGAGACAGACATGAGAAGAATGAACAACCACTGGATAGAACTAGAAAGGAAGGCTCAAGACAGAGTGCGTTGAAGAATGCTGGTCGGCGGCCTATGCTCCATTGAATTAAACAGGTGTAAGTATATAAGTACATTCTAGTGCAATAAACGTAATGTTTTTTTGTTAAATAACTCACTTTTACCACTTCTTGTTCTCATATAATTCTCTTCTGCTGCATTATGGGCTACTAACTCTGAAAATTTTAGTGATAACAATTTTTGAAACTTCTATTAGTTAGACATTACATTAGATAGCTAATTAGATTATAAAAAAATGCAAATATATCACATTAGATTAAAGATTTGTCCTAGATAAAATCCACAGTAAAAACCGAACAATTTAAGCTTATAGGAAGTTGTCGCTGAAGGTAAAACGGAATGAATAAAATTAAAAAATGGAATGAAAATTTTTTTAAAGTGGGTTGAAAACAATGAATCAAAAAAAATTACAAAAATCATCGTGTGTTCAATGGTATTAATCACTGAAAGTGTAATTCATGATTTACAAAACCAGATAGAAACATTTTGACACTAGATTTTTCGGTAGATATTTTTACAGATGATAACCTATTTTACATATATTGATTGTTTGAATCTACTTATCGACGTTTATGACTTGAATTGATCAGTCACATTCGGGGTATGCGTATACTGTACGCATTGCGACGATATTGCCATTAAATTACAGGCATTTTAAGGAGAAATGGATGATGATTATCAGCGTTTCATCCTTTTCTTAGACTTGTTAGCTGGATCTACCGACATCTCAGTAGCTAAGTGGACAACGTGAGAACGTTCCAAGCGAACGTCACTGAGTTCGAGTCCCGAGGTCCCTTATAGTACGTCCTAGATACCACTGCTAGTCACTAACCACCTGTGATTATAATTTGGAAATTGAATGACAAATTATATCGACAAGACAGAAACCAACCTCAAAGGTGAAAGTAATTTTTTACTTCTTGTTTATGTGATATTTAACTAGAAAAATCATTCTTCAGTTTGATTAGAAATTTTTGATATTAAGGGTTCTTGGATTATCATTATAGAACATTACTTTCAGGGTTGAATAATTACCCCGCATAAACAATAAGTCAAATAATTCGAAGAAAGTGAAAGTTGGTAATTATCCAAAGCAACGATAAACATAATTTAGAAAACATAAAGGATTAGTTTTCACTTCTTGGTTGTCCACATTGTGGAAAGATATTTCTTGTTGAGGGACTTGAGAAAGAAACCTGAGTTGGTATTGGTTTTAAATACTTGAAAGTGTGACTGAAGAGGGCCAAGGACCATCCGATTAGGACCTATTACAGACTGTCTTTTTGTTAGTAGTTTTCGATATACTAGTTTCGAACATTTTAGGTTAACCGCTGACACAGGGTATCCTTTTAACAAGGTAACGTGTGCTGTATTTATGACCAGAATTACCTGACTACTTTTCCGGTTTGGGAAGGCAACATCATTGGGTGTACTGATTATTCGTGCGAAAAACCTGCTATAACAATTCATGATAGTTGACAATACGCCTTCGCTCTTGGACATAAGTTTTCTGTATCTCATTTACTCTCCTTCAATTAAGTTACCTGTCGTAGTAGAGCGTCAAGGAATGTTTATTCCAGTCAATATAGCTCGACAGAGTTGTCTTGATTAGCTAAACTGAGCATCACGTCATGACAGCAGATAAAGTAGGGGGTCAACTAAAAACTTTCAACATGGAACATTTGTTACTGACTCAATGGCTTGATTTATTCCCACCTACCATAAAAATAAAGGTCTCGAATCTCATTCCGTGTAATTTCATGAGAATTTATTTCAGAGGAAATAAAAGATGTCTAGCGTTCCCTAGTTAATACTTCTTGAAGGGACTATAGTACACGATGATATCTGCGTTTAAATGTGTGTTTATTAAATACAAAATACTGTTAAGGGAAAGCTTGAAGTTCACTTGTTTAGCTAACCTGCATTTAAAATGTTTGTTACAAAATTCATAGTTAACCAAACTTTAAAATTTTAATTCATCAATAACATAGTTTACCATTAACTGTTCAGATTAACATACCTGAAAATTCCGATAAATTACCCGATCTAGCAGCTGAAACAAGATCATCACTAAGACCTGCGGCAGCTAAAACATCTGCTAATTGTTGTAGACTGTCAAGTTTAGCTGCAGCTAATAAATTAACTAAACCTTCAGCACCACCACCTGCTGCATTAATCAAGAGTTGTAAGGCTTCTGCACCTCCCCCGGCCGCTGCCAGTATATCCGCCAATCCATCTGAACTACCACCAATCGCTTCTAAAAGAATTCCTAATGTATCTGGATTATTTCCAAGTACTTTTAATAAATTCGACAATCCATCTATTGGTTTTTTATGTTTACCTCGAGTAAGTATTTTTAGAAGATTATTGAAACCTTCTTGACCTCCACCTCCAGCAGTAATCAAAGTTTTTAAAATATTAGCTTTAGATTCAGAGTCTGTTGCACCAGCTGCTTGTAATAAGTTATTCAATCCATCTTCATCCCCACCAGCCGCATTTATTAATACTTCTAAACCTTCAGCACCACCACCAACTGCTGCAATCAACGCCGCTAAACCATCTCCATCTTCAGAAAACTTTCCAGCGGCTTTAAGTAATGCGGCTAATCCAACCTGTCCACCACCAGCAGCTGCAATTAAAGTGGCTAGACCATATTCTTTTCCACCTAATAGATTAATGAACGCTGTCAAACCTTCAACACCTTTACCACCTATAGCTTTAATTAAAGCTTCCATTCCATTTTCTCCACCACCAGCTGCTGTGATAAGATTGGCAAGTCCATCATCACCAAGTGTTTTCAACAATTTCTTCATTCCTTCTTCACCACCACCCATAGCATTAACTAAAATTGTGAGACCTACATCAGCTCCACCTAATGATTCAAAAAGTAGTTTCAAAGCAGTTGGATCATTTGGATCAAGTCCACTGGCTAATAATAGATTTCGTAATGCGTTTTCATCACCACCTAACATTTCTAACAGGACTTTTAATGCTTCTGCTGGATTATCACCACATGATGCCAGTAATTTAGCTAATGCTTCATGTCCACCACCAAATGCATTCAAGATTTCTTTAATAGAATCTATACTGCCACCAGAAGATTTTAATAAAGCAGCTAGTCCTTCTACACCCCCACCAGACATTTCTATTAATTTTCTTATTATTTCTTCTTTATTGCCATTTTCACCAAATGAATTCAACAAAGTTGCTAAACCTTTAGCTCCACCACCTAATGTTTTTAATAAACCTTCAATGCCAACTTTGTCACCGATAACTTTGAATAAATTGTCAAGACCTTCAACACCACCACCTAATGCTTCAATCAAATTCTTGAAATCTTCTTCTTGGTTACCAGTTACGTTAAGTAGGTTAATTAGTGCTTCATTCATATCACTACCTAACGCACTCAATAAATTGGTTAAACCTTTTACACCTCCACCAACTGCATCAAACAGATTTTTTAAACCAGATGCACCGCCCCCAGAAGCTGTAATTAGATTTGCAACACCTATTTTTTCATTTAACAAAAAAAACAGTATGAGAAGGACAGTGTTTAAATAGAAATAGGAAAACCTCAAGATGCGCATCATAATTAAATGATTTATTCAATAAATCTGGCATCTTGTCTCAAAGTCAAATAGTATTAACAGACGTTCTGGTGTTCTACTTGAACATAAGCGGATTGTTCAACTGACCAAGGGCATCGAACATATTAAACTGTTCGGGTCAGTTCAGATATATAGATATATTCAAACTCTGTGAACATCGTTGTCCAGGTTACGGCAATAAACTTTCTCATGAAGCTTTGGTTACTTTGCTTTTCTTATAACTAGGCGGTTAAAAGTTCGTAACGTGATGGTAGCTAAAATATATCCAGGTGACCATACTAATAGGAGATTTATTTACTTGTTAAATATTTAATTATCATCGTGTACAATGAGTGTTCTTACAAAATCACTAAATGCATTGTGTTTGTGAGCTTAACAAGACAGTGACCCGAATTTAAACTTAATCGAATTCTAACTTGAATGTATTTCTTTATCTAACTGTTGTTAACGAAAAGAGGATTATTTCGGAAAGACAAACTTCAATGTGAGTTACTACAGTTTACCGAAATTGGGGATTGTGTTTGTAGTCCATTATGAAAAACAATAATAAATACTTTATTCATATCAAAATGCTTTACAATTAGATTGTTAGCTTACCGCCTCCAATATTTGACAATAGCGATCTCAACGACTCAACTGGTTCATCTCCAAGTGAAGATAACAGGTTTTTTAATCCTTCTAAACCACCTCCAGCAGCTTCTATGATATTTTTCAAGCCTTCCGCTCCTCCACCAGCTGCAGACACTAAATTTTTCAAACCCTCTATTCCTCCACCTGAAGCAGTTAGCAAAGCTTCTAAAGCTTCTTTGGTAGAACCACCCAAAGATTTTAAAAGATTGGTCAGTCCAGAAGCACCGCCACCAACTGCTTCAATGAAATTCCTCAAACCTTCTTCTCCTCCGCCAACAGAAGCGATTAAATTGGCTAAAGCTTGTGTAGGATCACCTCCTAATGCCTGTAAAAGTGTTTGTAAGCCTTCAACTCCTCCGCCGATCGACTCAAGTAAGTTTTTTAAGGCTTCACTACCTCCACCAGAAGCTTTTAGAATATTAGATAAAGCTTCGTTTGGATTATCGCCCATTACATTCAACAAACTTTTCAATCCCTCAGCACCACCACCTATAGCTTCCAATAGATTCTTTAAACCATCTATTCCACCACCAGCGGCAGCTAAAATGTTAGCCAATGCTTCAGTTGGATCATCACCCGTTGCTTCCAATAAATTTTTCAACCCTACAACACCACCGCCAATAGCTTCAAGTAAATTCTCCAAACCTTTGAGACCACCGCCAGATTCTTGTAATAAAGTGGATAACCCATCTTTTACACCACCAGCAGCTTTTATGAGAGTAGACAAGGCATCAGCTAGAGAGACAAGGTCAAGGTAACAGGAAATCAACTCAGTGAAAGGTTTTGTGAATTGTAGTTAAACTTTTTTGACACAAGAATTAATACTTAATGGAGTAACTATTAAGTATTTTGATAGATAGCTTAATCAAATAGATGGAAGAAAGTCAGTCTAAACTAAACACACTGACAATAACAGTTGTTGAATCAAGTAAGGTATGTATGATAATTAAGAAAAGAACTAGGAATATTTACATTTAATTTGGTTATTTATTCTCTGAAGAAGTGACTTACACTAAGCCACGAAACGTCAGAAAAATCCAATTTTCTACTCATTGGGATATTACAAATATATTATTTTTATTTATATTTACATTTAGTATACATTGAAAAAAAAATCATTCCACCTATGTCATTTATTCTCAGTTAGTCATAGGGAACGTAGAATTTGTTAAAAATCCCTCTTGACTGAAGCTTCCACACTGCATGAGTACAGCAAGATGACTACTTAAGTAAAGGAGATGGTGGTAGTATTAAAAATGAACCAAGAAGAAAGAACAGACTTGCAGGATAAAAAGTATCAAGTACCTTGAGACTCAGATTTAATGAATAACCAAGTGTGTTATTGCAACTGATTTTAAACCATTGTGTCCAACGTCTTCAACTAACAGTCACGATAATAACGTGAGCTCCAATCAGGTAGTCTGCACCTAGAATAGTAGTTAATGATTGCATGCACTGATGACACGATTTTGTTCTTTGGCTCAGCTTTCTTCCATTATACTCCCACACTGTGAGCTTAGGTGGTCGGTGGTTTGGGATATATATTACATTTGGCAGTCAACTCAAATGATGAATATCCATAACTAAACCAACAGATTTACTATATTTATTTAGTGCTCTGAGCTTAAACTTAACACCACCGGCTCAGTGGTGTTAACTTACATAAGCAGTTCTTCGAAGGCACACATTATTCAATACTAGTAACCCGGAAACTATCTCTACTTTTAAAGACCACATTATTACGAACATCTACATTTAACATATATTTTTGTACCATTAATCTTCTGTTCCCATTTCAGATAAGTTGGCTGAATTTAATACTTAGTTACTTGCAAAATGGTCAAAATACCAGATCTTTATGAATATTTAACGTTCTTATCTATCTAGGTTTAGGGATAAATTGAGTTATTCTACTTAAAAGAAATTTGTAAAATATTTTTCTTATGTAAAAATTGTTTACTCTTTATTCCAATCAGTAATTCATTATTCACAAGACTTTTAGAGACCAACAACTCAGATATATGACTATTGAATTATTGAAATTAATTTTAAAGTAAATTATGACATTTCGATTCAATATAAGATTTCAGATGACAGAATTAACACCTTTAGGGTTGCCTAGTTTATATTTGTATTAAATTATCAATAAAACTGACATCGCTTAAAATCAGTACCAATATTAAAGAATTCCATGTTTGGATGACAGAAAAGTATGTAGATAATGACAGTTAATAGGAAAACTTTCCCTTGAGTAAAACATAAAAGCTATCTTACAATCGACGTTGAATATCCATAAATTAATCATGATTAACGAATAATTAAGTCCCAGAATGTTTAACAATTGATGAATATTCGGTTGGGTATTCATCATTGATAATGTCAAATTACTTATTTAATTTAAGGATTTCAATGCGTTTCAACTCCAGCATATCAAGGAACAAGCAATACTTAAAAATACTTGCTGTGTTCATTTATATAAGGGATGATTTATTTCAATAAAATACACAAAGAGCACAATTTAAGTACGGAGAAAGGTTAAATTACAGACACGTTGAAGAATCTACAATTAAATAAGTATTACTTTCGATTATTTAGTTAAATACTACTGGGTTGTGAATAGAATATCTGTCAGATATTCGATAATTTTAGAACAGATGTATGAATGTAATTAAAATTCATTATAAATAATGGCAATATGAGCACAAGGAATTTTACACTAACTAACCTACATTATCTCCACCGATAGCAGTTAAAAGATTTTTCAATCCAGTTACATGATCACCGCCTAATTCTAATAAATTTCTAATCCTTCAACTCCACCACCAGCAGCTTGTATCAAATTTTTTAAACCTTCTAATTCACCTCCAGCAGCTGCTATTAAGCCAGCTAATCCTTCTGAACCTTCACCAAATAAACTTTCCATTAATTCTTTGATACCACCAGCAGCTTCGAATAGATTTTTAATTCCTTCAGCGCCACCGCCAACTTGTTTGATTAGTTCTTTTAAAGCTGTTTGTTTATCACCACCTAGTGCATTCAATATATTTTTAATTCCATCTACACCTCCACCCATAGCGTCGGCAAGTTGTTTTAAAGCATTTAGTGGATCATCATCGAGACCTTTTAATAATTCACCTAAAGCTTCAGATGGATTAGCACCTGAAGCTAGTAGCCTAGCTAATCCTTCAACACCACCACCGACCGATCCAATCAAACCCAGTAAAGCTTCGATCCCACCTCCAGCTGCAGCTAATAATCCACTTAAAACGCCACGATTAGCAAGTGGAGTGTCATAAATAGCCCCTTTGACCAGATTCATGATTAGTGTTTCCAAGTTTAAACCTTAAACAAAAAGTTTTGATATATAATAAGGTACACAGAACACAATTAGTAATAACTGTATGTCTTCTAAATAATCTCACAATAGCTTGATTTCTCACAGCTTGGCATAGGTTGTTTAGACTATTTAGATCTCCATGATAAAAAAGATCAACTAATTCCCATCTAGTTTTATGATTCTCGAAATTCGGATTGATTTAAAGAATAAGTAAGCGTTTAGAGCTCTACGGAACATATTAATTTCAATAGAAACTACAGATTTTGTTTCCTAAAGGGAAATTCTCATCATACAAATTGAAGAGTACTGTTGTATAGTGCCTCATTGAAGTGAAAACTTATGTTCACATAATTTTTTTGAAAATGGATAGAAAATTAGACTGATTTTTCTGAGTAAACTTATCATCAGAAACTTGAACAGCTTGACTCTCTTTTGATATGTTTTGTAGAATCGTGGAATATTATCCAAGGTCATATTCAGAAAGAGTATCACAACGAGATTTTAAATACAACGGAGAACATCAGCTTCTTCAGTTTCGCTGATAAGATATGCTAAAGATGGTGCTCTGTGACGAAACCTAAGTGTAACGGGCTTTGCTTCTAATAATTCTCAAACATGTAATCTAAAATAAAGTGTATTATAAAGATTAGTTATGTAACTCGGTAAGCACATTATAAGTTGGACGTTTAAATTGGATTAATCTATTAGAACGTATAACCTAAACGATTTAGAAGCTCTACACATTGGTTCTTCTCAATCTAATCAAGAAAGTAAATTACAATAATATTTTTAAGAAGAACACATTAAATGATAACTTCATATAATTAAAAACTGAATCAATCGAAATTATTAAGATGGGTAATGGTTTCATAATTTACCTGTAAAATGTTTACCAGGTTTTGCTGTATCTGATCCTATTAATTCTGTCGCTACTATACTGCATACTTCAGCAATTTGTATAATTAACTTTTCTAAATCATAATTTTGTTGAATCGACATCACTTGTTGCAGTGTACTATGCTTAACTAGGAAATTAAAATTCCAATGATAAAATGAGCATCGGAAAAAATATTTTGAAATAATTTATCATCCACAAAAATAAAAAGAGGATGTTTGACTTCCACATGTAGACCCCAAATGCCCTGGTAAGGCCGAGAGTGAAGAAAGTCAGCTCTCCATCTCGAAATGCTCTCATATGACCACGTGCACACAACTACTGCCAGGGAAGTCCTACCCATTGCCTTCTCGTGGCGGGGGTGTTGTTTACGAAAGTTGGAGGACAAAAAGCGAATGTCCGACGCTTTAGCTGGGTGGGTGGGCTCGGAGGGTTCACCTAAGGGAGTTGGAAAACCCTGACTCTAAACCAATGGTGCCCATGGGCTCCAGTACCCTGAGGGAACAAATGACGTATGAACCAATCGTTGGTCACGGCCACCGTAGGACTGCATCACCTTACGTTGCCCAACTGCCTTGTAAGTCAAACATTCAGGGTCGAAGCTCCGGGTGTGGCCTCCTAAGAAAACCACCTGCTTCGGTTTGGGCACCCGGTCGGTATCCTGGCCCTCACACAAAACGAATGATTCATGTCGCGCATGTCTATTTGAAACCTTCTTGTACCTATATTTATGTGTTTAAATAAATAATATTAATAAACAAACCCCATTTTACTCACTTCCGTTTGGACAAATCAATTGTATCAATAACTTTTCTGTCATCGATCCAACATAAAGGCATATACACAAACCTACACTTGGTATTAAAAAGTTTCTCTTGTTAAAATGCGTTTTTCTTATTCACTCAACATTAAACTGACTTTTATATAACAGTCGAATTGAATCGAATGTTTTTTAGCTTGTTTATATACCATCAAATTTATCAACAGTAAAAGAAAGATTTATTAAAACATTGATTCACTCGATCAAAGTTATTAAAGCAATTCAAAGTGATTTCTGATATGATCGGTTTCCTTAATGATGATGTATCCTATAAGATTTTCGTCAGTGAAGAAAATAGACAATAATATACCATATAGATATTTTTACTTAGTGTGTACGTTACAAATAGTGCATAGAAGAAATCAATAGAATTTCTCTATTATTATTATTACAATACTTACATGCATCTCTAAGTGTTTTAATAAGTATATTTTTGTATTCTTTTTGTGTATAACCATGTTTTAATATTTGTGTTTCTAGTTTATAACCTGGTCGTATTCCAATTAAATTAGCTATACTACCAAATGCATGCGATTTTGGTAAGACACGATAAATTGTCTCGATAGCAGTCTAGAAATATAATATAAATAAGCAAAATGAAAGAAATTCATAAAATGAGATCAGGTTGTAATGAATACATTCAATAAATTGTACTATCATCAGCGCTGATAATATATGAAGGTACAAAGAGAAGTTTAAAACTAATAAATAAGTAATGTGTTCTTGCCTTGTGCCTTTTTTCGATGAAATAAAGCAACATGAATATTGACATCTTAGGTTTCGCTCTATAACACTTCAATCATGAACTAGTGGACAGTTTAAAGTACAACTAATATTATCCCAAAGTTTTGACTGTATTTTCATCAGTTTAAAGATACAGTACACTCTATGAGACCCGAAGGTCCTGTACTACATCCTATGTTGGCTCGTCCGTGTACTTTGTTTAGAACTCCCACATTATGACTGGAACACTAGCCCGCTGATCCCAGGTTGTAAGTAATGAAACTTTCCATTAAGCTACTCAGATTTTTTTCACAGCTAGCCTTAGTAAATGACTAATAATAGTTTGTAATTTAAACTGTCCTCCAAATATTTACTTTCTAAAAACTGTCAACTTCATAAATACACCAATTGTTTATGCCTAACACGAAGTATGACCCAATGTTTGTTAGTAAAACATGTTAAATAAAACTAGCTTACTCTTAATTCTTGAGCTAAATTACGATGTGGTTGAATTTCACCAAAAACTCTTTTTGAAATTAAATCTGATTTCCCTGATAGAAGGATTTCGAGTAATTCAGGAAGTGGAACTGTAAATCAAGAAGAAAGATAAACATTTATTCAACATATGAAATATTATCTGAGAAAACATAGGTTTCTTCACTATTCTACTTCGATTCACATTACTCGAGATATAATTAACCTCACTAGTCACTGCTTCTCGAGTTTATATCTTCATGACTATATAGAACTATATTTGTATATGGAATGTTGTTTTTTAGTCTAATTTGTCAATGATAGTAACTTTCTATTTAGGGAGAAGCAATGAACTTGACCTGTAGCTCTTCTAGGATTACTGTCGGTTACAAGACCAGGTAAAGGAGGAGGGTTGAGTATGGAGTCAGCAACCCCATCCTGTAGAAAACAACCTTGCTAAAAAAACGCTAACGATAATAAACAATTTAAACCATATAAACTGTGTCCTGGGAGTTCAAGGATCTTCATTCAGAAGAATTACGACGCCTCATGATGAAAGCTGATATTCTTCAGAAGTCACGAGGCTGATGTCTCGTCTAACAACCAGAGCAACAATTAATATAGGTACATGGAATGCTTAGACAATGCAGTGGACTAGAAGGACCAATCAAATAGTTACGGAAATGAGGAGATACAACATTAGGAATGGATTTCCATTTTTTTCAAGAAACTCCTAATTTCTTATGGATTCATTTTAAAAACAATTGGCCAGTATTTCATTATCTATGTAATTTTTAGAGGAGAAAAATAACCTTAAATGTATGTTGATTTTTAAATGAAATGAATTACCTTCTTCGTGTTTTATTTCTTGATAACTCCACATCGTCATACAAAAATCATCAGGATTAGGTCGCGGTTTTATGTCTAAAAAAAGAAAAGAATAAGTATAGCCAACGGGGATTCTTCTGAACTATTGAACTAAGCATATATGGAGTTCATTTTGAAGGATTTTCAATTGAATGGATTACTATTGAACAGTTTATTGGCATTTTACTGGTAATTGAAATAAATCATATCCACAAAACTACCCCATTCAAGTTATATAGTCAGTTATTGTTGGTTAACCACAGAATGGCTTTATGAATATCAAATCAGAAACCATGACCAATGGAATTCATACAGGTTGGTAGTAAGATAATCCAAAAAAGATGACCTGGTTTAATGCGAAATACATCGTTTACAATTGCAGCATATGAATTCATTATTGTTAGTAAAATGACAGGATTGTTAGTATTGAGATGATATGGCGTGTTAACTTGAATAAGTTTATAGGTTCAATGAAACTTAGACTAAAGATCAGAATACTAAACGACGAACTTTGTATTAATATGCGTTATGTGTTCCTTTCATTTATGATCATATAATTTACATCTAGAATCCCGTTTCTTGCACCGAGTAGTAAATTACTGCAATTCTCTACTAGAACACGTAATATCAGCACCTTCTATCAACATATTCAAAACGAGATTGAATCTTTATAGTACTAAAATTTGCAAGGATTAATATAGGTTGGTTGACCTCTTTTTCTTACTACTGAAGACTGAATAAATATGGGTCAACTAGGGTGAGAGAAATAAAAGTGCAAATACAAATCCGATCAAATGTTTAATGAAAAAATATATCAGTCAGTCAGCAACGACGTAGAACTTTAGACGTACGTACATCAGTTCGAGTTGCCATACCACATTAGCACACAGATACAATTGTCGATTCAAGTCCCATAGTAGTAGAGGTAGTAAAAGCATAAGTAGTCATCGGAAAGATTAGGGTTTGAAGATGTTAGTCAAGGAGTATCGTCCAGTGAAATAAAGTTTGAGAGAGAAAAAAACTGTCATGGAGAGTTCAGAAGATTAGAATTAGGGAGAACACAAAGAGTGGATGCACCTGCGCCATTGCAAACAATTTTGAGCCATGTCATTCATAACCATGTTTTCAATATAACGGGAATTTTTCAGCAAGTGAAATAATCGTTACCGAGTGTATCGTACGATCAAGAATATATATTATGAAGTGGTTGATATCGGAAATATATAAAATAGGAAGATCGTTTATTAGGTCTCTAGCAAGGCCAAGGTTGAATAATGTTGAGAAACCATTTACTGAAATGAAGCAATTATTCAATATTTCTTGGTTTTCAGTAGCCCACCAACTATGATTAGTCTGTAACGAACATCAACAATATGGTATCGATATTGAATAAATTCTCTTTAGTATTCATACTATCCACTGTGACTATAAAAGTAACATAGCCAGTGAAAAAATAGGATTCACGAATGGCTGTTTTGTCCTAGCTTGGAAATTCTGTGGAACGGCACCAACGGAATTTCTAGGAATCGAACTAAAAACCCTAGAACTTGTAGCCAGAATTTTAGCTGTGTACCAGTGAGTCTGAATCCACTAATGCACATTTCCAACTTAAAGTAATACTTGACATGGAGAAGTATATATATATATATATATATATATATATATATATATATATATATATATATATATGATGCTCATAAACCAGCTTTACTGAACTACACTAAGGGATAACTTAAAAGCCAGGTCAACTACTATGAATACTAACGTATATTCTTTAATTACAAAGCCTGCCATAAATCATGGTTTTACATTACAAGCAATTGTATCCCAAGCTAATTGAGACTATAGATGCAAACCACTAGATCCCTATTCAGTGGTCTAAAAATAAGGGACTCGCAGCAACATTTCCACCAGGTTCATTGATGAGCATTAGTAACCTAGGAGGGAAACAGCTGTCCAATGCTAGCTGATTTTCAATGGATATCAAATTAACTTCAGTCCATTATTTAAACTAAATATCTTTATTAGTAACATTGCCTAGTGAGAAATACCTACAGCGGTATTCCACAGTCGTATTTGTAATGACTACTGGAAATTTGCAACTCTTAATGGTTAGCAAAGATGGACGGTGGCTAGCAGTGGAATCCGGGACGAGTGCTTCGTCCTACTTGAGGCTCGTCGGCCGGATGTGCCTGCATCGCAGGGCTGATGTTCACTCCGGGACTCGGACCCAGTACTGTTGACTTCAAAAGCCATCATGTTATCCATCTAGCAATGTCGAGGCAATATGCACAGTATGCATATATGCTGATAAGCGACTGACCAATTGCAGTCTCAAATATCAATGGGACGATTCAAGTAAACAATACCAAGTGATCTCAATGATTAGATCTGCATGTGTAAGTTAGAATCATTAACAGGAAATCGGGTCTTGTCTAAAGATAAATGCTAGATATGATAGTGAGCTCTGTAAACTAGAAAACAAACTATGACGGCTGAGATACAAGTGAAAGCGAATTGTTCATGTACAACACATAAAAAAAGTGAGTAATTATGGTAAAATTACACATGAAATTAAAAGAACGTGTTCGAACGTCGAGACAAGAGTGAAAACTTATAAGATAAATAGCTTTTATCACATAGATCAGATGAATTAAGATTTTCGATACTACTGAATTATGGTCTGCAGTAAAATGAAATTTAAATATAAATAATTCGACATCTTTATAAATATTTATCACAAGCAGTGAAAAATGTTTAATAATCTTTTTATGTTTATAAGTCACTATGAAATCAGCAATGAAAAGTTTAACCAAGAACTTTGATCTCAGATTTTCTATAGGATCGATGAAAATGATTCTGTTTTATTCCATGTGTAAACTCCAGCACCATTAACATTTAGATCATATTGTCGACAGACAATAATGTCAGCAGTAGTTACTGTCCCGAGAAAACTGCTTCCTGATATTCACTGTCATACTAAATGAAGTAATTGATCAGTGAAAATCCACAGTATACTAATTTTAAAAAGCAACTCCCTACTATTCGATCAGCACAAATATTTATGTGAATACGTTACTTCATATCATACACATATAATCTGTAAGAATATCATAAGATTGATTCTGCATACAAGGAATATATATTCAGAAAAATACATTTAAACAATAATTACGTCTTTTTATTGGTGGATTGTGCATTGGAACATTGTCTTTAACAGCTTTTTGTACTTTTTTTAATGAATCTATCACTGTTAATCCTAAACTATAGGAATTTGTTTGTGATATTTGACCAATCGGTTGCTTTCTGATAGTTGAACGTTCAGCTGAAAGTTCAAAAGAGAAGAGAAGTTTATATATCATTTGCTGAATTCACTTTCAAATATTTACAATTGGTTGGTCACTAGGTAGTGACCAGTATCATGTATGTCAGTTCCTTCTTACTGCAGACCGAATTCTATCGACTAATTTGCAATGTGCTCATTTGTCTGGGTAGCTCGACATCGCGTACACTAGGTTGAGATGTGAGGTGGTGGTAGGTAGTTGGTTCAAGATAGTCGATCTGCACTAAGAAGGACCAGACAAACATAGTATCGATCACTAACCAGCGATAAGCCATTTGAAGATTCATCTTAGTTCTACATGGAGTCATTCGTGTCTTGTATGGATCAGTAGTAACTTCTCTGTTTGCGAAGCAGGGCCTAATCTGACAGGCAGCATTTAGTTCTCTCAAGAATACACGTACACCTTGAGATGGTGGAGATTTTTAGCTCAGGTGGGTGATTTTCATGGAGTTATGTTCTCTTAGCTGGATCAGGAAAATTATGCACAAATGTAGGAACAAAAATCAAACCAATGGGAGACACAACCAGAACAAAGAAGTAAAAAATCACAGGTTTAAGGTCAACAAGAACCAATCAACATCGAGGTGTACAGGACAAGCTGTGAGCCACATGTGGAGAAATTCGAACACTTCACTTCTACCTGAAGTTTGTGATGGTGTCGCTTAGAAGAACGACGAAAGCTCCACGACCAAACCATCCAGCTCAGAGAACAAAACTCCATCAAAAACACGTACACCTTGCTGACGAGTGCCAAACAGCTCGAAGCCTAGGTCTAATGTTTCCTGTCGACTATCTGCAATCACTACATAACTTATCAATTAGTAGTAACCGCTTTCAATATTCAGTACTTAATGCTGATCGAATTCCGCTAATCAATTTTCCATGTGGCTACATGTCATAGAAAATTCATATGGTAGTTCACTTTATCTGATGTCAGACGGCGTAAGGGAATCTATAAGATGTTCTAAATTTAGACTTTCTATTAGCTGACGCTCATCAGGAAAAATTTGTAGTTTTAAGCAAAATGATTGGGGCCCTTCAAGCGTCATGATCAGAGTCACTACCATTGGCTCATTTGGGCTACAACTAGTTTGCCAACTGACTCTCTAACCAATCTGCAGGATGTGATGTCGGTAAATGGAGAACACTTTAGTAAATCTAAGTATTATGTACGTATACATCTGAACAATGAATACATACATTTCAGCTCAGTCGGTCTTCTCCCAGTTGGTTCATTTGCTGAATTCAGTGGTACATCAGATTGATTGATTGGAACAAAAGCAAATTGTGCATCTTTGTCAATACGTGCCGTTTTATTAGGCCAATAACCCTTCGGTTTGGAAAATGGCAGAGGGATAGATTTTTTTCTGAATGTTTCAAAACACCATTGAGTTATTGTTGGTTTCAATTATTGGAAGGATTGGTTCAAGATTAATAATAATACTGTGTCGTTTATCATTCGCAGAATTGTCTGGTCTTAGTAAAATGTTATCATCGTCATTTTTCAATGGTCTGTTCAAGTCGTCATCAAGACAAGCACAATCGTCGGAATGCGCATCGTGATTAAAAATATTTAATGTTGACATTGTAATTTTATTTTCATTGGAATCTAGGGAGAGAGAAAAAGTGTTGGTTGTGAATCACATTGTCATAATAATGACACTATACACATGTAATACATATGGTATAATATCCAACCTTACTTAACCAGTTCTTAATATATGGGGAGAAAAGGATCGGTTTGAAAGTGTATATTGTAACGTAAAGTTGATAGCTAATCACTAGAGAGATTTCAACGACTTCGCTGTAAATATCAGCCCCTTTGATTTAGGCACCGGAAATGAAATGACTTAATAATGACATTCTATATTCAATGTTGGATACTTGGAAGTAGACAACAAATTAGTCTCGAGTTTTAACTGTTTAGTTTGAACAGTTATTTGTATCCAACGTATAAACTGAAATCAACGTGTATTGGTTGGAGCTATTACATTTTATATTCGTGTGGGAATCAACAAGTAGAAAGGTATACGAGTCAAAATAATCAGTGTCAGTTAAAGTAAAAGAGTAAACACAGAAAATACAGTTAAAAAAGAAATGAATAAAGTATGAAATCATAAAAAATCAAAAATTGAGTTAAAGATAATAGAAAGCATGGGTATAACGGTAACCTATTTTCAATCAAGACTTATAAGGTCTTTATCAGTATATGATGGTTATCACACAGAAATTATTCATAGAGTATACATGACTTGATATGACTTTATATATACTGATGCCATGTCATGGTTTTAGTGTCCTTAGACCGATTCCAATCTGCTACTTAATTAGCCATCGCCACATGTATTAATAGACTGTGGTTGAATATGAGCAATATGTATTTGTTGTTACCAGAGAATGATTAAAGAAATCTATCGTGTTTTTTTTTATAACTTACAAATCATTGTCAAATAGGTAGTGTCTTACACCTCAATTAACTTATAATTGGTCTCTGGATTTCATGTTATCATTTCTTTGGGACTAATTTTTTTCAAGGCAGCTATAAATCTACTAATAATTTGTTACGTAAATTTCACGTTACAGTTTTATTTATAGATGCAAACAAAAATTACAATGGGATCCAGGATGTATTTATTCTGGATGTGACTATGGAAGTTGGTATTAATATTCATTATTGTTCGGTTTTTGAAATATTATTGTAGTGTGATTGCAAACATCAGGAAAGTGACGTCGGAATTTGTAATAGAAAATTCGAAATTAATCACTGTAAGTATTCATCTTGTAAAATGCTTTGTAAAGTTTAGCTTCAATTACAGCTTAAATCATTTAGAACTGATGAGTAAATGCTTTTCTCTCATCATATAGCGAAAATGACCTAGTAAGAAACCATAATTACATTCCCTCGTTCTAAAGTAGATTTAATTCGAAAGAGAAGTTAACAAATAATTGTTTATTACAAGTACACTATCAGTTATATCATGTTATCTCAAACATAATGAATTACTGAATAGAAATTCTTGTACTTCATATATCAGTTCATATTCATATAACTTAATAGGATACAATGTCCCAAAACAAAATAATCAGTTTTGGTTTCCAATTTATATTACCCAGGGCATTCACTTCGTTACTACTGCAACAATCTAATCATTGAGTAATCACAAAACTTATCAATTAAGAACATTATTTGTTGTAGTAAAAATATGAGATTAATGAATTCTGGTGATGTTAACACTGGATTCAGTAACTTTCGCTTTAAGAGACTATCTAGTCTAGGTAGTTCAGTAGACAACGAGTTAGGGTTTCAAGCGAAATGTAGATGCATCCCTCTTATGATGCCCGTATAGGATGGGACGCACATTCTAAATTCCACTATCAACCACCATCCAGTATAATAATCACATGGGTTTTAATAAAAGATATTTTCAATCCTTTATTTGGCCAGCTCATGTTCATATTAAATACTTGGGAACGTAAGGAGTTGTATGGTTTATCGATTTTATTCGAAATATAGGACATTAAGAACAAAATCAAAAAGAATATTGATAATAAGTGTATACAAATTACCCGTTATAAATGGTAATTTGTCCACGGACTCCATTGAGACTTTAACTGGTGTATTAAACGATAAACTATGTTCAATACCAGTGAATACATTTTCTTCACTTCTATTATCATCGTCATCATCAACATCATTATTGTTCATATTATTATTATCGCTAGAATTTTGTTTTAATTTGTTGTTTCCTTTCTCGGCACTTTCATTCATTTGAATAAATGATTGTTGATTTGGATATTTTGAAATTATTGGTGGCAATTTGAGTGTAGATTCTTCTAATATCGTAGAATCACTGTCCGATTTGAATCTCTTTCCACGTACATGAACTTGATTCGGATTAATACTAGATGTTTTTCTAACAAATATAAGAAATAAATTCAGATATACTCATGTTCAAAATCGAATACATGTTGTTTCTAAAGAAAATATATTATAGTTGTATTGAAGAATATTTTAACTTGTGTTCTGTTTTTATTTAATATTACTTGACGATTTACTCTTTATCGCTTAATTTCAATTATTTAAGGTCAAATAACAGTGCTATTGTGTCATGAACGTTTCCAAAGTACCATGATCCATGTAAGCTTTATTCAATAGATTTCAAATCACAGTGAGGTTGAAATCAATAGGTAGATAGTACTGTTTACAGGTTCCACAATAGTTCACACGTGTCAGCAAAGTGTATATGAAATATTTTGAAGCATAATGCGTACTATGAAAAAAACACTCTTATTCCCTAGTACTACAGTCAAAACAGATGTTTCCAATCAATAATTATAACTGTTTAATAAGATCCTATAAGAATGAATCAGATACACTTGTTGACCAATCAGTTTTAACCGATGTTTACTTGGCTAATCTTTAGTGCTGATTCAGTTCTATTGATCAAGTTGCAATATGGCTACCAGTCTTAGTGACCATTCATCACGGTACCCTGCACTTGTTGTTGGTTGGTTGAGTTTGATCTGGTACGACCAATCAATTCATCAGTTTTAACTTCTGTCATAAGTTTAACGATTAATTATTTAGTCTGTGTTCCATAGTGGTTAAGTGTAAATGAGTTGCATTTCTAGGTTGAAGCTAGAGATATTTTAGGATCTTTTGATGGTAAATACAATTAAGTAATCTTGAACTAATGTTTATTCTCAGGTTACTTTAAGTTTTCTGGGTTTCACTAAGTTTCATTGTTTTATTGTAAATCGAATGTATTTCATTATTTTCCATAAGTAAAACTGTTTATAAATGATTTTACAGATTTATATTATCCGTTTCAGTTGATATAAAGTAAAACAAGACCTTTTAATTGCTACTACTGATATTTCAAACAATGTTTAGCCAATATCATTAAATGTGTTGATTGATGCTTTTAAACAATCTAACTCAAATAATAATCATCACAAAAAACACAGATAAACACAACAACAAGTATTAACCCTTGTTAGTTTACTTAAAAGACTTAAAATAATCAAGCATGATGATTAAGATGCTAAAGGAATATTTTACAAGTGTTTCATTTTATCGATATACTAGTTAATCAGCGAATTTACATTTATCTATTTTGATACTACGCTGATTATTTCAACACGTTTTTATTTATCAGTATATGGGTTGCGGAGATCGTTAAGTTTTGATTGAGATCATGAGCCGATTGATGTTAGACCACCGTTGGCAACCTGAAAGCTCTGGACGGTCATTTCGTCCTATTGTGGGACACCTCAGCAGTGCGCATCCATGATCCTGTCCGCGGGATCCGAACCCATGACGTTCAGCCCCGCGCGAAAACGCTTAACCTACTAGACCACTGAGCCGGCATCCAATGGTGTTAATGTCTAACCCCAGCCAATCCACAAAGTTGCGCAACCATCTTTGACTGTACTCAGGTAGACACCTGTTTCTACCCGACACAGATTAGCTCCACCGGTCACGTTTTTATTTGACCGCTAAATACTTTATCCAATAATTTGATACAAAATTTTAAAAAAATGAAAAACTGACCACTCACTCCACTCGCAGCTCACTAATGCACCATGAATATTTAGACCTCTACTATATACTACTTATTTTGTATTTATTCAGTAAAAAGCTTATAAAGAAAAAGTTATTTATACACTCACTTAGATTTTCTTTTTATAATCGGTAATGTTTTATTTCTTGATAATGCTGGAAGTTTTGAAATTGTCACATGTGAAGGAGAAACAGATAATTCGAATGATTTTAGTGTGTAATTTTTTCTAGCGGAATATGATCACCATTTCCTTCTTCATTTATATTAAAAGGAATATTTTCTTCTTGTTCGATCGATTCATTTCGATTACTCTCCGTTTCATATTGATAATCGTCATGTTCAATACGAATTTCATTGTTTGCATCATCATCATCATCATTGGATCCATTCAAAAATACATCGTCATCATCAAACATGGGTGACTCATTGACAACATTTGAATCACTCTGAACACGAGCACAAAATACGCAGGAAAACCAGTAAGTAATTGAAAGAACACTTCAATAAACCGGTACCTGGTAACAGCTAGTAAAAGTGATGATTAGTTGGCTAATCCGATTAGTTTTGAAATTCAACTTTAACAATTGATGAGAAAGCCCAGTTAATTAACTAAAAAACACTTGATTTTAAATGTTTTTATCATTCAGCTAATAAACGAAATTCGAAATGCTTTAAGATATTTGAGAATTATTGTGTGATGGTTGGATGTATTTGGCAAGTACAATAGAACTTACATTTCAGATTGATTAGTCCTCGTCAGAGATGTGTATCTGAAATTTCTAGTCAGTTTTGATGATATAGTGAGATCTTCTTGCAATGCTATTGGTGAGCTACTTTTTAATTCCCGGGTTGATTAAGTACATATTCATGAGTACGCCCACTATAAAATCTCATACAATGATGAAACAAATGTTTAGTATTTTCTTAATTTCATTCGTTTTCTAGATGAACTAGTTTATAAAATAAATATTTAAACAATATTGCATGCCAAAAAATGCATTGTAAAACTGCTGGGTACGAATTCATGATTAAAGAGTTGTCATTTCTCCAAACTTTATGTACAGAATTGCTATTTTAAGTTACTTTGAGACAAAAAGGGTGACTCCAAACGCACATTGGTCATAATTTGGAACAAATTATTCACCTAAGATTAATTTCAGTAAGTTTGCAGATAATTTCGAGATATCATGGATTGATTGAGGTTACACATTAACAACGCTGGATCTTGGATAAGTGGTTTTGAGGTTAAACATTAGTGCCCAAGACTGAAGAACCAGGTTTCGATTTCCGAATGAGGGATCGTGCATTATCACAGCTGAGGAGTCCCATGCTAGGACGAAACGACCGTTCATTGATTCTAAGTTTTCAATGGTAACCTAACATTGATCAGTTCATGATTTCGATGCAGATCATTTTCTTATAGAATCACATACACAGTAATTTATTGCACAACTATTTATATCTTGTCTATTACCAAAAAATTTTAATTCTTTTTTCAATCTCTCTTAAAAGGCTAACATATAATGATCAATGACGTGAAGGAGAAAATTTGTAGCTCATATGCATGTTATTATTAGTGTTGATCATTGTTTTCTAACTAACTTATTGAAGTTTCATTCATTAGCTGAATTGAATTTCGTAGAAAAAAAACATCTTTCATTTACAATTTTTTTCTGGTTAGCGTTTTTTTAGCGAGTTAGTTTTCTACGGGATGGGGACGCTAACCCCATGCCCAACCCTCCTCCTTTATCCGGGCTTGGGACCGGCAGTAGCCCCCGGAGGGACTCCAGGCGGATTCTCCGATACAACACAGAATGCACCAATCCAATCACAATTGACGGAGAAGATTTGGAAGATGTAAAAACCTTTACATATTTGGGCAGCATCATTGATGAACAGGGTGGATCTGATGCAGATGTAAAGGCGCGGATCGGCAAAGCAAGAGCAGCATATTTACAACTGAGGAACATCTGGAATTCAAAGCAACTGTCAACCAACACCAAGGTCAGGATTTTCAATACAAATATCAATACAGTTCTACTGTATGGGGTGGAAGCCTGGAGAACTACGAAAGCAATCATCCAGAAGATAAAATTGTTTATTAACAGTTGTCTACGCAAAATACTTCAGATCCGTTGGCCGGACACTATTAGCAACAACCTACTGTGGGAGAGAACAAACCAGATCCCAGCGGAGGAAGAAATCAGGAAGAAGCGCTGGAAGTGGATAGGACACACATTGAGGAAAGCACCCAACTGCGTCACAAGACAAGCCCTCATATGGAATCCTGAAGGCCAAAGAAAAAGAGGAAGACCGAAGAACACATTACGCTGAGAAATGGAAATAGACATGAGAAAAATGAACAAGAATTGGATGGAACTAGAAAAGAAGGCCCAGGACAGAGTGGGTTGGAGAATACTGGTCAGCGACCTATGCTCCATTGGGAGTAACAGGCGTAAGTTTCATTTACAACTAAACAACTCAATAGTTACAAATAATAGATAAAAAAATAATAATAAATGGATACTTATAAGCATTTTCTTCCTCCAATAAACCTACTTTAATTATTGTTGTAGGAATTTCATTGACAATGTTATCATTTGAATATTGGATTTCATCTTTTATCTCTGAACTGATCAGTTTATCTTTATTTATATTTACTACTGAATTTTCTTGATTCTGTTTAGTTATATTTAAATTAATATGTTTTTCATTTTCAATTGTATTATTGTTATCAGTATTCTGTGTTTGAATAAATTGATCTGGATCATAAGAACTGAATAATGAGATTAGAATTGATAAGAAAGAAAATTAATGAACTTATTACTTATCAAGATGTAAATTTCGATTGTTTCTTAGTTTTTACAATAAGAGTTGTATGGTTTTTTGTAGAAATTATGAACTCAACACTTTAACTATATTTACCTTCAATATACTTTAATAAAAGAAAGTAAAATGACAACTCAGTAACAAAAGAGCTCTTATTATTTTTTTCTCAGAAGTCAAAAACATCATTTAACTAGTGCATAACTATAACATTAAAAGCTCAAACAGCTAATCATGGAAGAGTAAAGTAGATTAGAGAGGAATATATATTTTCAGTTTATAATAGATCTCTTTAAATAAAGAAATCTTAGGATCTTTATTGAAACGTTCAAAGGAAATTATTCAAATTAATTTTATGAGAGATTAAGTAGTGAATCGTAAAAATTACACATCTCACTAAATTAATATGAGTGGTAAAGTAAACAAAACTTATTCGAGTTGTATGACCAAGTAGAGAAATGGATTTAAAAAGCTGGATATATAGACCAAGAAGCATTGGATAATTGTTTCATTCTAGTTTGCTGCTCCTCATAAGTGCTCATTCCCTTTCACCGAAATCCAAAACTAAGTAATTCAAGTATTTTATCTTTAAATCACTAAATTAGATTAGATTATTCATATCGCCAACTTCAAGCAAATCATAAAATAACGCGAGTACCAGTGGGAAAGTATCTAAACTTGATCACTTAACTCACCTGAATGCTAACAATTCATTTTCATTTACATCGCTAATCAGCTCATCGAGGGAATGAGTTGTCTCGTATCTAAGGTTTTGTGGTTCCATACAAAATGAATAATCAGTTGGTTGTGTACTGTTCGGCGGGACAACGGACTCGAATAAATACTCGGGGGAAACATCTTCTATATCATCTAATGTTTGAAAGAAACACCATGTTGTTAATCAGAACACTAAAAACAGTATTAGTAATTTAGATATAAATTGTGCGATTTTTAAACCTATAAATCTATTTACCTTTTATTTAAAGTTCAATTTCATGACTTGATTGCAATGATATTTTAATAAATAAGAGTACCTGTTAAAACCTATAAATTGGTAACGAAAGAATATATGATTGTATGTATAATTTAACTCAAAATCTTTACTCTATATGTTTTTCTTTGAGAGGAAATTTTAATTGTGGGCATAGTTTAGTCATCAGTGACTAAATATGGATGGATTCATTTTGGTGATTCTTATGCGGATTCAGAATTCACCTCAAATGGCAAGGAGTTATTCAGGTTTCTTTCCGTAATAGATTATGTGCTCAGATAATCCAACAGTTTAGTAGATCAAGCATCTAAGTCTAGCCGACTTCCGGAATGGATTCATGTATTTTATTGTAAGAAGTACATGTTCGAGAGTACTAGAACATAATACTTTTACTTGGAATAGTGTTCACGTTGAGGATGTGTCAGTGTGTCGATTGGTGCTTTCTTCTTCATATACTTTGGGGGTAATCGTACCTTAGACCATATTTCTAGATTGACTAAACCAGGACTTGATCCTTCATTTAAACTAAGACTCAAAATAAGCATGATTTTTCAAAGCTTAAATCATAAGCTGATCTTAGCTAGGCCATCACTGAGAACCTAAAAGCATTGAACGGCCGTTCTGAACTAGTATCAAGGTGTGCATCCACGGTCTAGTACGTGAGTATCGCTCGCGAACGCTTAACCTGAAAACTATTGACTCGGGATCCAATAGTATTAATTTCTAGCTTTAACTGATTCACGATACTGCTCAACCTATTGCATGTGGCGGATAACTGTCTCACATCCGATATGGATTGAACTCCACTAGACATGGCTTCTCGTAACTATGCACTATAGGCAATGGATGAGGGTTTCACAATATCGTGAATAGACTGCTGCATCTCGGCTCATTGGTCCTGAGGTCAAGCGTTTGCATGAAAGACTGAAGGTCCTGGGTTCGACCACTAATGGAGGGATCGAGGATGCACAATTCCGAGGGGTCCCGTACCAAGACGAAACGGCCGTCCACTGTTTCTAGGTTTTCAACATTAATCGTGCTAAGATCAGCTTGTGATTTAAACGTTAGATATTGCATCCATCTTGAATCAACCTGATCATGCTTAATAATCAGTGTGTAATTTTTAACTATTTTTAAAATACATATCATTTAGAAAGAATAAACATGACTGATAGTTCTTTAGATTATTTAATTTTACAGACATTTCTTATAATTATAAGGCAACATTTACGACAAAGTGTTTTCAACCAGAGAATTATTAAACATCAAATAATAGCGATTGCGTCCTATTTCGACAGACTACATTCATGTGGACTCACAACTTTACATGCTATCGAACAGTAGGGAAATTGATCTCCCAATAAGTAAACTTTTGTTTAATCACTCAGGTAGCATCTAGTTTTCTACATTTTCAACTTCAACCAATATATGTGATAAAGTGAAATCCCTTGTTCCATACCACTTATAAATCAATACCTCACTCTTAAGATTGTTGATCTCAAAAGCCACGGTTTTTTTACTATTATTTCGAGGAATTGACCTTGAAGCTTTTATCTATTAAGATGAATTGTGTATATTTCGTATAATTTGAAAATGATTTATACCACATACTATTCTCAGATTATCTGCAGTCAATAAACAGTGAAAACGAATTTAGAAGATAGAATATTGAATTTAGTCACAAGAAACACTATTCAACATGGTCGATTATAAACCATAAACCTCAAAATTTTATTAGTTATACGTTTTTTGCTAAGCAGTATATATTGTATCCACTGAGCGTTTATTCATAGTCAAAAGTGCTTTCACTTTGTAAGTCATATATAGATTACAGATGCACTTAAAAGGCTTAGAGTATAAAGAAACGAATCAGATCACTTAAAATTGACTATACGTTACTTGGTACTTTCGTTTAGTAAAGATGAGTTTAAATACCTTATTAATCCGTCTATCATCGATTGAAAAAGTACTTGAATATTAGAATAATTTGATTGATTTCTTTTCAATATACTGATCAGTAAACTATAAAACAAATAACTTGTCTAAACTGAAATAGAATGTGAATTAAGATTGTACAAATGAATAACTTGATAAATGTCATTTAAGAATTTGGTAAATTTTTTTTTCTGATTAACTTCATTATTTGTCATTTTTATGGAAGACAGAAAACAAGGGAAAGAACGCTTGTAAAATATACATGTAATAAAGAATAAGTCTTTAAACGAAAAAACAATCAATTGAGATCATGAACTTATCAATGTTAGACCATCATTGAAAACCTGGAAGCACCGGAGGGCTGTTTCTTCCTAGTATGGGACCCCTCAGCGGTGGTCTAACATTAATAGTTTCATGATCTCAATTAAAACTCAAAAATCTCCACAACCTCATACTGATAAAAGCAATTAGTTTATATCTATGGGCACAGGATTAGTCTGTATGTTAATGTTTTGATTTCTGTATACTTTAAAATTCATTTAGTTAATTTTTAATTGTAGGATATACATGTACGTATATGTAATGAGAAAAGTTCATGCAGCTATCTGAATTGAACATTTTAGGAGTAATTTATGACAAGAATTGACGCCAGCTGTGAAATCATGAGAAACGAAGAAGGATTGGATAACTGATTCTAACTGCTTGAGTGTTTTCTCAGAAAGAACACCCACAACCAAACAAGGACCAAACAACTGTAGCGTATTGATTCATTCTCTTTCTAACATCTATTTGTTATAAGAAATTCTCTTAGGGTTATACAAATTCTTCACAAGGATAAAAAACTTTACTAAACTTCTCCCACAATTATACATTTAACTGTTTGCTGTACCGAACAATAAATACATCAGGTTAATTTTTTTACTCCTTCGCAAGAAATATTTTATACCTGCTTCATCAGACTCGGTAAACCAGATTTCTGCTGGAACACTTAAGGAACGACGTAATTTAAGTCCATTCTTAATATCTTCATTAAGTGTGAAATCCACATCTTCCAAATGACCATAATTTAGAAATGAAGACAACGGTCGTCGTTGAATTGCATCCTCTATCAGGTAAAACGAAACAAAAAGACGAAAAAATCACAATTAATTCCTGCAAACATTTTCATCAAACAACTAGTTAAATATTTTTCTTGAAAATAATTTATCCAAATAAACAAAAATTAATAGCAATCAATTCTTTGTTCAATTTCCAAATGCTCTCAAAATTCTGTTGACCATAGAACGTAGCTCCCGTGACAACTAAATGAAATATTAATTTAAAGATTACACGTATAAATTAAAGTCAAAATTTATGCTTATAAGGTAATAAGAATAAACAAAGTATTAAAGTAATTACATAATTCTAACTGTAAATTTAATCACATACTATTGTAGCGTATACTCCTTATGTTGACAGGAATAAGTAGTATGTAACACCAATCAGAAGTGGAATGCCTGGTAGCAGAAGGTTGAGAAGATCGAATTGAAGAGAAAAGGAATGTAAGCAGACAGTAATTCTAATGAAATTAGAAATGAAGGAATGATGAAGATTGTAAGAGACAATTGATGGAAGATGTGCAAACGAAGTATTAAATGTAAGGTTTTCATGTTTTATCAAAACACCATAACAATAAACCGATTTTGCCACCTAAATCTTCGTTCACAACACTATTGTTCCTCACAATATGGAGGAACTGTTCAACATTTTCGTATGAGCTTTAACATTACAGATATATACAATCTAATATAAATAAAAAGAACACTCAGTAGTAACTAGTATGGTGTTTATCTAGTCCTTACTTCTAATTAGATTTTGTTCATCAGTTTGATGTGCAACCACTAGCTAATTGGTATGATACTGTGTTCATTCTGTTTGAACGTACTTTTATTCTAGTTTACTTCATCTGTTGTTTGAACGTTGACAAAATGTCAAAGATCAAAATCACTTATCAGTGTACGAGGTTTTATAATTATCGACAACAATAATCATTATAAAAGACGTTTACATTCGAAACTATATTGTGTTTAGGTGAAAAGTGCATTTAACTTAGTTTTACACCTTTTTTCACTCCAACACATATATATGTCATGTTACTAAAAGATATTTAATTAATGATTATAAAATAAATGTCTATACCTTAATTTCAAAGACAACTGGGATTTCTGGAACGGGATAAACTTTTTTTGCTAGTTTGTTGATGTTTGATAAGGTCTATATTTCATTTTTATTACTGCGTTCAGCGTTCTTCAAGTCCATTGCCAAAAAAGACGAATCATAATTGTTCTTATTCGGAGAGAAGTTAGATACAAAATAACCTTTTTACCCACACGGTTTACTATAGAATGATAAGCTGAGGGAAAGTTCTTCTTTTGTCGTTTAGAACAGGCGGATAGTGGTACTAAGATATAGAATCATTTCAATAAACCTACCATTAACTCAAAGTCACTAAATTAGTGTTTTCAGACGAAAGTTGAGGTCAAGTTAACCCAATAGCATCATTAAAAAGGTAGAGTTTCCAGAGAACAGTCCGCCTGTGAGGAAGTTACCCAAGGAAGACAATGGGAGGTGGTTGCATAATGTCGTGGATTGACTGAAGTTAGACATAAACACCGCTGAGTCCTGGCTCAATGGCCTAGAGGTTAAACGTTCGCTCATGAGGCAGAAGATAATGGGTTAAATTCACGCGTGCGGGGTGGTGGTTTAGCATGGCCGAGGAGCCCCATACTAATACAAGTCGGTCATCCATTGTTTCCAGGTTTCAATGATTACTAAACATTGATCGGTTTATGGTTTCAATAGAACAGTTCGTAGTTTGAAATGATCCTTTTAACGAAAGCCAGTGATATTTACATCGGCACTCCGTGATCATACACTATATACTGATGAGTATTTTGGTGTAGCAGTAAGTTTATTCAAACTGGAACGCAAAAAGGTATTTTAGGTATACAAAACAAAATCAATTTCATTTAGGCTTTTACTTAAAATTCTGATATCCCGAAACTATGCTTTCTGATTTTGTAGCTTCTGTACTTTTAAGCAGTAATAGTGCTGATAAAATATGATGAGAAGAATTGATTTAGCTTTTTTCACTCATCAAATATTTCGTTTATAATTAACTAAACAGTACAGAATTTCTGTTTCATCCATCTACAAGCCTTTTTTAAATTCTCAAGAAACGTTTGACTGAAAGTTAATTGTGATAAAAAGGCCATATTTGAAAGTATAATAAATCTAAAAGGTAAACATAATCGAGTCTAACCATTTTTACAATTTTGTCATGGAATTTAAGGGTTTAATTTGAATAGAAACAAAATATTATCGGTGTTTAGCCACTACTATCTTGAAAGGAATTGCTGTTTTCTTGATGTCAGTATTAAAATGAAGGTCTCAGGTTAAGATAATGAAATAGTATATTACGTTAGAAAGCTGTAATAACCATGATGAGATATTTCATAATTGCAAAACTACTTTGTATCTTAAGTTATAACACTAGCTGTGCAGAAGTGTGATTAAAAAAGTAATTCACAGTTATTGAAGGCTTCATGAAACACTATGTATTAGATATAGTCGGCTTGAAATACTGGTTGGTTAGTTTTATAACCAGCTACAAAATTGCGGCTGTAATCAATATTCCGTCCCAATCTAAACCTTGAACATCCTATCAATATTTTTGCTTTACACACTGCTGTCCATTGTATTGATAACGATAGTAAAGACTCTATTCAAATCCAGATTGATTCTTTCAGACAAGTGATTTGGAACTCTACAAATGTGTCAAGACTCAAGGAACTACTTCTCATCTACGTAAAAGTCATTTATTATTAGCGTATTTTGTATATACGCTGAATGTTTGGGTTCATTAGGTAGCATGTCTTAGTTAGGTTAACCAGAAAAATGACTAATGGCTAGTTACTAGACTTTACAACATTCGATTATAACATACTCAGAGATACTTGGCATATTCACACAAATCTGCTCCATCTAAAATAACGTTTTATAAGGTTAAAACGTTATACAGTTCTTTCATTTGTCAGTCAGAAAAATTCCGTTTCAAACAGTAAGTAAACATGAGGTTCTGTTTTCAGCAGAACCAATCTAAAAAAATGACACAAAAAGCATTCCCGCTTATATTTCTATTCTTATAGATTGACTAAAAGTATCCTTATACTCTCAATTATGGTTTCACCACATAACTTGCAGTTTACAATGCAATTTCACTCATAAAAACTCACTGAAAATTAAATATATCACAGATAACTTTATTGACTGATTCCATGTGTGAAATACATTCAGTGTTACAGAGACACTATCAAATGTTAACCTGACGTCAAGAGCTGACCGTTGACTGATTTAAAACGCACTAACTACAACTATCTATGTAGGTGAAATGGATTCCTTTAGTCTTTAATAGGAAATAGAAAGGAGAATAATTTATTGTCTGGCAATCAATGTATATTTGTGACAACGCAATTAACTACTGCTTCATCGTATGTGGTAGGTATGATCAGAAAAGCACTGAGATGAATACATTTACAATCATAAGATAGCTGATCAATTTTCTTTTTTTTACAAAGCACATGAGTGTACAGAAATGATATTGTTTGAATTTAACGGACTGTTCAGTATTCAGTTCTTTTTGATTTTTTAAATATATCCATGATTGTAAATCTTGTAATAAAAAGCTTTAATGTGAATTTATGAAATCTAGTTAGTTCCATAAATCATTTGACCTAAGGATAAAACTTCTTTATTTTATTAAGCAGCTATGTTAATGAAGACGACAAGAAATCTTTAAGAAACGAGAATTCTCAGAATAGAAACGAGTATATATTAAAGAACCATTCACAAGACGACTTTTAAATTCATTAAGTTAGCTTTACAGGAAGTAGTTTATAGTATCTCTTACTTACTTTGATACTTATTATGCTCCTCTCTGCGTTATTCATATGTTCGTATCGTTTAATAATCAGCAAAAACAACGTATATTTGCTATGAAAAACCAACGTGCTTTCTAAAGACTTATAAATTCATGACTAGTGACAATAGGTAATCGAAGGCAACAAAATCTAAATAACGTAATAAATTATTCCAGCCATAGGCGAAACATAAATGAACACTTATCTAATATTTATGGACAAAACTTACAAAAAGTTTTAAACAGCACTACATTTCATCATTATCTAGCCTAATACCTGTTGGTTCAGATCAACAGGCAGTTAGTAAAGGCAGGTTGTTTAGTTTACATACTTTGATGTGGTCTTTCTTGTCGGCATTCAAAACAAGGAATGAAATTGCTCAAGATGAGAATTAGTCTTTCAAATAAATGTATGTACTTCGTTTCGAAATGAAGACTTGGTTATTAAATGATAGTTGGATATTTCTGTTAAACAATAGGGACGGAGATTGCATTCTGAAAACTACTCCAGATCCTAATGGGTCAATAAACGTTAAAGTAATAATTGCGTTACTTGAGATTATCTCCAAATGTAACGAGGCAGTGCCGTTTACAGATTTAGTGACTTTACTCCATTTTTGCATAAAAATGCTATTCTCCGTAATAAAATACACGTATTATTGTGTTCACGCATAACTCGACATGATTTATTAACGCATGGACAGATTCAGTGAATTATTTTCAGCAAATAGCATTTCTATTATATCATAACAAATATCTCGACGAAATTTATCCTTCAGGTTTTAAGCATCCAAAAACCGCCAACAGATATGTTTGGCTTAACATAACTCTAAATTTTTGTGTTTCTTTCAACAACATCAGCTCCTAATGTTTACAAGTACAACACACGTTTTTAGGAGGACTTTGTGTTTTTATTTTCTTGTGGTTTAAATACGACACAATTAAAATTACCGGAACTGTAAAAATATAGAAAAGACTCACTCACTCTTGCTAAAAATTCTGATAAGCTCGTCTTCGCTTAACTGACGTACCCACTGAACGAGGAACCTTTTGGCCGATAAACCAGGCCTAACTAAATAAGTACGATGGTACTGTCTATCATCTGAAAAGTCACTGTCCTTTAAAAATCAACAATGTGAGCTGGGCTTTACCTTCAACTCATATTTAAGAACTTCGTTGACCGATATTTTGGCTCCTTCCAAAACTTTCTCTAATGGTTGGTGTCTTAATTTCTCAGAAAGACAAAATTCTCTATCCTTCCTTTCCTTATTTAATTGTGCCTTCGGACATAGTCTCAGAACACCATGCTCTGGAATCAAAACCAGTGTTAAGTCATGGATATGCGTCTTAGGAAGTCGATAACTTCTTGACCTGCTCATGTAAAAACAATCAAAATGGAGCACTTTTCCAAAGTATACAAGAATGTATTTTCAATGTATTAAAACAACCTACAGCAACTCCCAACCGACTTAGAGTAATTCGATTGACACTGCCGCACACTGTCATCAAATTGAAGCAATTCAATATTTCAGAGGCCAAATTAATTTATTTCAGTGTTAAATGTTTACATTTTTGATGTTTAGTTTCAGTTTGGAAAGGAGAGGAGGCTTGATGGCCTGTGTTAGTCCCAGCAATGATGGTCTCTCAGTTGAACCAACTATTAAAAGAGCCGATGGGTGGAGACTCAACCGCGTGCTGAGGTAATGAATCCCATTCAACGGTGATTCGATGGAAAAGTCGACCGTTAACTGATAAGTAATTTGTTCTGGGCTTGTGAACATTTTTGGAGTGTTCTCGTAAATTCTCTGTTTTGGAAGACAAGAAAAGTGAGAGCATATCAGGTGCAAATTTATCACTAAGCAATTTGAAAACTGTGATCACGTCGTCTCAGTTCTTCGATATGACAACGGGAATAGGTTTGGCTTCGCCAGTCGATCATCATACAGCAATCAACTTGTTTGCTGTTCTCTGAACCTTTTCCAAAAGCATTTTAAGCCTTCAGAACAAATAGTTTTCAAAGTTTTCAGTGTAACGCTGCTTAAAATAATGAATGGTGTCTGTTCAATAAAGACTATCTATTAGCACAAAAGTTCGGAGTTATAAGAATGTTTATATATTCTTTTTTCGGAGGTAACGCTTTAAGCCAATTGATTCTCAGACCATTTGTGCCCGTTGTACTGTACTTTTATGTCACACTTTCTTATCTGAGAAGTTCCATCATTACCTAACGAGTATCTTGTCCTTTATTTCTAGTGAACATGTTAGGTAGGAGTTTTTGTATGTTTTGCTTGTGTATCTCAATGTAATATGCAGTGAGGCATGGATGGCAATGACCGTTGATTGCCTTTTACATCTCCATGCATGACCGACTTTTTTTGTAATTTAGACCAAATTATTGAATTTTTCTGACACCCGCAACATTATAAGGAGTTACTTTCATTTTCCTTTGGTACCATATGTAGAGATGATACTTACTAGATATTACTGAAACAGATAATGTCTAACTGTGGGATATGGACAGTTTCACCCTTACCGATCATCAGTTTGTCCGGTACTTATCTCCAAACCCATGAGAGCATCCAGTTCCTTTGTATAAGTTAGTCCAGTTTTTTTATGAAATGTTAATGCTTTGCGTTCGTTAAAATTGAAGATTTCAAGAGTCTCTCCTTTAACCTTACAGTATTTGATTTGGGTAATTAACTAACCTCGTTTTTCTATTGTTTAACTCGGAGTCTCTTCAGGCTTCGAATAACGTTTCATCTCATCAACTAGATACATGTATCTTTCTAATAAATATATTTCAAGTATTGCCAGATCTAAGTCTGCCACGGTAAGCATTAAGGAGAATTGTCTCTAAAATTACAAATCTTGTGTCAAAGTCGTTTGCCCAAAAGTCGTGGTTCTCGTTCTATTAGAAGTTTGAACTGTACCTTAGGAAGATTTTCTTCCTAGTTCAATTTTATTTCAAGCACAGCATCTCTATTCTTTGAAAAATTCGTGACAGTGAGTATTGTAGGCGTCAATATGATGACATTCTTGGGATTACATAACTCAGTCATGTAGGCGTGAGCAATATACATACTTCCTTAATATTTATATTAGATACATTATTACATTGGTAAGCTTAATTGTATTCTTCAGGGGTTCTTACAAACGACTATCACGGTGGAGCGTGTCATTTTTGACAACAATATGAGCTGAACACAAAATTGTATAGATTAGGCAGTCACATCAGGGGACTATTTGTCTAGCACAATGGATAAGTACACTAATAATGATTCTAGATCTAAGTCCCAAAAGCTGTCAGGATCTTTCCGATCTTTTATTTAGTAACACTGGATGAAAGTGAGGCTTGCGAAAACTCTATTTAAATATGCAAAAAATTCATGATTCAATGCTTAAAATCATGAAAAGTAATGTCCACCTAAACTAAGAAAGTATATGACTATTTTGTCTATGGAGTTTCAATTCTGATAGAATTTTATTAACAAAATTTCAGCCATATAACTTCAGTTATTACAAGTGAACAGCTGCATGATTTTTACTGTAAGCTTGTAGTGGCATTGGACCATAACCACACAATCCTCAAAGCTGAATACGAGATTCCTCGGAAATTAGATATTCAATATTTAACGCTGAGAAATACCTAACGATGAAGAAGGCGCAAACAAGGAATTGAATGAATTACGGTTGATCGAATGGCACGGCTCGGCCATGCAGGCGTGGTCCCTGCTGAATATTAACTTATATCTTTTATTTATATTAAATATATTGTTCCTTCTCTAGCCTAAGCTTGTTCTTCATCATGTATTGGTAGTTGTTATGATGCAGTGAGTTGGTGTAGACGATGATGTGACGTCCACGTAAGATCTTATAGATTAGGCAGTTATATCATAACAAATCTACAATTTTAGGATTAGGTCTATTATTAGAGCAGTACTAATATCATAGTAGACCATAATTCCACATTGGTGAGCCCAACTAAAGAGGCGCAACCTATTATTGCTAATCCTTAGATCCACCTTAACCTTCTCAATCGATTTTTATTTGCGTAAACCCAATATTCTAATAGTCCTCTGATTAATGCTCACATGTATTATCGTAATGTTATATTGATTAGTTCTCATAACATACTAGCTCAATCGGTAGTAAAAACTGGTCGTCTATATTAACTAATTAGCTTTGATGGTTCGTCAACAAGCTTTAAAGCATTTACATGCTTCAGCAACATAGACTTGTTTAAACATCAAGCTCTAGCAAATATGACCTGTAAATAGCGTAAATACATATTGACTAACAATGCAATCAAGGGCTAAATAGTTATCTGGATCTAATTCTCTGTGTTCCTTCACTTAACATCTCATCCTGTTTTAAACTGTGCACTATCCTGTAATATTTTTTCTTCCGACCACTGCATGCCTAATTTCATATTTTCCAGTTCCATTGCCAAACAACAAGGATGACACTTCTCCAAAAACATACGATGGTCGTTCAATGGTGACCACACAATCATCTGAATTCATCCGATCGTTCTGATCCGAGCGAGTGACAAAAACGTCAACAGCATCAAGCACCCTGGAATTAGTTGTCATACTTCACATTTTATTCTGGATACTTTTGGATCATTACTACTCCTCACGAATAGCGTTATATATATCATCCACTAAACAATCTAATTTTCAAAAATAACCCAGGCGAGTTCAATTATTTTACTTAATGATTTTTTGTACCTAACATGTATATGTTTTCCAGTAACTTTTGCCATATATTTGTCAGTGTCCCTAGGCTAAATGCAGTCACTTATGGAGTGTTTATAACGCGTCATATTCCTGCCTGAAGTTTCACAAGCAGTCTTAACTTTGAATTTATTTATCTGGTCATGTTCATTATTTTTAAATTGTCATATACGTCAACAACCTGCTTGTTAACCTGGCCCGTACATACGTTACACTATAGTTTCATGTCTTCTAAATTTAGAGATCATCTAAATCGCCATCGTGGTGGTTCCCAGCAAAAGGAACTTATAAACGGTATATCAATACACTAGTTTAATAATAATATACCAAGAAAAGAATTAATAGTAAAACAAAACCCAAAGTGTCTGTCTGTGAGTAAAAACCAAGAGTAACAAAATATAGTTACGATAAAAATGGTATATTATACAAACAGACAATAACAGTTACTATAGAATAAATGTTACTTGTGAGCTGCTTCGTGAGAACAACAACCACAAATAAGTTCACTCGATTAACGAAGGTTCATTTTACAACTAATTGCACCAACGGCGTACTGAGAAAGATTGCGTCCAATAGTATTATAATATAATAATCCGTGCCAGAATTCCAACGTGGTGTTCGGAAGGGCTAAAGGAATGTTATAACATTATTATAGTCTTCAATCAAAAACCGTGATCAATAAAGCAGAAGAACAAACGGTGTAGATAGAGGTTTATATTTTTAAACCTCGCGGTAGCAAAATCGTATATATATTCATCGAAACAATTATCATCGTTATTAACAAGTAATACATAAAAACAACAGATGTTGAATAAAAATGTGGTTACACATAAAGTGTGACAAACTAAAGAGAAAATACGGTTTTTATTTTGCCTTTACCGAAAATCATTGAATACACATCACCATACCCCCAATACAAGTTTGAATGTGCATGTATTTCATTTCTGTTATTTGTCTACTCTGAAAAAGTGAATTACATTGAGTTAAGAAACATCAGAAACACAATATTTCTATTCATCAAGATATAACAAAAATATATATACTGTTAACTACCAAACTATCAAATTCAACCTTGTTATTGATACCAATAAAATCAAGTTAAAATTGACCAAGTATGCTTTGATGCAATAAATACACAATAGCAGAGCTGATTCATATCAAGCACGAAACCACTGCTTTTTATAGAACTACGGCGTGTATATAAACAAACAGGTCAACATACATATAATGTATCTGTACAAAAGGTAAATGACATTAAACTCGATGTATTCGAATATACTCAAATCCTGTTGCCCATTCTTAGGTTGTAATAATAATAATAGTTTATTCTCAAATAACAGTTTGTTACATGAGGCATGCCAGTTTACAGGCAAGATCAAATTGATACAAATGATACAATATTCACTGTAGTAAATTACATAGCTGGGTTGATAATTTATGAGATATGAATGTAGATGGTTTTAAGCAGTTCTACAGTTGGCGCGCTTCATGAAAGTTGCGTTGCGAATGTGCGACTGGTGGTCAAGGATAGGTCCATTGAAGGTATGAGCTTCTAGAAATCGCAGCCTTGTGTCCCTTTGGAATATCCAAGGCTCTAAGGATGGTGCAGGATGAAGTCACCCGTTCCATATCTCACGGGGGCT